TCGCCGAAAACAGGGTTTGCAGAAATTAGAAATCATTTTCTGCAAGGGCAATTGGTAAGTGAATCACATCTCAAAACCTAATCTCGCAACCTACGCAAGCGGGGGAGGCAAAAAGTGGTCGAATGCGTTTCGGATCTACTGGTCAAACTGGCCCGTCCGGGAGAAAGTCGAGCATCATCGCATCATAGACTAATCATAGTAGTTTGAACAGAATAAGTACTTTGACTACGACTACCACGCGCATCCTGCCCGAAGTTGTTATTTCCCAATGACATTTGTGAAGCATTGACACTCGGTCAACGTGTTTATCAATTTACTATTCGTCATTCGCAGAAACTTCTTAGAAAAAAAGATGCGTGAAAATTAGGATCTGTGAGTCAATTCCGGTGCGACGCATGCGTGAAGCACGCATTTTTAAAGTTCAGGCGAAGATCGCACCCGTGTGCAGAGGACATGAGCGTGTTTTTTCACCCAGCTTTGCGGAAGGAAATCCGGGATTGGCATTTGGATCTTCTAATTAAAGGAGAAAGCGTGAGGGTGGTATTACGAGTAAAAATAAATGATGCGAGCGAGAGCATTGATGGAATGAGCGAAAAGCAGAGCGGGCGTCGAGCCTATGACATTAAGATTACGGTACTTTGAAATTGGAATACAAAGTTCAATGACTCAAAACCAACATAAATCATAAGAGAACTACTACAAATAGCCAACTTCTCCCACCTATCGTAGCGCACACCAGACCGACGGCTGAAAATATTTGGTGTATAGTGGTAGTAGTATGCGTAATTTTACAGCTGGATCTGAAAATTTTGCATTTGTTTCAGTGCTCTAAGATCTTTCAACCTTTCAACCAGATTGGTGTCTTTTTTTAAGAGAGTGGACTTTGTCATTACTACACCATATGATAGAAGCGAAACTAACCAAGCGGACTGGCAATTCGAAAAGCTGTCTGCATTCACAATAAACCGACTGCGAAATTGTGGAAGAATGTCAGGGAAAATGCGGTCAGGAAAATGATGGAGAGTCTGGGGAACGTTTCGAAAGAACGAGGGAAAATGACGTGTGGAAGGGCGGCTCGTCCCATTTCAATCAAACCGACGCCCGTGCATAGCATTGAAATTGAGTTTCTCACTTCCTGAATATTTGCAATACAAGGCCGGATCTTAATTGGACCCGATGCACATAAATAACACTCGCCCCCAGTCTAGTCTCATCAATCACCTTTGAAGAATGCATCCTACCAGTTTGACTGGTGAAGAAAAGATTCAGAGATGAAGCGGATTTGACAGATTACAAGTGGCTAAGTGCTCTGATTACACTGATGGTAGTGGTATAGTTCAGGGAACAGCTTTTCAGCCGTCGAAAAGGGGATTTACGATTAATGGAATGAAAGTAGTGGAAGAAAAAATGTAGTAGACAATCCTCTTCTTATCCTTTTTTGCTACAATTGTGTGGTATGATCGTCTACAACTTAGTGTGCCTGAAAATGCGAAAGTCCAAACGGGGGACACTGGATTACTCATCTATAATCAGATGAAGGGGAATCCCCCGCCGCCCTTCCCCTTTCCGTCTAAGTGGGTAGCATGAGTAGCATTAAGAAACCAATAAGAGAAGGTTTTTTTTGAAATTCAGAGCTCTGATAAACGTCACAATGACAAGAGGCTACTAGCCGAGAAAAATGCATAGCCAAAACAAGCCTACCCGCCTACTTTTGTAGTTTTTTCCCATTGAGTTCATAATTACTCGAAGTTCTTGTAATTGTTTTTCACGCAAGAACGTCAGGAATCGGTGACGCCATGTGAGAAAAACTTCAAAGCGTCTAGAACAACCTAAGAAACCTAGATCCTCAGATTTTACTTCTCACACAAAGATTATTATGACGGTAACAAGGTAAGTGTGAGAAACGGATAGTTTACGAGATTTGACAACGTTTCAGACAATCCTCGTCATTTAATCGCATGATCGCCGATGAATTGCGTGGCTGATCAGATCTGGAGGAAGGATGAACGAGATCAGCGAGAGTTCCTGTTATGTTACTCTTTTTCAAGACCAACGACTAGGTAGGATGTGACAACAAAAGAGATTCTTACAAAGCAAACTATTTCAGTGAAACATTCTCTGGATATAGGAAAACGTTAATTACCCCCTGCCCCGACTACAAAACAAAAAATTCTTAGCATTAGAAGCACTCAAAGCCCCCCGTTCGAAGAATGCAAATTTGAAATCGTTGACGCCAGACAGAGGCTAATATAATGGGAGCCACCGAAATTATACGAGTCCCTCGGACGGCGTGCTTCATCTTTTGTGTCTCCCCCTCGTCGACACCCTATTTTGGAACAAAATGGGGGAGGAAATGGGTGGGCGAGACGAGATTGAAGAGTCTAAAAAGGTCCACAGGATGAGTCAGTGATGGATGAAAAGCGAACGAAATCTCGAAAGGGAAATGAACAAGGCTCATACATTTAGTGACGTGACTTCTGAATTACGAAATGTGGAAACTGGCGTTTGAAACATTTTGAAATACATGCATAGAAGCATCGAAAAATGGATGGGATTCCAATGTTTTATTCGAAACATTGAGTGTATCCAATGTGACTTCCGGTTAACAGATCCTCACCATATTCGTCAATCTGGGCAATGAAAAGGACACGGGGGAAGGGAAGATTGGATGAGTAATTATTCGTTCAACGCGTCAAAGTTTGTCTTGTGTTGCAAAACCGTTTTCGGAGAAGATTAGCGGGGAAAAAGGCACTTTTGATGGTCAGTTGCGTCATCGCTAGAAACACTAACTATTCGGGGATGATTAGTTTTTGATGTCAGTAACCCGAAAATTCTCGCGAATCATTCCGTTAACCCATTACAAAATCGAGATGAAACTACCTGGATATCGAATGGAAACAAATGATGCCAACACAGGGTTTGCTGTTTTCCTGCTCTAAACAGAACATTAAAAAGAAGAAATTATCCCTTTTCCATTGTTTTTCACTTTTGTATTCGGTACAGCATTTACAAAGAAGGTCAAGTTACCTCTGGAAAAAGACATGGTTTTTTGTTTTTCAAAAAAAAAGTGATGTGAAATTTTGGTTCAGTATCCATTCAATTAGCTCGTACTTTATTCTGACCATGTTGGCGGTGATACTCGGAAAACTCGTCAAGTTCAACTACATTCCGTCATTAATTGGTGCGTGACACATCCGTGGGTGGCACAGTAAATCAGGTATTCGCAGGATGCATGATGATCGGAATAGCAATGAGAAATGTGTCACATTTCGGCGATTCGTTCTAAATTAAGGAAAACTGGCAGTTTATTCTACGAAAATTGGCATTAGTGGTCATCACTATTCAATAGGGGATTTTCACAACTGATTGTTGATCAGGAAGAGCTTCGCAAGAAAGAAAATTTTCAAAGGGACAAAAGTATGAAAAGATGTGACCAGGAGTCATACTCAATCTCATTCAGATCAAAGTTTTGGTTCACCAGTACGACAACCTATGGTACTTTGTAGCAGTTCCGCTTCTTTTCTCATTGGTTGGATACACTTTTGAATTTGCTGACGTAATCACAAACTACATCCTTTTCTGATTTATGTCTCCAGCTGACCGTATCCGATTTGAAAGTTGCCTTCACCATCATAGCAGTGGAATGTTCTTTCCGTTTCCTATCTGCCATGCTACTTGCGCTCTGTGGTCATTTCAACATTCATGAACCGATCATTTTGGCTTTGACTCTGATGCCAAAAGCTACTGTTTAATGCGCTCTTGCTCCATCGCTGATTTTGATGACCAATGGTTTCCCCGAGTACAGAAAACAAACGAAATTGGTGAGAAGCGTCTGAGTCATAGGATCATCTTTCATAATCCTTTCTATTGCAGATCATCAAAATTTGCATTATCGCCGTGATGGTGACAAGCCCGGTGGTTGAGATATTATTACAAATCTTAGTTTCGTTTTACTTCAGACAAAAAAGCAGCAGACGCCTTGTGAGTTGAAAAGAACATTGTGTACAAGATTGGTGCTTTTTCAGTTTCTTACGCAATCAACTATCGCTTCTTTGACCAATCCTGAACAACCAATTTTGCTCGGATGGAATGCGAAGTTCTTGACGAGGAATCGGATTCTATGTAGAACAATAACCAAAATTTTTACTTCCCGACAATTCGGCTCAAATTTATCCAGATCAGCTTCTGTATTTTTATTTCAATGATCAATAACAGCCCTCTTTCTGCTGCGCAGAAAAACTTATTTGTATGCAATAACGGTGTACATTAAGCTGAAAAAGGAGCGCAGCACGCAATCGTGTTCCATTATTTTATTGATTTTTTTGCAGTTGCCATGTTGTTCGTCCCCATTTCTCCGAATTCAATTTAAGTACTAAATTGGAAAAGAACATGGTCGCGGCGGGTTTTCACGTGGGATCGCGGTAGTACTTTGATTTTCAGCTGCGTGAAACACCCACTATGTACACGGAAATGAACAGATTCGATGCCGGCGACCCAAACTTTCCGAGAATTATTCCAACAGATTTCAAATTGTTGCTTTTTGCCAAGAACCTCAAGCGTCAAGTCGAGATGAAACAAGCTGGAAATAGAATTGAACCCAATGATGCCATCGCTCACGTGCGTTCTTTTTCTTCAGATGACCGTAAAGATTGATCTAATCAAATACCTTAATCGAATTGTGTTTCGATCGTGGTATAAATGGTATCATTTCTGCCAATTCGGACAACTCAAAAAACGACTCGATTGTCCATTTGTACTTCTAGTTTTTTCCGTTTAAGCGAGCAGTTCTTGCTATTCTCCCTTCTCGATCATACGGATTATTCAAATTCACCGAGGCGGTATGTAGAACGAAACATCAGAAAGAAATCATTTCCTGTGACATTGTTTTTCACCTTTCCCATCTGTATTCGGTTCGTAAATCATAACAGATAGAAATCTGAGAGTAGATTCAGTTCAGATAAAGTCGAGTCACGTACAATAGAAACAATTCAGAAACGAACATGGTAACAAGCCTGTGGCCAGGAGCTAAAGATTCAGTTGTGGCGTTCTTCCATAATAATCATGTAAGTCAATTCAAAAAATATCAATAGCGACTCCGTTTAGGTCAATCAAATTGTGACATTTTTCATTATTGTTTCTGGATTATACGTTTCCATTGTCTCAATAACAGGCCAAAACTTTCGTGAGTAATGTTTTGTTCTACAATCAGAAAGTGAGAGAGTGCCAGTTTAGTACATCCACTCTCGCCGGTCATCTCAAACACTCTTGATTTGCAAAATGCAGCCAACGAGATTCTCCATTCAATTATCTCGTGCTTTATGATGACTGTTCTAGCGGTGGTACTTGGAAAACTCGTCAAATTTATCTACATTCCGTCACTAATTGGTGCGTGACACATCTGTGGGAGGCACAGTAAATTGGTTATTCACAGGATGCATGATGGTCGGAATAGCAATGAGAAATGTGCCTCAATTTGGAGAATTGTTCTACATCAACGAATACTGGCAGTTTATTCTACGAAAATTGGCATTGGTGGTCATCATTATTAGATGGGGGATATCTATAAATGTTCGGTTCATCAGGAAGAACTACGTGAGAAAATACTAAACAAAAAGGCGACACCGCGGCTTTTCCAGATTTTCCCACCAATTCTAGGGTTTGGTTCGGCGTTTGCAGAAGCTATTGCCATTTTTTTCACCGCATGTTTTGTATTCCAATTCCCAGCTTCATTGAGTATTATCTGTGGGTTTGTGGTGGCAACAGTGTCCCCGGCGGTTGGAATGCCCACAATGCTTCGCATGAAAGAACAAGGAATCGGAACCACAAAGGTGTGAATTGCAAATCGTTTTAAAACCGTTCTTCTCATTTTCAGAACATCCCTGACGTTGTTCCAGCTGCGTGTTGTTTCGATAACGTTATATCGTTGCTGATCTTTTCAGTAACAGCGTCGGTCACGTTCACCCATGGTACAGTTAATAAGAGTTCCTAAGAAACAATTTGTTTCGTATTTAGACGCCATGTTTCCGACAATGGTGAAGAGCATTGGTGCAATAGTACTGGCGTCAATAATTGGTTGCGCCATCGGATGGCTACTCCGCTGGTTTCCGAAGAACGACAATAGACATACGCACTTAGCGCGCTTCCTTGTCATTGCATCTTCTACTTACGGAGTTATAACAAGTTAGTGAGGAACACGGAACGCATGTAGAAATTGCAATATTTGGATTATGCAGACTGGGGCTCAAAATCATCTTGAAAAGCGAAATGAAATCTGATTAATTGTTTAAGGCATGATCGTTCTCGGATACCAATTCCCCGGAATCGTCGCTGGACTGTGTCTTTGTTGCGTGAGCACAACTAAATGGAGGAATGATAACCCAAGAGGGGTAACAAATTGAGATATGTGACCAGGAAACATCTCAATCTCATTCAGATCAAAGTTTTGGTTTACCAGTACGACAACCTATGGTACTTTGTAGCAGTTCCGCTTCTTTTCTCATTAGTTGGATACACTTTCAATTTTGCTGACGTATTTACAAATTATGCCCCGTTTCTGATCTTTGTTTTCAGCTGACTGTATCCGATTTGAAAGTTGCCTTGACCATCATAGCAGTGGGATGTTCTTTCCGTTTTCTATCTGCCATGCTACTTGCGTTCTGTGGTCATTTTAACATTTACGAACAAATTATTTTGGCTCTGACTCTGATGCCAAAAGCTACTGTTCAATGCGCTCTTGCTCCATCATTGATTCTGATGACCGATGGCTTCCCCGAGTTCAGAAAACAAACGAAATTGGTGAGAAGTGTCTGAGTCATAGGATCATCCTTCATAATCCTTTTTATTGCAGATCATCAACATTTGCATTATCGCCGTGATGGTGACAAGCCCGGTGGTTGAGATATTATTACAAATCTTAGCTCCGAGATTATTAAAGCTTAAGGAAGGGTCATCAGTAAGAGTGACCACTTTAAATTAAAGCCAAGAAAGAGCACTGTTTCAGGTGTACAACAGAGATACCACCACTTCCACAATGTTTGATGAGATAGACATGAAAGGGTCCGCGGAATTGAGTAAAGCGTCGTCGAAAAACCCAATCTTGGACACCAAAGGCATCTACGAACTCAACCCGAACTTTGTTCCAATCAACTTTCAAAGCAATCTTCCGCGGCCTTACTATCAGTATCTGAACAATACACTGAACTACCAGAATGGAAATCAAAGTATTGACAAGTTGAAGCACTAATAGTCTGAACTAATCAGACTCCAGGAAACTCGTATTTTGCACCTTGCTATTTTTATTTTCTATCAAGAAAACGATTAATATTGTTGAAATTAGCAAAAAATTGTGTTCAATGAACAAATTCTTCTAAAATGTACTCATGGTTTTTCAAAATAAAGCGATTGTGTCAATTTTTGTAATTAATGATGACATTTGGTATTCTGGATATTCATTCTCTGAAAGGAGTTCACATTCCGTCCGCAATCAAACTGCTCACTGCCGGTAGAGGGAAGACACGTCATTACCTTTTACAACGCGGCAAGTGTGTAAAGGTCGTTCATAACAGGCCGCAATGTTCGATGTCTGTTTACGTCTGCGTCTGTTCACAGCTCTGTGCTCTCTGTTGCTGAAACTTCTCACGGGTACAGGGCATTTTTTGAAAATTGGCATAAACCCTTGACGGTTATGGGTACAGGGCATTTTTTGAAAATTGGCATAAACCCTTGACGGTTATGGGTACAGGGCATTTTTTGTCCATGTAACTTATTATTGTATTCGACATGTTATCTACGATACCAACAATGGATTCAATGACGTTACAGTTCGTTCAATTTTCATCATTTTCATTCTCGCGGTAGCTGGCCTTTTTGTCGCTAAAATATGCAAAACCGTACAGATTCCGCCACTTTTTGGTGTGTGTCATTTAAAGAAGAGTCCCGTGAAATAATCGTGTTTCAGGATGTTTAGTGTTCGGGATTTTCATCAGAAACGTCACTGTTTAGAACAGTTTTTCGTAATTCCCACATTATTAGAAACCATGCAGCCGAAATATGCACTTGTGAACATTGTGATTAGATGGGGACTGGCGACGGATGTCAAGTTTCTCTATGAAAATGCAGTGAGTGCTACAATTTACATTACAATGCATTTTCACTGTGACTTTCGTTTTCCAGATATTTCCAGTAACAGTTGGCCTTGTCACAGATATCGGAGAAGTTTTGGCGGGTTACTACTGCTTCTTACTTCACCCTGAACACTAGTTTGGTGATGTTTGCATTTTACGAGTGAGTTGTTGTCCAAACCATTTTTATTTTGCACATTTTTATTGTTACAGACTGTTTCTCCAGCAGTAACTGCCCCGGCTATGATTTCTTTCAACGATCGAAAATTGGGAGAGCTGAAAAGATTTCCAGAGCAAATTTTGGCGATGTGTTGTGTTGATAACCTGTTATGCGTGATCTCTTTCATGGTTTTTGCTTCAATAGTAGTTTAAGCGACGGTGCGTGTTAACTAGTGGAACAAAATACATTTTATGAAATTTCAGCTTCAATTGCCACAACCGTTTTTCTAAATGTTGACACTAAAGCATGCGGATTATTGGCTGGTGTCATTCTCGGATGGCCCTTGTGGAAACTTTCAAAATCTGACGAGTCTCACACACAGTTTGCCAGAACCGATATTATTGCAGCTTTCATGATCAGCGAGGCGTCGTTTGATCGATCTGGAGAGGACGCTGCCAAGAGAAGAAAAGTTGGAGCTAGATGGCCTGAATAATCAATATTCGTTTCACAGATCATCTTCAGACTCAGTTGTCTCAAATAGTGTGGCATTCGTATGACATTGGTGAAGATTTACGGTTTGATAAGATATCATTTACAGTACACGTCACTCGTTTTTGGTTTTGGTTTTGATCAGTCTTTTTCAATTGACTGCCAATTCCCATTATTTCTGTTGATTTTCACCAATCTCATAGAATACAAACGTTCCGTTGTCATCTAGACTGTACTTACATTAGGAGATGATTTTTTGACGATTCATCTCTCCACTACAATTGTTTTGTTTTCATTTCGACCGGCGTACGAGAAATTCTGAATATGCAGATTTGATTTGCCGATTCAAAACTGAGCGTCGACTTATGCTAGTTCTCTTGATTTCACACAACTATTATCGCATTATCAAAATCCTACAACCTGAGCTATTCTCATTTTCTGAGTCTGCACGTATTTGCTGAGAAAGATGCATTCAGCACCGAGAGTTTTTAAAATCGTACAAAATTTCTTCAACCACAGAGAGGTATCACTGATATTCCTTTTCAGCTTTGATGAATATTTTTATTACAGATAAATTCAATAACCACTACTATCTTGATATTTCTCTTTTTGTACACATCCACGGTCACTTTATTGGGCGAGAATTTTTGTGAGTGAACCGAACTTCTTATTTCATTGAATTTGGTGTTCAGTGAATCCACTTGCCGATCATATTGTTCCTGTTACAAATACAAATGAAAATGGAACAGTCCGCACCGTGTTTATTCTTTTTATTCTTCTGGTAGCAGGACTTTTCGCTGCAAAATTATCAAATGTTTTGAGGATTCCACCACTTTTCGGTAATCTTTGGAGCTTGTCAGTAAGTTGTGAAAATATTGTTTTAGGATGTTTGGTAGTAGGAATCGTTATCAGGAATATACCAGTTTTGTATCAGTTCTTTCTCATTCCTCCTTTATTAGAAACTATGATTAGGAAGCTTGCTCTTGTGAACATTGTCATCCGATGGGGACTGGCTACTGATGTTCATTTTTTCTACAAAAATGCGGTATGGACCTTGAAAATTGCAGTAATTACATCTAAAAATTAATAAATGTTCAGTTATTGCCACTTACAATCGGACTCGTAACAGCTATAGGAGAAATAATTGCAGTCACAATTGCCTCGTACTTTATTCTCAATATTTCGTTCATTATGTCCGTTCTCTGTGCGTAAGTATCATACTAAAGTAAAAACGAAAATGATTTTCCTTGCTTTAGCATTATCCTTGTCACCGTATCGCCCGCGGTCACGGTCCCCGCTATGATCTCTTTTAAGGATAGAAATCTTGGAGCGTTGAAGCGAATTCCGGAAAACGTTCTCGCCGTTTGTTGCGTCGATAATCTATTTTGTGTCATTTTGTTCATGGTACTTTCATCGATAACTTTCAGTGACGGTTGGTTCACTTTCGTTGAGTTTCACAATATCAATTTCAGCTTCTATCGCAACAACCATTCTGCTCAATGCAGGGACCATTGTTCTTGGAGTCATTGGAGGCGTCATTCTTGGATGGCTGCTCTGGAAATTCCCTAGACCCGATACCCCACACACCCAATTTGCCAGAATAACTCTGCTCGGAACAATTTCAATTTCACTGATGATCGGGACACACCTCCTCAAATACTCTTGCTCTGGATTCATTGCTGCACTTGTCTTAACCGCAATGTCTGCTATGAAATGGAAGACTGACAACGAAAACAAGATCGATTCTGTGGTTTCGACATACCGATACATCTGGGACTGCTTCGGCTTGCCACTTCTCTTTATCTGTCTCGGATTGAAGTTTGATCTATCAACGGTTAGAAAAAAAACATGGTGGGAAATATAATTTTTGTCTAGCTTACATGGGAAATTGTGTTGCTTTGCTTTGCGGTCATTGCAATTGGTTTGGTTGCGAGAACTATTCTGATCGTTCTTGTAACTTTACCCTCCAACATGAACATGAAAGAACAAGTCGTGGTCGCATTAAGTTTGCTGCCAAGAGCTACATTCCAGGTAGGAGATCTTTAAACTACATCAAAGATGCGTTTATTTTAGGCTGATCTTGCCCCGACGCTTCTCGTTATGGCGGCTCCGTTTCCGGAAATGTCCAAAGACGCTGCTCTAATTATGAAAGCCGCAATCATTTCCGTTCTAGTCACTGCTCCAATTTTTGACGTCTTACTCAATATAATTGGTTCGAAATGTTTGAAATCACACACCTTGGTAACGGTTACTTAGAAATCTTCATTAATAAAAACAAAGTTCAGGACTCTTTGTCGATTCGAAAGACATCTGTTAGTGTTCCGGCCAACACCACAAGTTACTTAAATTTCGGAAAAACGAATCCGGAGCTGCAAGAAAAACGCATCAGAGCGAACAAGACGGAAATGGCGGAGGAGTAGAGAAAACTAATGCCTTTTCATTGTATTGTGTACATATTTATTGAATTCAGTAAACTGTTGCCTGGAGTTTCATTAAGAAAATGTTACATGAAAGCATTCAACCAATGAGCAAGTATTTCAAACAAGAAGCGGAAGAAAAAGTAAAATAAAATGTTTACCATAGACCAATTGTTTGGCTAATCCTTTTTGTTTGCAGATCATCGGAGAAAGTGACAAGTGTGCTCATTAAGGAATCAACTGTTTATGTCAGCGGAGAAGTGAAAAGTACATAGATGACACTTTTTACGACGAAAAATGCTTGAAATAATTGTCTCGTTGCTGAAAACTGTAACGGAAATTTGCAGCCTAATCTGCCAATGTGACTCATGCGCATAACTCACGTTGCTATCACTTCTGAAACATTGAAACTAGACCTGTAATGCGTCAACGGATTTGCATACTTGAAACGGCAAGTAGCGACATTCAATATGAGTATATAATATGCAAAAGCGGAGGCGTCATGCGTTATTGAATAAGTTGAAGAGATTAACCGTAAGCGGTGCCTCTCCTCCGAGAAAGGGAAGGGAGAGACGGTGAGTTTGTTGCAAGTTAGTAGCGGTGTGTGGAAGTGACATCGCAAACACACACATGGCTCGCCGTCCTCCTTTCTCCGATTTCGGGTCCTATTTGACAGATTGATCACACACTATCACTATTCTCCATCCTTATATACTCTTTTCCTTCTTCCCTTTTCCCTTCACTTATAATTTCAGTAATCAAACAATCTCGTGGTGATCAAAACAAAAAACTATGCACTGTGTGGCGAGATTACACAATACGTTACATAACTTGTTCAATAACAGAGAGGTTTGGGAGTTTTTCTGGAATTCTTTTTCGGTAAAAACTCGATCTCAAATTTGCAGATCAATTCAATTACAACAACTGTTTTACTGTTCATTTCTTTGTATATCGCTGTCATCACTCTTTTAGGAGAAAACTTCTGTAAGTATAGATAACTTTTGTGTACTCTTTTCTCACTTGAAACGTTATAGTAAATCCTCTGGCTGATCATGTGAATCCTGTGAACACTGCAAGCGAAGATGTGACAGTTCGTTCTATTTTCGTTCTCTTCATCCTTCTCATTGCTGGAATTTTTGCTGCCAAGTTGTCGAAAATGTTGAGAATTCCCCCGTTGTTTGGTAAATTGGCCTCGGGTCATATATAACGTAAGAATATCTTCAGGATGTCTGGTTCTTGGAATCATTGTCAAAAACGCGACAGTTTTTGAGCAGTTTTTCGTGTTTCCACCATTCCTGGAGACCACAATCAGAAAGGTTGCACTTGTGAATATTGTGATCAGATGGGGATTGTCTACCGATGTGCAGTTTCTCTATGAGAATGCGGTGATGCCGGTTACTATTGGTTTGGTAACGGCTGCTGGAGAAATTGTCGCGATCACAATTGCTTCCTACTTCATTCTCAATATGACATTTGTCATGTCTATCTTCTGCGCGTAAGTTACTTTGTTTATTTTAACACTAACAATGTACCTTCAGGTTAATTCTCTCCACAGTCTCCCCAGCCATTGCCGTCCCGGCTCTGACTAACTTTAAGGAGAAGAACCTTGGAGCTCTGAAAAGAATTCCAGAAAACATTATCGCTGTTTGCTGCGTTGATAATCTTTTCTGCATTATTCTTTTCATGGTACTGTCTTCTATCATTTTTACGGATGGTAAGTAACATAAATGAAAACGATTAGAAGATTTCGATACGTTTTAGCACCAATCGCTACAACTATTCTTTTGAATGCTGGAACAATTGTTTTCGGAATTATCGGAGGCGTCATCCTCGGATGGCTGCTCTGGAGATTTCCCAGATCCGATGCCCCTCACACTCAGTTTGCTAGAATCACTCTTCTCGGAGCCATTTCCATTTCATTGATCATCGGAACATATCTCATCAAGTATTCTTGCTCTGGATTCATTGCCGCACTCATCCTGGGTGCTATGTGCGCTATGCAATGGAAATCGGACAACAAGGACAAACTTGAGTGCGTGGAATCCACGTACAAATACATTTGGGATTGTTTTGCCCTCCCGCTTCTCTTCATTTTCCTTGGAATGAAGTTTGATTGCTCAACGGTAAGCTGTGCACTAAAACTCGCGTTTTTTGATAGTTCTCTATTTTCAGTTGACCTGGGAACTCGTGTTCCTCTGCATTGCCGTTATTGCGATTGGTTTGCTGGTCAGAACCATTCTCATCATGCTTGTTACACTTTCATCTCACATTAACTTCAAAGAGCAGATCGTTGTGGCTCTGAGTTTGCTGCCGAGAGCTACTTTCCAGGTTATTCAGGGAATATAGTATTTTTGTAAAAATTTCCATTCCATTTCAGGCTGACCTTGCCCCAACACTTCTGCTCATGGCTGCCCCGTTCCCGGACCTCTCACGAGATGCTTCGCTTGTCTTGAAAGCAGCTATACTTTCAGCTTTGGTCACTTCCCCAATCTTTGATATTCTCCTCAACCTGGTCGGCTCCAAATGCTTGACTCCATATAATCCTCAGGTACTCCTAGTTATCATCAATTTCATCAGCAATCAAAAGTATCCTCCAGGAACCACAAGAAATTGAGAAAACCTACGACAGAAGTTACATGAATGGCGACAATGTGGATGAGACTATCTATGCTGCTCGCCCCAAAACGTATTCAGAGTACCGAGCTGAGACTGTTATCGAAAGATACTGATATTCATAAAATATTTTAAGATATATATTTCAATTCTAGTCTATATTTATCATTAACAAATGTTCGTTCTTTCACTGTTCCTACCATACTCTCATTCTTACCGCTGTTCCAAAATTATCTACATTCTATATGTAATTTTCCTATCATCCGGAAAAGTGATTTTCCATTCCGATTTCTTTTTATTCTTCTGTTCACCAAGCTCAATCTCAAATCCTGATTCTGTTGTCATGATTATAACATACCACAAAAATTGTCGTTTTCTGCAGACCATAATGATCTGCCCAGTCATTCCAATTGAATAAAAGTTGTAATCCCGTTTTTCAATACTTTATTAACATTATTATAGAGCAAGCTAAAGTAGAGAAGCAGAAGCAGTGCATAAATTAAACAAATTTTCATTTCACAGTTCAGTGACTGGGAAACATTCTCAAGTTTTGAGGAGCTCTGGATCTGGTGCACTTTTCCCATTTTTGAAATGAAGAACTTTTCTGTTGGAAACAAACACTCGGATTCACTGGAGAATACAGAAAAGGCAAGTGAAAAGCAGTTGGAGGCAAGAGGGGACTAGAAGCAGAAGATTCGGGTGAGATTGGGGGGTCATAGGTGCATATCAAACATTGAGCGATTATGATGAAGTGAGCAGCACAATTGAGATCTAAAGCAGAAGCGTCTGGCAGCTCGATCCGTTTTCCGGCTCATCGAGATAAACAATGCTGCGTTGCGGCTCGGCCACTTGTGTTGGACACTCTGAATGCAATTTCTGATGTGGTCACTGGATGCACATGTGCGAATAATTGGCTTCCATCTTTTCTTCTCCCTCGAAAGACACCATACACCAGAAACGTACCAGAAATGACAGTAGTCGGCGGGACGTCCTCGTGTTTATTGCGGTTAGCAGCACGGCTGAATGGGTTAGCAATGCGAGCGGCGCGTTCTAAAAAGTAAGCAAAGCGGTGAAATACGGATGTGGGTGTTATTTTGTACCAGTGATGATTCGAATCGGTCCAGTTCCGGGGCGACGAGCGAAAATCCATGGAACAACTTTGGCGAACTCCTCACTGAAAAGGTCATCGTCGAACGTGTAATGTAGCAAAATACGCCTATTTTTCAGAAACTGTGAGTCAGACGGAAATGGTATGTTACGTCAACACGAACCAAAACAAGAAGAGCGAAAGTCGCGCTCACATTAAGAATGCAAATCCTATAAACCCACCGGAAGGTTTCGTTCATGAACGCGTAGAGAATCGGATTCCATGCGGTGGCAGTCATACTCATGAGGTGAACAGACAGGAATACGAAACTGAAGTATCCTCGCATGAAGTTGTCGAGTTTCAGATCGCGGAGGCAGTTACTGAAAGTTTATCTTCAGTGCTGGCGATTAATTTGTTTTGCTTACAGTAGGTTGAAAGGGAACCAACAGATGGCAAATATGACCACCATCACGATCAACATCCGGAGTAGGCGCTTCTTCCGTTTGATGTCTGATTTACGTTCGGTCATGCTCTGTCGACTGTTCAGGAACAACCAAATCTTGGTGTAACTTATGGCGATCAGTACGAATGGAAGAATGAACTGTAAAAGGTTTACATAGTCTCGTTTTTCACAAATCAGTTGTTATACCTGAAGAATCATAACCACAAGTCCAAACGTGGAACGGAACTCCGCGTTGCTCCAATCTTCACTACAAATCAGGAAATCGCACGGTTCGCTGATGTAGTTCAGCTTCATATTGATTGCGTATGGTGTGACCAAGAGCAGGGAACAAAGCCAAATAAGTACAATGAAAGAGAGGCATGTCTGAAACGTTTTTTTTTCCAGATTTTTATGTTCAGATCCTTTGATGTACCCTCATGGACATCCGGTCGTTGATATTAATATTGGATGAATTGTGCACGATCACAATGTACCGATCGATGGCGATGGCGGTCAGGGTCCAAGTACTGATGAAGATACTTGTACCTGTATAGTTTGATGGATGATCATCTCATTTCCAGAAAGGCGATACCTTGAAAGAGAGGGAGTCCGTGACAAAGACCACCGCCAAAAATCCAGTGTCCTATCGAGGTATATGTCGGTGTCAACCAGAGTGATCTAAACCGACCGGAGGTATGACTTCCGTGAAACAAAATCTGGACTCACGTGAAATTCACCATAATATCTGAGACGGCCAGGTTTGTAATGAAGATGTTGGTTATCGTCTGCATCCTTTTGTTTGTCATGACCACGTAGACGACCTAAGGTAAAATTTGAAATCAGATACATTTGAAAGAAGACGTCACTCACCAGAAAGTTACCGGATATTGCCACAAGGAAGATAGCACAGTACATTGCGATGAAGAATGGACGGAAGTATTCCATCTCCATCGGGTTCTAAAAATTTTTGTACTCTTATTAGCTTCAACATTAGTTGCTTTTCTCACATTCTTGATTTTACATGTCGACAAGTAAGTTTGTGTAGAATTGTTGATGATTGCTGTGACTGTCATCAGTTCCGCTGACATCTGGAAGATTTGAAATGAGAGCCGGTTAATGTTAATGTTAATCCAATCAGGGAACGGAACACGTAGAGCAAAAGTATATATTTGCGGACGTGAGTCCGACCATTCACTCTATATTTAGCAGAAAAATGATGTGCCCGAAAAATAGGAGGAGACAGCTGATTGAAAAGGAAGTGAACCATCGATCTCGGTTCTCAATTCGGCACGTTTTTTGAAGCGGAAGAAGTACAAGATGAAATGTGTCTTCATTTTCGGAAACTCTGATGCGATCGAAATAAGGTGTAGCCAGTCATGAAATTTTAATGATTTCCGCCCAAAAATATATGTGTGTCTCTTCACACAAAATTTTGAAGAAATTGACAAAACGTGAATCCATTATTAGATGGGGGAAGACGGAGAGCATGTGAAGGACTGGTGAAGAATGGAATATACATGTGTGAAATCCATCATCTCCTGCTCTTCCTCTTCAGAATGTCCCCCTTTAAAGCAGCGGTTATCCATGGGAGCCACGTTAGACTACACACTCTTTCATTTGGCAAAAAAATAGGTACTAGAACACACTCGGCAGCGCGTTTTGATTTATGTACCTAATAAATCTTGGATGAGAGAAAATGTAGAGTAGGAGAGATTCTAAAAACGTGTCAGAATATATGGATACCTCTTGGTACGAAATGAAAAATGGAAAAGGAGTGGGAAGAAGAGGAGGAGGATTGATAAATGAGGGAAAATAGGATGAATTTAATCTCGAAATGGTGGCGGCAAACGTGAAACATTCATGGAATCGGCAAATAATGGATAATGTCATTATTCAGAGTGTGTGACTGACATTTAAACATCCCTCTTTCTCTGAAATTCGACCCCCCAGACTCTACGGAAATTGAATTTCGACGAGAAAAAGTTGAGAAAAACTGAGAGAACGAAGGTGGAGAAGAGAAAACGTCGCACATGGACCAAAAGTAAACATTTCTGAGAGGGCGGATAAGCTTTGGTGAAACTGAGACCTCGAGCAGGAAGAAGGCAGAAAAAAGAGAATAATGACTCAAAGATTCCAGAGGAAGAAGGAGGGATCAAATCCCAAATATGGAAATAATACGATGGATGTTACCCGTGAGCTGATGCTGAACTATGAACAAAAGCAGTTCCGGGGGTACATTAGTGCAATCTCGTCATGAATTGAATACATGACATAATCCACCGGCCAGCAGATAAATCCCTTGTTTCTACGGAATCCGATTACTTTTTTCGTTGTCAGCCAGCTAAATTCACAATTGGTAATCTCCTTTTCTTTGCTCTTTTTGAGATTCTCAGAAAAAATCTAATTATAAGGGGAAGAGGAGATAGGAAGCCTGTTAAATATACTGTACGGTAAAAGCGCCTTCCTAAGAATGGCTCATAGACAAATACGAATTTAAGAACGTTGCTTAAAGTGCCGTGAATGTCAAGTTTAATTCTAGTTCTAATTATGATATCATTGCGTAAATGAACCTCGGAAATGCAAAGGTTTTGAAGAGATGTATAGCAGAGATATTTAATCTTATTATATTCTTCGCCCCCACCGGAATAGAATGAGTTGTGTTCTTTGCTCTGAAAAAAGAAGAGGAAGAAAAAACGGGACCGTTTGAGAGAAATTTCGAGTTGCAAAGCGACTGAAAGTTTGCTCTTTCATTGTGTTCAGACAATACTTGGAAGTCAGTCGGATCTAAAGTGGTTGATTGCAGTCAGTTAATGAGTTGAAATGACGAACGGATGTAAAACGAAGCAAACATGGAGGGCATTTAACGAAGTCGTCATTTTTTCAATTATCTCTTCGACTTTTTCCCGTTTTCAGAACGCCCGTCCCGTTTTCCTCATTCATGTTCTGAGAAACGAAAAGAACCGCCACCACGCTTCCTGCTCCATCTTTCGCCCTTTTGGGAACAAAAACCAATGAAGCGAGTAAGATGAATGACCGGGTTTAAATCTGGGAAAGAGAAGAATTGGCAGCGAAGATGGAAGTCAGTATAAGCACAAAATCTGTGCTCCTACTTTCTCATTCTCATGCAAATTGTCTTGAAATGTACAAAAACGTTAAAAAATAGTGAAAATAGGGAGTGGCTCGATTTCGGTGTTTGCTCCACTTCCGCCGTTTTCTATTATTCATGGACGTCGCAAAGGTTCCTGCGGATGGTTTTTCATTCGTTCGGTTTGCAACAGGAGAAAATGAAAAAAGGCATCTATGACTAGCGTGCGGTTTCTAAAACGAATCGCAAAACAATAGAAAGGAGCCGAAGAGACTTTTTCCGAGTTCACCGTTTCAGGAATTACCGAAAAGGAACCAACACTTCAACGAACAAACAAAGGAAAAACAGAAAAGAAAAATAGAGAAATTGATTGATTTCCGACAAAGGCGAAACAAGAGATGTTGTTTTGGATTCTAAGGAATTGAAATCCAGATTTTCCTAGTCATTGCGTATGATTTTTTGGGATGCAATATGAGAGAAAGATTAAAACATTTTGAAACTATGATTTGTTGAGATTAGAAAACGACAGGAAACCATAAAATCAGACCATTCCGTTCAATTTCCGCACTCTTTTTGCGCTCGCTTCTTTACTTCTTTAGTGGACAAAATAAGGACATGCGTCAACTGAATGACGAGCAAATCATCTTGGGACACCAAAAACAGAGACGGTGTGAGAAAAAGGAAGAAGAATGCGAATAACAAACTAGCTTTTTTGGGACTAATGTTGTTTTTTTCGTCGCGGTTAATTATACATTTTGAAAATTTTCAAATCCGTATTCTTATTCTTTGGGAGTGAGTAAATTCAAATCAGCAAAGGAAGTAAACGGAACGTCTAAGAAGGAAAAAAAACGAAGGAAATGGGGGAAAATCGAGAACGGAACGAGTTTTGTGTGGTGGTGTAGTGCTCTCCTCGAGAAACTTGGTTCATTTTTTCACAAGTTCATCGCTTATCTCACTTCAGAATAGGAAACTACATAGTAAGTGACAAAAAGGAACTGGAATTCAGAAACAGAGGGAGAAGGAACCGATTTCACTCACGAAAAGACTTCGGGAAGTGATGAATAAATGAGCCGGAGCGCAGTTTTAGAGACAAAAAACAAAATAGAAAGGTGTTGGGAAGTGTATGTTTCGCGATGAATCATGCATGATGTCCGCACATTTTCAATTCTGTAGTGGAATTGTAGGAAAAGAGCAAAAGCGTGAGAATAGAAAGAGCAGAAAAGGTATTGCAGATTTTTTCGTCCTCCATCCGTGAAGACCAAGAAGGCATTCATCAAAAATTGGATTACGCGACCACTGAAGCTTTATTTATGACCGCTGAGAGTTCGCGCCACGTGGCTCCATATTTATTGTTCGCTTTACTCACTTTTTCATTGTTTTTATCGAACATTGCGTTTCTTCTCAAATCAACGCATCTTTTTACGCGTTCGCATACAGCTATCGTAATGAGATTTGGGACAGAAGTTCGAGAACCCAATGGACTCGCTTTCTTCTACATAGAAGGCCTTTTTTCTTCGCACTCCAAATAACGGAACAAGGTTTGGAGAGGAAGGATTCCCTTAAAAAAGTGTGGTGAAAAGAATTGTACCTGCTGTATTATTCAATAAAACAGAAATTAATTGTGGGTGGCCATCTCGAATTTCAGTTCTTGTGAGCGTTATTTGTGTTTTGGACAAAGCCGGGTTGATCTTAGAAAAAACTGCGCATTCAATAAGAAAATGAAGCACTTTCAGCCGACTGACACATTGTTCTTGTCAAAGTTAGGGATGTCATTCTGTTGGATATAATGTGTTTTGTTGCAAAAATTTAGTAGTCCCAACGCTCCAGAACGTCGGGCACTTCCACATTAAAGTTTCTTTTTGGATCTCTACTCTATAACTATGGTGGATTAAAAAAATTAACTGATTCGGAGCTGGTCGGACCGGGTTTTTTAAGGGCCTTTCTGGGCTTGGACTTTTGAACAACTTGTAATAATTCGATCGGACCCACACTTCACAAGCTTCTTGAACTTGAATTGAAGTATTTTGGGTCTCAAATTTGAGACGGATTGGATTATTTGGTACTGATATATAGCCGAAAAGCCTGGGCTTTTCGCAAAAACAAGGACTTTTAGGCTCGTATACCTCGGGACCCGATAATCCGTTCGGTCTGAAATTTGGACCCAACATATTTCAATCCAAGTCCAAAGAGTCTGCAAAGTTTGATCGAAAAGTAAAAACTGGGGAGTAATCCAATGCTAAAACCAGAATACAAAACGTCACTTCCCCTTTCCAGATCTTTTAGTCTTCTGGGAAGCAAGTTTCAGGTGGTAGCTCAAACTTGCTTCTTCAGAACAGTACTACAATTGAACTAAAAAAAATGCAAAAAGAGAGAGAAAGAAAGGACGTAAAAAAAACTCGGGACAGTAGATGAATATGAAAATGCAAAGCCAAAGACGCGTAATGTAGTGTACCCTTCTTTCGAATTCTATTCAAATGATAGGTCAGAACTGAATACAACTACCACTGCACAATTCATTGATTTCCAGAAATTGATACTCCAAAGCACTCCATTCTGATCAAAGTTGTGATTTGTTGGTCGTAAAAATTTCCATCAATGCCCAGTCTCGCCCGGCCCGAAACAACGATGACTTTGATGATTGTTTCTCATTTCAAAATTGACGTTACTGTTAACCAACACAAAACACAGCATTCATAACTCACCGTTGTCTGTGAATCGGTGATGAGTTCCGCTTCAGCCGAGGAAAAGGTATCGGTAAGTCCGAAAAAAAGAAAGAGCGCCATCAAACGAAGCATCGTCGGATTGGAATGAGGGACAGCGGTCGTTTTGCTATGAATCTCGGGCTCGGCTCTGACTCCTTAGCCACGCCCTTCCTAATAGATGACATCAAATTTAGAACGAAAAATACATTTTTGCGTAGGATGACTGTCGTTTTATGACTATACGAATTCGTCAGTCAGAATGCGCATTCGGGAAACGGTAATGAGAGTTTAATGGTGGTACTGAAGGAAGGAAATTTGTTCAATGAGATTTTTCAGATATGAAATTGTCAAAATAACAGAAATCAAATGCAATAACACAGTATGAATCAGATGATTCAGAAATGGTCAATCAGCGAATTCATTCACGTAGATCTCCCGTTGATCAAACTCCAGCTTGTGGCAAACAAAGTTCGTTTTCCGAAATTGTCGGGGAAGACGTGTCGCTAAGCACAAATGTCCGAATTGCCCATAAAGGTGACATTGACGTTCGTAAAAAACGTCAATTTGAAGAATGGAAGACAAGTCCAGGAAGTGAACAACATCGAAACCAAGAAACAGAGCCAAATTTGAAAATTGGACAAGAGTAGTTGTAAAAACACATTAAATACATAGACCGTAGGAAAAATTGAATATTCAACTCATAACGACCAATCTTTTGACAAAATTGCTGAATTCTGAAAGGGTGAAGTGAGTAAAAGAATAATAATAAATCTCAAAATACACAATATTTGAGAAGTTTCATTTATACTTCTTCAAACATCCACGTACACCTCATTAGATTGCTCTTGGACTCAAACCCCCTAAACGGAGGTCTTAGCAAAACGTGTTTTCCAAATATTCACGTTTTTCTGCCAAATGTGCAAAGAAATGCAGTTGGTTTGGTTCCCACAAACTTTTGTATCTTCGAGAGCTACAATTATCCTTCTGCGGTGTGAGAAAACATCAGAGAATTTTCTCTCACGAAAGCAAGTCCACACAACCAGATTCTCATGATCTTTGGTAACAAATGAGTAGCTTTGTGAACTTTCGGAGACTCTGACATTAGTCTGTCTGACCCCCTAACCTACCGTAATCTTGGCTGAGATGTTCTGATGAAAAGTAAAGAATGGCGGGGAAGAAAATGAAAACGCTCAGAAAAGGCTCATCATTGTGCTTTTCGGGAGCGCCACGCCGTATTTTAATGAAGGATCTTAATTAAATGGTTTTCGGCGGGCGAAAATAATGCTCGCACGTCTTTCGAAAAAGAACAGCTCAAGAGAAAATGATGGCGTCCCTTCCACAAAGCACATATACGATAATAAAAGACAAAACAAGCGCAGAAGCCCGCTTTGAAAGGGAGTCTGCTCTGGATATCATTATTTCAACTCAAAGTGCACTGGAGAAAGACCAGAACACGAAAAAGCACAAAAACAGGAAGCGAGGGGGCGCTGAAATTTAAAGTGGGAATTTGTATTTGCCCATTCATATGCATGAATCACACCACACACACACACATTTTGCTGAATGTGACAATTCCGAGCCACTGTCTGTCACAAAAAACAACGAGAGAGGGAAAAACAGCGGAAAAACAACAAAAAACCTGAGGAAATTTAGAGATCGCACAGGATTGCTCAGATTAGGGGTCTAACTGACTGGAAATGAAAAAGATGTAATGATAGGATTGAAGGAGAGGTGAAAAGATGAAAATATATAATAGCAGATTTTTCTCCTGCCACCTACCACCTCTTTTTAATCTCGGATCCAACTCGGCCAATGTGAAAATGCAGTCTAGTAGATACTGCGCAAAAATCAAAAAAATTTCGTTTAATTTTGGATGAAATGGAAGGAAGGTTCAGCCGATTTCAAGCCTATAATTTTCAGACTAGTGCCAAAAATAGCATTTGATCAGATCAGATATAATAGAGCCGAACGAAAAAGAACGTGAAGAGAGGCAAACTTGTTAGAGTTTGCTCTCAAAACCGATAAGTGTTGTGGAAGAGACATGATCAGTCACTCCCAACTAACTCAACCGATCCTCCCGTTCAAGTGCCTACATTTTGGCTCCGAAATAACAAAAAAGTGCTAAAGTTTATGGGTTTGAGTTCAGAGCAGTAAAGGAAACCAATTGATGACGGGAATTGAGGGAAATTCGGTCAAATTAAAATGTCGAAAACGCGCAAAGCGAAACACTTGATACACCAGAAGATTGCGAATCGAGATGCACTTGAGCCGGTCATTGAGACCCCCGCTCTTCCCCTCTTCTGTTTGTTTTTTTACTGTTGCTCCCCATCTCGATCCGGTGCCGACCAATTTTGAATGTAGTCATTATATCAATAAAATTTTTAAGCCTAAGCCTTGTCCATGATTTCTTGTGGTTCTGTGTATTTTCAGGCCTGTATCTCCTTGGCCAGCAGAGACATTAGGTCGTTCGGAAAGTTCCAGTCATTTTTCATAGTATGTTTTTGAAGATTCAGTTGTCGTTTTATCAGTATGTTGGTCAGGTATTGAAGCGAGTTCGAGATGCATCTTTTTCAATCCGTCCGTGAATTATCAAGGACACTTGGGGCGAGCCAATCATCAATTAGTCATGGACTCGAAGCAATTGGCAAATTCAAAAAACTCGGAAGAAATGTTCCGCATGTTTTGACTCAACACAACTTGGATACACGTGTGTGTATACCTGCTTGAATCTTCTCACCCTGCATCGCACACATGGATGGTCGGATCAAATCATTATGGGAGACGAGAAATGGGTTATTTATGATAACAGTGAGCGACGTGCCGAGTGGGTTGACAAAGTTGTCTCACCCACCGTAAAGCCCAGACCCGGCCCCCTCAGAATATCATCTCTTCAGTCACCTCCAACGCCATCTCAGTGGAAAAGTTCAACTCAAGACAAGATATCAAAATCGAGTTGGCTTCATTTTTCGACTCCCAGGCGCAGGAGTTCTGGAAGGAAGGTAACTACAAGTTGTGGACACGTTGGCAGACAAAAACATGGGCAATATGTCTAATTAATCGGATAACTCTTTGACTTGTTTCACAATAAATTTTTCTGAACCCAAAAATGACTGAAAGTTTTCGAACAACCAATATAAGCAGTAAAAAAAACCCTAAATTTTAAAATGCCATCACGCTTTTACGGTGACATTAAGTGCCATCTAGTGAAGAAATGAGGGAATCGAAGGGACAAACGCATACAAGATAACAAAGTATAATTTGTGTGTCTTCCAGAACATCCACATTCAAGGTCTCATTGATATTTTCATAACGGTCACCGGTCCATGACATTTTTTTTAATTGACGTGGCCTCGTATTTCCGAATTGGATCGTCTGAAATTTGCAATAAACGACAAATTCCCACCTTTAGTGACATCCTTATTCCATCTCTTTGACCAGGATTCTTGATCGTGACGATCTAATATAGAAACAGGCCAGCAGGTTTGAACAACTATCTGAATTGTCGATTTTTGTTTTGATATTTTGGACCTACTAACTCGCATTTTCAGAATGAGAACACATACATAGTATCTTCTTATCCGGAACACAACAACATCCGTCGGAACAATTCTTGGCGATAGTAATCTACATGGCTTTTATCAGCAGTCCTCTTCTCCCTATCTTGAAAGAATCACACAAAAGTGATAACATACCTCTAAAAGTAAACTGCAAAAAGCAGGATTACCGGCTCCCGGGGTTTCTTAGAGAGTCACAAGAAAAGTAGAATCTCACCCTTTGTACTATACTGAGCAGTTAAAAACCAGTAAAAAACCCTAAACTTTAAAATGCCATCACGCTTTTACGGTGAAATTAGGCCAACAACACGCATAATAAATCGTTTTCTGACTTATCAAAAAGGCACACTCACCTCTGTGTGAACGGCTTAAAAGGGTAGATCGTATTAATCTTCTTGGCGATAGTAATCTTCATCACTTTTCCTGGCGATAGTGATATTCGTAGCGTTAACTAGCAGTCCTCTTCTCCCCATCTTGAAAGTATTATACAAAAGGGATAACTTACCTCTAAAATGCCATCACGCTTTTACGGTGAAATTAGGGCAACAACATGCGTAATGAATCGTTTTCTGACTTACCAAAAAGGCACACTCACCTCTGTGTGAACGGCTTAAAAGGGTAGATCGTATTAATTTTCTTGGCGATAGTAATCTTCATCACTTTTCCTGGCGATAGTGATATTCGTAGCGTTAACTAGCAGTCCTCTTCTCCCCATCATGAAAGTATTATACAAAAGGGATAACTTACCTCTAAAATGCCATCACGCTTTTACGGTGAAATTAGGCCAACAACACGCATAATAAATCGTTTTCTGACTTACCAAAAAGGCACACTCACCTCTGTGTGAACGGCTTAAAAGGGTAGATCGTATTAATTTTCTTGGCGATAGTAATCTTCATCACTTTTCCTGGCGATAGTGATATTCGTAGCGTTAACTAGCAGTCCTCTTCTCCCCATCTTGAAAGTATTATACAAAAGGGATAACTTACCTCTAAAATGCCATCACGCTTTTACGGTGAAATTAGGCCAACAACACGCATAATAAATCGTTTTCTGACTTACCAAAAAGGCACACTCACCTCTGTGTGAACGGCTTAAAAGGGTAGATCGTATTAATTTTCTTGGCGATAGTAATCTTCATCACTTTTCCTGGCGATAGTGATATTCGTAGCGTTAACTAGCAGTCCTCTTCTCCCCATCATGAAAGTATTATACAAAAGGGATAACTTACCTCTAAAATGCCATCACGCTTTTACGGTGAAATTAGGGCAACAACATGCGTAATGAATCGTTTTCTGACTTACCAAAAAGGCACACTCACTTCTGTGTCAACGGCTTAAAAGGGTAGATACTATTAATTTTCTTGGCGATAGTAATCTTCATCACTTTTCTTGGCGATAGTGATATTCGTAGCGTTAACTAGCAGTCCTCTTCTCCCCATCATGAAAGTATTACACAAAAGTGATATCTTACCTCTATAAGTAAACTGCGAAAAGCAGGATTACCGGCTCCCGGAGTTTCTTGGAGGGTGACAAGAAAAGTAGAATCAAAACGTGTACCTGGTAGCTTCATCAATAAGATCATAATAACCGGCATCTGTTTTCATCGTCCGATAAGTGTCCTCCGAATCGAAAAAATATATAGTTTTTGTCGGAATTTGAATACGGGAGTAGACTCTCTCTGTAACAAAGAGTGTTTCCGTCCAAAAACGTCTCTAGTAATTATTGAAATGAAAAAACACAGCTCGCAACACAGCTCGAAAAGCTCGGAACTCGAAATCACTCAATTTGGTGAACAAAGAAGTTCATTAACTCGAGCGAGAAGTAGTTGAATTACGCACCTGACTTTGTTGTATCCGAGTCTCTAATAATCTCTTTGTTGCGTCGACCATCCATTCCAATTCTGCCTAGACGCCCACAGCGACGGCCGGACCGGCAACGGGGCATTATGAAGTGAATCGATCGAGATCGGCGAGGGGGACCCCCGGTCGAGAGACGCAGACAAAAAGAGAGTGCGCGGTTTGGCGGGCGGTAGGTCGAAACGGACCCGCTCGAGCCAGCTGACGTGCCAAAACATGAAATACACGAAAAAAGGTAATGTTATCAATATGATGGTCTGTCCGTGGAGTTTAATATAGGGAGCTGCTTGATGACGGCGTCACTGATTCGGCCGATGTCAACACTGGTCAGCTGAGAAAACTCAGACTCCATGTGGATCCCCATTGTGGGAAAAATGCGAAAGTTTACTTTCAGCATGATAACGCATGCATATAATTCCCGTTTTTCTGTAGTGGTAACCGGCGCATGGCGACTCGATAGCAGAGTTGAGCGGAAATAGAATTTTGAAATCCGGAAGACGGCAGACGGCAGACGGAAAAATTTTTTTTTGCGAGAACCACGGAAGTAGGACAAGGTATTCGGGCAAATGTTTATTCCGGGGTGGGTAACCCTAAGCCAGGAATATACAGAATAGAAAACATGCTCGTTCGAAATGTCCGCTACAACTCCTTGGATTTGCTGCTTGCCGTAGTAGTTGAGCGACGCGATGGTGAGAACCAAATCATTGTGACAGTAGAAGAAGCCCTGAAACAGAGAATTTTCATTTAAGAAAGCCATTCCCACACACGTTTTGGTGGCCGAGCCACCTTTTAAGGCTTGTATATCTCTAAAAAGAAATTACCTTCTCACGAATTTCGCGTGCGCAAAACATTTTTCCATTGTTGCTTTTGGCGAATCGTTCAGTGATGTCTAGTCCAAACTAGTCCAAAAAATGGAATACACAATCATGAAACAAAAAAATAGTAAAAACATTTGAAACACGTAAACAATACTTACTGATATGATCTCCACCTCGCTTATAGTTTAGTTTGAATGCCACAGTCATTCTCTACTTGTCTCGGAATCTGAGCCTCATTAGCGCGGATAACTCTGATGTCGCCGACAGATTTGAACAGGCATTTTGCAATCCACTTTAAATCGGCGTCGAAAGTGTACGCGTTTCCGCCGAACGTCGAATCTAATACAAGAACAGAAACATCTCCACTTGTTTTTTTCGCCATATAAACAAGGAAGAAATTACTGTTCATGTAGACAGGCAATAGGTAACGCCGTACGGATGGATGAGAGAAGCAAGCTGTACGTTCAAAGGACTCCGTGAAGTTATCGGATGCGAGAAAACGCGGAACAAACTCCGTATGGAGTAATCCGATCGAATCCTTCCATTCCTTGTCATCGTTCCACTCACCAACCTAAAGCACAAAACGTGTATTATAAAATTATTCAGCCATCTCAAAAAAATGGGGAGGGCGGGGGGAAGCAGAAAAAAATATAACAACAATTTTTAAAAAAATTCGAGGTCAAGTAAAGAGAAAAAAATTTGTATCACTAAAAAAATTAAATTTAAAAAAACTAACTCTTTTATACAGTACACGGAAGAGAGCTTGAGCCGACAGCAAACTCTTCATATTCTCAGCAGTTCCAGCAGATCTCACATCTTTTTGATCCAGGGCAAAAATCAAATCGATCCCCAGCTCATGATCGTCGGACGTTAACTGTGGGCCGAAAATACCCTGCAAAATTAAAATAAAAGAACACACATATTAATAATAATAATAAGCACTAATTCACACATTACATTTTAATATTCCCTACATAGAAGCTTCGTAAAAATAGGAATTATAAGATATAAATAAAAAAACATACTCACCCGTCTTTGCATGCTCCATTTCGGCGGCATCGATGCGCCCGAACCTGAGTTGTTATTATCCTTCACCATTACGTACTGAAAGAAAAAACTGACAATATACTGTATAAATGAAGAGAAAGCGTCAGCTTTCCAAAAAACGATTAGAATAAAATAAGAAAAATGCCGGACAGATTGTTTACGAACCGAAAAGAATGCCTGTAACGTGATCGGGTGAACAGACACCCCGTCGGGGAACGCCCGGGGGAAAAAGTAACCGTAAACTATTGCGTGTCCCAGACTGTCAACGGTTTTTTCTTTCCATCGACAGATGTTCTCCGTACCAGACATCTAAAACAAAAAGTTTATTGGATGGTGCTGTAAACTTTGTGGCCATTGGGAGACGATGACCCAAGTCGGAGGGTCCTTTGAAGATCTCGACTGCGTTTGAATATAGAAGATCATTTTGGATTTTTCCAAAATTATTGATTCATTACTGTTTGAACGCAACACGACTATATAAAGCAAAAAACACAAAAACATTTAAAAAAAATTTATACCAACAGTTACAGCTTTGTGATGTACTACAAAGTTGTTGAGCTCGTCGAAATCTGTCAATAAGCATTTTTACTAATTCATTGAGGCATTAGTGCTCAAATCGAACACGACTATAGAAAACATGTAAATAAAAAAACATTTTAAAAACATTTAAATCAACAGTTACAGCTTTGTGATCTATTACAAAGTTGTAGAGCTCGTCGAGATCTATCATTTTGGATTTTTCCAAAATTATTGATTCATTACTGTTTGAACGCTACACGACTGTAGAAAACAAAAAACACAAAAACATTTTTTTAAAATTTATACCAACAGTTACAGTTTTGTGATGTACTACAAAGTTGTAGAACTCGGCGAGTTACACCTGAAAACATTTTTTTCCGAATTATTTTTCCGAATTACACCTCAAATTTCGTGGGAATTTGTAAGAGCACCTCAAAAACGGCAACGTGGAGCAAGCGTGTTTAGCGTTGAGCTAAAATTCTGAAAAAATTTGTGTAGATACATCTCGACGGGGTCTACAAATTTGTAGTTGACGACAAACGCGTAGCTCGTACGTGTGACGTCATAGAAAATTTTGAAAGTTAAAAATTTTTTTAACTTCCATAACCTTTGGGAAACCTAGTCTGAAAAAAATGCACGTACTTCACCACCATGCCCAGTATACGCCCAAATTTTTTCCGAATTTTCGTATAGATGGAAAAAAAGCTGCAGCGGGTCAAAATTTCAAACCAATATTGTCGGGTCGCGTGTTGGCCACACCCACCATTGAAATCAGCTCGCTGACGGTTAAGTTTGAGCCGAGTTATGACGTTTTTTGTGATTTCCAGATTTGTCTGAAAATGAGCATAACTCACGAGCCGAACCCGTTATCGAAAATCTGGCAAAGCTAAAAATCGTGAAATTTGACGAGCTTTCGAATGGTTTTGGAGTTTAACTTTTTTGTCCTAAGACAAATAATAATAACTCATTTATTCTCTTCAGCCACCTAGGAATAAAATTACAACAAAAAAGAAAGAAGAGAAAAAAAAAGAGGGGGAATGTGGGTGGGGGAAGGAACAATGGCTTGACATGACCATTGGCCGGCAGTAGCCAGAGGTCAGTTAGAATACAAAAAGCTAGGGGGGATCTTCTCGATGCGCGCCGCGAAGGCCTCAGAGGACAGTCTTTCGGGAAACAACTTGGCCACTCGGTTCCAAAGGGCAAGATGGGTATGTAAGAAAGAGTCATGGGGTAGGCCAAGGGAGGATAGAAGGTACGGGTGACGGGGGGAGACGCCGGGTTTGAGGAACATGCTTAGGGAGGGGAAATGGTACTTGTGCGAGATTATGTTGTGGAATGTTCTGAGAATAAGAAGAACCCTTCTGTGGAGTATCGATTTTGAATTAGATTGACTGAGACGGTCGCTATAGGAGGAGAACCGCATGTTACATCTTTGGAAGACTCTTCTACTGAAAAATCTAAGGGGAGACTCTAATTTGCTGGAGAGGGATGTCGATGAGGGATGGAAAAGTTCACAGCCGTACTCGAGAATGGGTCTGACGTAAACGTTGAAAAGTTTAAAGTAGAGACTGTGGTTCGAGGAGCGAAAGGCTTTCAGAATTTGTTTGCATTTCAAGAGGGCGGTATTGCTAACTATTGTGATATGCTTATCGAATTTGAGCTTGTCGTCTATCCAGATGCCGAGGTCCTTAACGGAATCTTTTGATTCGATTTCGATGCCATTCAGGAGATATCTGGTTTTGGGATTTCTTTCCAAAGTGGAGAACTGCGGATTTATTTTCTGCTAGCTTTAGTTGCCAGGTTTCGCACCATGATGCGACAATGTTTGCACTTTCTTGAAGCGTTTTTGGGTTATCTCCGAAAATTTTCAAGTCATCAGCGAACGCGGTGACATGGACGTCGGCGGGGAAAAGGGCTAGCAAATCATTAATGAAGACCAAGAATAGGAACGGCCCTGTGACCGTTCCTTGGGGAACGCCTGATAGTACTGGGAAGGAGATGTCGGAGATAAAATTATCGATTTTTACGGCAGATGAGCGACTTTCTAGAAATGAGGCGAACCAATCACATGTTTTAGTGTCAAGGCCGAAGTTCTTCAGTTTGCAGATGAGGAGATTGTGCGGGACACTGTCAAAAGCTTTCTTAAAATCAAAGAACAGGGCATCAGCAAACTTGTTTCTGTTCGCAGTTATTTGCTGGATTTTTGATATCGAATCAAGTAGTGCGAGTGTGCACGATCTGTTGTTCATAAATCCGTATTGGAATTTTGAGATTCTTTCTGAGAATTCAAGACGTATAGAGCTGAGCATCACTTTTTCAAAGAGTCTGGAGATCGGATGTGTCAGTGAGATCGGTCGGAAATTGGAAGAATCTGTGAAGGATCCTTTTTTATGAATTGGAATAACTGTGGAGGATTTGAGGAAGTTCGGGAAGATTCCACTGTCGAAAGACTCGATGAATATCAGTGAAAGAGGAATTGTGATGGAGTCACGACAATTTTTTAAGATAAAGAAGTTTATGACGTCTCTAGAGTATCCTATTTTCGGGTCGAGAGTATCGATTAGGCGGCTTATGTTTAATGGGGAGAAGTCGAAGGCGATCGGATGGGGTTTGGGGGCTGGGAGGGCAGGGAAGGGATCGGAGGGCATGGTGAACGCCTTTGAGAAAACGGAGGAGAATTCGGCGGCAATCAGAGAGGGTTCGGTTATAATGTCGCCAGAAATCAGTAGTTTTTATTTGCGCGGAGCGCGTGGAGAGACGATTTTTTTGACAAATTGGAACAGTTTTTCTGGGATTTTTTTGGCTCTGATTATGCTGTATTCTTGTCTGGCGAGACGTTTTTTTGATGTTCTTAAGGTGGAGCCTGTGCTCGGATTTAGATTTTTACAGCGAAATGGGAACGGCGTCTGAGTTTTTCGACAGCGGGCTTGCACTGATTTACTCGTGAGAGGGCGTTTGGGGGCGAAATGGAGGGTGCTGTCGCGGATAAGTTCGTTGAAAATTTTCAGGAAATGAATAAGCTTTGTTTCACAATTGGCAAAGAACGAAAGTTGGAGAGGCCAGTTGTATGCTGAGAGTTTTTGGTTAAGTTCCTTGAAATTGCACTTCCTATAGTCAAGATTCGCGATCGAGTGATGGCAAGGCACCGGCTGCTTTCTAATTTCTAGCGAGAAAGAGACAGAATCGTGATCGGAGAGTAAGAACGGTGGGGCTTTCTCACAGTGGAGGCAGATGTCAGGCGAATCGGTGAGAATAATATCTAAGAAATTGGATTTACCGGATGCGGCAGTACGTGTGGGGAAGTGGACAATTTGGGTCAGGCTGAGTGTGATTATCATATTGGCAAGATCAGGATGGATTCCTCGGTTATCTATAGAGTTCCAATGTGCACCTGGCATATTGAAATCGCCAATCACAAAATTGTGCTTGGCTCGAGAGCTTGTGAGTTCGATGATATTCCGAACGAGGAAGCTGGTTTGCTCGGGTAGGGTATTTGGCGGTCTATAGACGAGGATATAACGAGACTTCGAATGTTTGTGGTCAACAGTGACGATGTCGCAAAAGTGTTTTTCGTAAAAATTTTCGGAAAGTGAGTCTACTAGATCGAGCGGAATGCTATTTCTGTAGAATATTGCGACACCGCCGCCTCTGTTTTTGGGGTGGGTCGGTTGACGATCAGAGCGGAAACAAGAGTATTCACTGGAGGTGCACAGCGACAGAGGGACGGCGGAGTTTAGAAAAGTCTCGGTAACGAAAGCTAAATCTGTGGTGTTGTGCGATAGAAATTCGAACATAACTTGTAGACGTTCGGCGGAGGCAATCGAGCGGGCGTTGGTAAGGTAACAGTGGAGAGATTCATCGGAGTTATGAGGGAGAGAACGCGGTTTTAGGGGGGAAATTTTATTTACAGGACTTTTGGGACTCGATAGATAAGCCACATTGTAGTCTGAAGATGGGGAATTGCGCGGTGATGGGCACTTGTGACGGATCATGGGATGGGGAACCGAGTGGTAAAGAATTGATGCCCGGGAGACCGATTTGTGGCCGGGTTCCTAGGCATGGGGTGAGCTGGCGGGGGCGGATGAAGGGGAAACACGGAAATCACGCGGGGTTTTCAATTTGATGACATCAAAGTCACGGACAACGGCGAACTCGATTCTGCCCGCTTTCAGGTTTCGCTGGTAGGCATCTTGGCGGGCCTGACGGAGAAGCGTCAGCTCATCGGGAGTCATGTCGCGCCGACAGCGAATGGGGCGCTTCGCGGAAAAGCGGCTGGGCGATTTCCCAAGGGCCTTGGAAAAATTCATGATGAAAAGGTCGCGGGAGCTTTTCGACTCGAATTTAACTTTCAGCGGCCTGGAAGGAATCTCGGAATTGCGGCAAATGACACGGAAATTATCGATTGGCTCGGGAAGTTCAGGGGTGAGAGCGCGCAGAGAGTTTATAAACGACTTATCGATTTCTTGTTGGTCATCAGTCTTGCAGTCCGGCACGTTTTCGATGACGGCCAGGAATGATTTCTTTTCCATTGCACGGCAACTCTCCGCGAGCGCCAGACGTGCACGAACAGCTTCCACGGATGAAGAGCAGGCGGCGACAGCGGCGTACGACGGGCGACAGTCGGCGGACGGTGGGGCGGGTGGGCTGTGAGCGACGGCGGTGGAGAGAAGGTTGGCGACGGACTTTTCCAGTTCCTCGATAGTCTTCGTTTGTGCCTGAATGAGCACATCTTTGGCGGCAGCGGATTGCACCAGCTTGGTCACCGTTTTTTCCAGCTGGTTAACGCGTCCCAGCAGAAGCAGGAACGCCGGCGTTGCTGCGGTGGATCCAGGCGGCCGCCCTCGTTTTCTGGTGTTCTTCTTCGGCGAAGGCGAGTGCATCGGGTCGTCGTTCTGTTGATCGTCGGGCGAAGCCGAGGCATTTGTGACGGTTGTCGGCGGGTCGCCGGAGTGCGGCGGCGGCGGAAGATTGGTGGGCATGAGGCGATGTTTTCCTCAAACTCAAACTTGGGTAATTAAACCAATGACGAAGGCATACGCCTTCGCCGAAGCCTAAGATGTCGGTATCACTTTTGGTTCTGGAGAAAAACGCAAAAATAAAGTGGCTTTATAGTTATGTCCTGGTGTGTAGTTCTTTGTGTGCGTGTCTGTTGGAAGGAAAGATCTTCGCAAAAGGATGTTTTACGTGGGCGGTCGACGCAGATTTTAGTGGTGTTCTCTGGGAAATTCCTCGAAAATTACTTCCGTGTCGGGTGAACGATTCCTTGAGAGATCAAAACAACTTCGCAATTCAAAACCGGAAAACAGAGAGTTCAATTTCTGAAATGTTACACAGTATCCTATCAAAGTCACGTACTTTGATAAAGTTCACCGACGTGACGTCACAGAAACTATACTTTGTTTCTGCCAACAGAAAGGTCAGCCACTTCTTTTTTCTGTTGCAATGTTACACTGTGAACTGAAAAGCCAAGGCAATGTTTTCAAAAAAAGAAGATACTATCTGTAGGTTCCCGACCCGCGCATCTTACCATCTTTGAGAAGTTTGATGTCAATTCACATTTGATTATGCAAGGATCAAAAAACTAAATCGAGTACAAGGACTTCCTGGAGGATAAAACATAGATAAAATAAAGGAAGCAGAATGGAATAAAAAATTGAACAATGTATGATTTTCAGTTATTTTCGGTACTTTTCAAACTATCTTGACGTCTTCAGGTCAACGTTTTGAAACCTATCCGTCAAACCCAAGTTGATGAGCTAGTTCATGTTTGATTGTTAGTAGATCAGTCTCAATTGAAACACCTTCAAGACGGGGCCAGTTTGAGAAATGACCCCGATTCGACAAACAAGGACGGAGATGACTATCACGAAATTGTACGACCAAAAGATCTTTACCAAAATCACAGACTCGGCCTCGAAGCCAAATCGTATAAAAAGACACAAAATCTGAGTTTGAGTAGATCAGATCGCTTCAGACATGAACTTCTACTCTTTCTTCCTTCTCGCCGTTTTGGCTGTTTTCGCTATGTGAGTCTCTGTATCTAGCTATTATGCACTTACCCTGTAAAGTAGGATTTGGGTACTACTAGCTGATTGAATTTTTGTTCAAGTTTAATTATTTTAAACATTCTTAGGGCTGCCCCACAAAGAGTCATCGAAAAGACCACCATCATCCGCGGAGGACCATCGTTCGGACGTCCGGGACCATCGTTCGCCCGACCACCATCACCACCATTCAGAGGACCAGCGTTCCAACCAGGACCAGGTCCACAAACCACCATTGTCAAGACTACCGTCATCCGCGGTGGATAAGTATCCGTTTCTCAAATATGAACATTTTTACCATTTTTTCTTCAAAACTTGTTTCAATAAACTGATCGGTATTTTGCTGTTTTTGTCCTTCTTCTTCCACAAAACGAGTATCTTCCAGTTACGGACTAACTACATGTGAGAAGTGTAACAAAACATTGGTATAAAACTGCAGTGCAAATGATGTTCTTCCACTGAATCATGGCTACAACTTATATTCTAATCATTCTTACTTTGTTTATTTGTCTGTAAGTTGTCCGGATTGTTTCTATCTACTGCAACCTCTCAGATCAACTGCTCAATGGGGTCGTGGACCTGTTGTAATTGAGAAAACGATTATTGAAACACCTGGATTTGGAAGAGGTCCGGGGTGGGGAGGTGCTGGCCCAGGACGTGGATTCGGAGGAGGAGGAGGTTAAGATGAGATTTTATCATAATTGGATGGCTGACTGTTCAGGATTCGGAGGGCCAGGTCGTGGATGGGGAAGTGGCCCACAAACAGTTATCAAGGAAACTATTATCCGTCCGGGATAAGAATGATCTGAATAACTTCCGCATTGTCTAGTAATAAATATACGTATGATGTATCTGCGAAGATCAATTCCAATTCTCGGACTCTGTCATCTTTATCTCTCTTGTCATACTTTGATCTCTTCAAACATCACACTACCACCTCATACCTATCATCTCTATTACACTGTTTAGATTGGGCAAGAAAATGATAATTCGACCGAAACTGTCGAAATATCTGTGACTTTTTCCGTCACCCCGTCGGTGCTTCCTGCGCACTCATTCTATTTCATCAGTCGGCGTATCACGCCTCTACCCGACCGAGGTGCCTTATAAGCGCGCGATTCCTTGTTTCGAATCAGTTTCAACATCATGAACTCTTTCATCATTACTCTTCTTCTCGCCCTCTGCGCCATCGCCCTCGCCGCCCCGCAGGGATTCATCCAGAAGACCACCATCATTGAGAATGGACCTGGAGGACGTTTCGGAGGTGGCCCAGGACAATTCGGACGTGGAGGATTCCAAGATGGACCAGGAGGAAACTACGGACCAGGAGGAGCACGTGGATTCGGAGGAGGCCCAGGAGGAAACTATGGACCAGGAGGTAACTTCGGCGGTCAAGGTGGTAACTACGGACCAGGAGGAGGTAACTTCGGACAAGGAGGATTCGGAGGACGTGGAGGACCAACCACCATCATTAAGGAGACCGTCATCCGCGGTTAATTGATCTTATGATTTGAACTTTCTTCTTTTATTCATTTGACATGTGGAAATCGGTACAAATAATAAATGAATTCCATTAAAAACTGTAACTGCTTCACCTTGACCAGATCTGAACTTTCAAAATTACGGAAAGATGTTTGAAAACCAGAGACACAGATTTTTGGAAGAACGTTGCAATTATGAAATTTATATGAATTATTGGTAGTCTTAGGGTTGATTGACAGATGAAGTCACTCAACATCGTTGGTCCGAATACTTACAAACACTGACGAACCGCGGAAAACGAACAATCTTTTTTGCCATACACATTTTCCAGTTCAACAGTTTGTTCTGATATCCCCGAAGCTACTTGCGTGATCATTGATGTTTCTGTTATGATTTTCGAAATCTTTGATAATCATTGAATTCCAGGTCATACACTCATTTCCTGATTTTCGCCAAACGTCCACTGTTCGAGGAAGAAGTCAAAGGAGAATTCACCGAAAAAAGACGGTTGACGTCATTCCTCTTTACACTGTCTATCACGATTCGAATCGAAATATGGCGGACAGCGTGTGTCTTGGTTTTGGTCTATCGTCCGTCCTGGCTGTTTCAATGCAAAGGCGGAGATTCGTGACCGTGAACAGTAAAAACCGTATATAAACGAAGAGTTAGTTGGAAACCAATCACAAAATGCAGTTCAACTTCTTGATCGTACTCTTCGTTGCCCTCGTCGGTCTTGCCAGGTACTAGTTTGACGCTAAATTTAGGTTTTACTGATATCAAACTCATTTCAGTGCCCAGTGGGGTTACGGAGGATACGGTGGCGGATATGGAGGAGGATACGGCGGTGGATACGGTGGATACGGACCACGACCATGGGGACCAAGACCGTGGGGACCACGACCAACTGTTATTGAAAAGACAGTCATCATCAAGCAAGGACCATGGGCCGCCAAGGTGTAATGCGTTTTCTGTAGATTTCCCGTGTATTTGATTTGATTTAACTGACAATGAAGATTGTTCTTCTTCTTTTCCACGGATTTGTGGTCGTGTCTAAGCACATTATTTCTAACATCCATTTGTTTCCCAATATCTTTCTCGTATCTTCTTTTGTTTTCTTCAGTCAAGGTTAACACTCGATAGAATTGGTCAAGAAGCAGTTTTATCCAAAAACAAAAGAACAGATAGAAGATGAAACCCCTTGCCGAATGCCAAATTAGTCTCTACTCGGCAGTCAGTATCACATTCTTGATGAAATCAAGAGAATATTCAAGGTTCTCGCGGAATTCGTCTCCATTCGTTGCATCATCGAAGAAATTGGACAGGGTGAATGTGAAGCTGTAAAATATTTATAATCGGAGACGAATTGAAAGGAACAACGATCAAACCTGGTCGTGTTGATGCGATAGAACGCCCCGTAACCATCCTTGCACATAGGGAGCACGTATCCGAAACATCCGTTCTCATTGTATCCGAGGAAACTGGAATGAATGGAAGTTCTCTGGGTCCTGGCTTCTTGAGGCAACGTTTTTGTTTAAGATCGTGCAAAATCTTTGCAAATTTCTAACACTTAAATTAAAGTATGTTAGATCCAAGTTTCAGACCGATCGGCTTATCAAAGATGTGTGAATTTGGTTCAAGAAGTCTCCACAGTTCATTTCTGATCGGAAAAATGCGACTACACAAACAATTCAGACTTGAAAACGCTCACAATTTGCCTGTGCTGGCAATTTTATGGTTTACCTGGTTGAAAGTAAAAAGTTTCCATTCCCACCACTGGCCGCAAAAGATGGATGGTCGAGGAATGGTATCGACAATGATTCTCCAAGTGTGTTCAGTGCATTTTGTGCTGCCCTGCGAAACAAAGATAGTACGCTTTAGTAAGTCATTTTTTAGTGAGTTCTCAATGACGTGTTTCGAAGGTTTCAATTAGTGATCAGCCTTAATAAAACCACCCAATAACATTTTTTATGTTTTATGTGGGACCAGCAACTTCTGCGCCCTCCGATAAAGTACCTCAGTCCGAGGAAGTGTCTATCTACTCCTTTTCCCTCTCTCGCGGCGTCCATCAACGTGTTATGTGAGTTATACGCATCGAAAAACAACGTTTTCAATGTCTCATTCTGTAATCATCAAGAACATTCCAGTGTTTTTCGTCTAGTTTTACTGTAGCTCCGTTCTCGCATGCTTTTAGATACTTTTCAACATCTACTGCCAGACTTCTAACGGTTTCAGTGCGTCCATGATAGAATTTGCGAGTTGAGGCGGTCTCATAAGTTGGAGCCAATCTGAAGTTTACTATGTACTGTTTACTTTTTTTTTGAGGACACCTGTTATGCGTTTTCATGTACGCCATTTGCAACGCAATTTGGATAATTGTATCAGCGTACATTTTGCGTTTCTTGCAGTAAGCTGCTCCAAAACTGGAGTAATGATACACGTTCACATTGGTTTTTGAGCTCTGTAATCAGTCCACATTTTGACTCTGATTAGTTTCATGCAATTTTCAAGTCACCATCGCATGAAACTCCCTCTCGGCCTCAAAAACTCTTGCGGAAACCGATGCCGTCAACACAAACTCGATCTTTTGGGCAAAGTCCGGTGTATCAAGTCTCTTGAGCGGGGGAAGGCGGAAAATTGAGTTTTTCTTCGTAAATTTCTCATTAGTACCTTCTGCTCGCTTCTTTCCGAATTCGAATCGTCTTGAAATTGGTCAGCTGCAAAGTCGCAAGGAGCAAAAAGAGAGATGGCGTCAACATTTCCATGCTGAACGACATTTTACATGAAAACGAGTTCTGAATCATTCCCACCTCCGCTTGTAGACAAGCTTTTCCATCTCGAAGTACAATAATGTTTAGATTTTTGTCGCAATACGCGTTTGAAGATGAACCAAAAATAGAGTACTTCATGAGCTGTAATTTTTCGATTTTGTGTGTGTGCTCTTGAATTTTAGCACACCTGAGAGTCATTCTCAACAAAATCGTCTGATAAGGTCAAACAAAACACAGCGCTCTCAATGATTTTGAACAATTCACAGTTGACATAACTATTGTCCATTATCGCCCGTCGAATCTGTTACGAAAAAAAATTTCTTAAATTTAAGCATTTCCTGCAAAACCTCCGACCACTTGTCTCTGTCCAAAGTGGTTAGCTTTACAATTGAGTCGTTTTCTGTTTTCACCGAATTCTTCTTCAGCTCTTCCAAAATCTGACGTATTTGGAAAACACTCAAAGATTTTCCTCTCTGTATAGCATCCAGTTTCCAGAGATGACCATTACAAATAACAATAATATGAGACGGACTGGAGCCTTCTGACTCTAAATGAATTCGGACTATATTCTGAACATGGATCAAGTGTACCGGTGCAGAAATAACGTTCAATTTTGTCTTTTGGTTTGGCGGGAACTCGGCACGCGTTGAACAGATTGTACACTTGGAACATATCCCATTTCGTTCCTCTGCTCTTCGTAATCTCTATTTTCTCCCTGAAAACAGGGATCAACACGGATTACATTTTTTCCGTGCTCACTGTCTCACAAGGTTCCAGTAACTCATTATATGATGGATGATCTGCGCAGCGATTCCTACTTGCGAAGAGTTCGGACCAAATGATTTCGGGATAATCGCGCCCATGTTTTGAGTGAGAAGAGTTCCCCGATTAGTGGTGTATGCATCGTACCACCAGTCCTCCAGCTGAATTTTCTGTTTTGAGAAGAATTGTGCAACGGCTGCTTACCCAATTTTTCAACGATTCGGAACGCGTCTCCAAAAATGCTTGCATTTTGTGTCCGCCTTGAGAATTTGCAAACTTTTGAGCTATGTCGGTCACCGTTGTCAGCTCCTCATTAGAAATAACTGGAATCACTACAAGACACCCTTTGGGATAATATTTTCAGACAAAAAACTTATTTAACTCACATGCTTTGAGATACTTGTCAATAGTATCCTCAAGACCCGGAAGCGGGAGGGATGGTAAAGAGTTTTGGTATGAGAAGGTAGAATCGGTCATTCTCGCAGTGCCGAATTCCGAGAAAACTCGCATTCCTCTTCAGTTTTATAGATGCCGCTAATTAGGTTCATCCCTTTCAACCATCTCTGTTTTCACAAACAAAAACAATGAAAAGTGCAGTGCATCTCGAACTTTTTCGTTTTCGTTCCTTTTTCCCCTGTCCTGCCCTATTTTGGTTACATATCTACGTGTGTTTTTGCGAGTTTTCGGGTGACACTTTTCGAGAGCCACATGTAATTCAAAGTTTATGTCAATTAAGTTGACATGCGAGGAAGAAACGACGCCCACGTGCCTTCGGAATTCATTTCGTGATGCTCCTCGTGAACTCTGGTCCGCCCACCTGAATCCTGAAAAACAATCAGTGATGCAATGGTCTTCGAATCCTAAATTCTAATAAAAGAAGCTGTCCGATTCGTTCATTTCGTCACTCTTTTTCGGTAGCTTCCTTCCTTTTCCATTTGATATCTTAAAGTGCTCAATCAATTTTTTATGGCAAGTCCTTCTTCTCCCCGAATGTTTGGTACCTAACAGATGCAAAAAGCGTGAAAGCATGTTAGCATAACGAGGCAAATCAAGTCAGAGCAGAAAAAGGAACGAGAAAGGCGGAGCCTTCTGCCGTGATTCTTCTTACGTCACTATAAAAGAGCACTAGGTTCCAGCGCTTTCGTCCGTTCTCAATTCTCAGTCCTCAGTTTTCTCGTCTTGTTTTTTCGGTCATTGTGGGCTTTTATTCTGAAAATGAAACAATTTCAGGAAAATGCAACTTCTGGCTACTCTCCTGGCTGTTCTTTTTGCTTTCATTGCAACCGCTTCCGCATTCCGCGGTGGACATGGACGTCCGCTTTACGGTAAAATTCTCAAGCATCAGACTTTTTGTTGGAAGAGAAATGCACACCGATCTTTCAAATTTCACAAAAACATACAGATCCTCATTGCAGTAAGGAACGCCCAACTGATAGCTGATATGTCAATAGACATCGATGATATTCCGCCAAACTTGTTAATGAATTACAAAACGGACACGAAAAAGTTAATATTTTTGAGAATATTTTTGAGTGTTCTTGCCATTTCCGAGTGCTCTTTTCTGTCCTCATTTAACTTTTTCGCTTCCTGTTTTCTTCCGTTTCTCCGTTGTTCGTTCCTTTTCTTTTTGGCTGCTTTTAACCAACCAAGCATCAAACTTCCCGTTTTCAAATCTCTTTTCACGGTCCATTTGAGAGGGAATATAGAGTGGGGCGCGTACACCTGATGAGTCCGTCTGGACACAACAAGACAAATGTGTGTGCTTGCTTCCTTATGATGAACAAAAGGTTCCGCCTGGTCATGGGGCTAAAGTTCCGCTTTTCAGGAATAATTGGCGACGTGCAGTCGGTGGAGGGCCCGATGCCCCTCCGCGGATTCGCCAATCACGGTGGACGCGCGGCGGCCCGATCGTACGACCAGTGGTAGTGGAGGACGCGGCTTTTCATCAAACTTGATGACTGTTAACTTTGTGAAATAAAAATCTCGTGTTAATAATTCATTTTCATTGGAATCATCGGTATGCAAAACTGATAAGAATGTAAGACAAGATCATTAGGCACTGATAGTAAATGCAGTCGGTGTTTTCCTTGTTCCGGTTGGATGTCTCGAAACGATCGGTTCATCTGACTGCGAGTCTGATCTTTGAGAGCTTGACGTCGTACGTGAGCTAGGCCGACTTTGATGCTCAGCCGCATTCCCAGAAGAATCATAACCACTCCTGAAAAAGCGAAAACATCTCATTTTACCAACTCATTAGTAATCCAATGTGACTAACCTCTGGCTTTCGGGCACTGCGGGAGGTTTTCCGCGTAAAGCTGGAACTACGGCACTCTGACGGTCGGCATCCTGAATACGAAGCATCGAATTGAAGTGATCATTCATTAACAAACCCTGTCTTGCCAGCTAGGCTTCTTTTCCCACCATTCAGTTTTTCTGGGTTGTGAGGAATCAGGTCTTTGTTCCCGGGGCATTTCCCGCTGCTGTTCATATCTTGGCTGATTTCTAATGGACCGAGAATTCGGACGGCGTTCCGAGTATTCTAAAACCTCGCAGTTAGATGCAACCAGATACTAATGTGCGGGTAACCAACCAGAAAACGAGTTGGAGTTTCGCATGTTCTGAGAAGGTCTGATCGGTTCTTCATCTTCAGGATAGCTACGGTAGTCTTGTTGGTACTGCGGCCTCTCCACTGACTGACGACGTTCGTTATTTCGGTTTTGCGACTGAATCTGGAATTAGATCTTGAAAATTGACAAAAGGCCAGACTTTACAAGGTTATCTCAAAAGTTTTGAAAAGAAGAATAAGTAACTCAATTTGGAAAAGTTCCTGGGCCACATTCAAACAATTTTTCAAATCCTGAGTTTTGAACTTTTGATTTGCATAGAAAAGACTAACCTGTTGCTTTTCATAAACATGTTGATTTCTCAACTCCATTGCCCTGGCCTTCTCCTGAATTTTTCTTCTCTCCCTGTCTTCCTCTTCTTTGACCCTTTTCTGATACTCTTCCCATTTTTGTATCTCTCGTTGTTCCATGTCCAACTCTTTCTGTTTTTCCATTTCCCGTCGACGTTTGTTGTCGTCGATTTGCTGCTGGAGCTCCAGTTTGTGCTGCTCTTGTGTGCTGATGAATCTGAAATTTTTCAAAATGCCAGAGAAATTTCAATCTGTTCTCACGGTTTTTGGGACAGGTTGGGAAGGCTTCCATATTTCGACATCATCGCGTTATTTCGATATTGCTGTTTTGCCGACTGAGAGGGAACTTGTCGGCTTTCATTAACGTTCTGTCTCGATTGACTTCGAACCAGTTGATTAGCAGATGACACATTTTGCATTGGCTGCATAGAATTCTGCGGGAGAATTGGAACATTTTGATGTATCTGAAGCATACAAATCTAAAATCTCGCTCTGGAACAAAATTGCTGACCTGCGGCAGCATAATCGGTGGCCCAGTTGTTTGTATCTGACCTCCGAACTGCTTGTTGATCATAAGGTTAATGTGAGGCTCTACTGGAACGTAGACCAACTGTCCATTAACATACAGCAATCGTAATCCAACAATAGAGCCAATCGGATCGATCATAGACGATTGCAAAGCCGACTGGTAAACATTTGACTGATTGAGTGGCGGAAGGAATCTATTCATGAACTGATTATTGTTTTCCTGATTGCTTGATTGTGACGAGCTACTTGTCATGCTATTGCTGATTGTTGAATTGGCGACTGATTGTGAGTCATTGTTAACGAACGCTCTGAAAATTTGATATTTAAACACATATTTCAGCTGTATTTACCTGTTTTCATTATTATATCTTGTGGAATCAGTATTTTGTGATTGAAATGAATTGTTCACTTCTGCAGCTGGATTATACTGGGTCTGAGCAGTATGTTTGTATTGTTCGAACTAAAAGTACATAATAATTTGACTTTCTCATTTCATGTCACAATACTCACAAATTCAGACCTGCTGGAAGCATTGAAAGCATATGTGCGAACCATGACACTGCAAAAACAAAAAATTACCAAATCGGGAAGAAACACGGAAAATGTAGAGTGACCACTACAAAACATGAATAATAATGGTGGGGGGGTGGGGGAAGGAAAGAAGTGTACGAATATGTAACGAGACTACGCACAATTCACGCGAGCGCGTGCAGCTCCGCGCTGACCAGCCTAGCCTCTATAGTTGTTATGGAAACCATCTCCGACGCAGAAAACAAGTGTTAGCCGACGACGGCTCCCACGGCGGCGGAGACCCTCGTCAATGGGTTTCTGCGCTCTCCGCATAATTGTGCGTGTTCACCGGAAGCCGCGCGTTTCTTCTGACCACTAAAGTGCATCCTGGTCACGGGTGGACTCGGAAAGGGCATTTTTTCAGAAATCTCTGCGGACCAGGTTCAAAACTTGAAAAGACGATCGATTCTTCAGATTTTAATATGAAAAAAGTTTTTTAGTGAAAATCAGCTGGTGCACGCCGGACAACTAATTTGCAACCTTAAAATTACACAGGAATGATGCTTTGAATTATTATTACTAAGGCGGTCAGGCCGGGACAAGTATAAATTTCAGGAATGTTTTGGCTTCTTTAATAAGTCTCATGACGGAACATGTGAATAATCGTAAATCTGGAAAAATGACACTGGAAGCCATATTTTTCTAAATGAGCTCGTCAGGGAACAAAACAGATGTGGCAGCTTATGTTTGACTCTTCTTGGTCTCCTCGGACTAGGATTGAAGTATCTTGAGTCCAAGTTTAAGACGGATCGGGTTTTCTGGTCCCAATAATTTTCGCAAAAACCGGACTTTTCGGCCTTCAATCCTCATATCTCAAAAATGAATTATCCGATTGATTTGAAACTTAGACCCAAAATAGTTCAATCCAAGGCAAACATCCAGGCCTCGAGAGGTTTTCAAAAATCCTGGGCCGGCCGTTTTCCCCTCATTCCGCTGCATGTTAAAGTACACGATGTTGCGTGTGTCTGGAAGAAAGGAAAAAGATTGAACTTTCGATTTTTAATACTTTCTCCGTGATGGTCGAATAAGCGGGGAATGGCGACGAACTGTATGCAGACTAAAATTGGAGTGACCCAGTTTGCAAAAACACGACCAAGACGAAGGCTAATATACAAATAGGCGATATTTGAACAATCATCATAAGCTTCGACGCGTGTTCCCTCATGCACAAGCAAAACTCTTCTTCTTCTTCTTCTTCTTCTTTTCCTTTTATTGGAAAACGTCACTGGATCCCGTTTCACTCTCGCCTAGTGACCTTTCTTCATTCGCCTCATTGAAACTATTGAATGCCATATCATACGGTCGAAATTTTCGTGTCGTGGACGCACAAAAAGAAGTGAAACGATAAAGGCAGGATACCCAGCGGGATAGCTGAGGCATGCATCTTCACTCTCTCCAGGACGCCGGCGACCCACATAAATCCGAGGACGAGATAAACCCTTCCATTCTTGCGGATATATCACTTCATTTCACTTCTTTTCTCTTTCGGACAGTTAGTCTCGCCGAAGATCTCACTTTCTTTCTCATCACTTTCACATTTTCCCCCAGATTAGCTTCTCCTTAAAAGTCGATTCTTTCTTTCTTTTCAGACCACAGTTCAAAATGAGGGTGTTGCTCTGCACCCTCGCTTTTATTGCTCTTTCATCCGCACAATTCTTCTCTTCTGGAAGCACTCCTGAGAATTATTACGATCAATTCGGAGTCAAGGATGCCATTGGTGTTTGGAGTGATGCATTGAGGAAAATTGCTCTTAGAAATAACCCGAAATTGTGAGTTGCTAATCTTTATTTCGTGGTCTCTATGATTTTGTTAAGTTATGTACCAAGTAATGGCCGTCAGTTTACTATTGAACCTCCTGCATTCAAACCTGAAGATTTGGACTTGAACAAGCTAAAACGTGGAAAAGGAGACACTATTATTAGTGAGAAGATGTTGACCCTCTTGCTACCAAGAGTAAAGGGACAGAATCCGTTCACAACCACTACCACCACTACCACAACTACCACTACAACTACGACTACTCCAACTCCAACAACTACCATTACCACAACAACCACTCCTCCTTCAACAACTGAAGAAATTACGAAACAAAAACTTGCTGGAAGACTCGTTCAACCGGATATGGATAGTGAAGAGGTTTGCGTTCTGTTCTAATGACTCATTTTATGGTCTTTTGTTTAGCCCGATTCCGCAGAAAGTGGCGTCGGGAAGAAGAAGCATGCGGAGAAGGTCGAGTTCACCACCGACGACAACAATGTCAGTCAGGAGGCTGATGTCAAGCCGGAAGAGAAGAAGAAGGTATTCTTGCATAATCATGAGCTTCCAGCATTCGTGAGTAATGTTGTAGGAAAAGAAGAGTAGCGCTGGGACGACTGAAGAACCAACCACTGTGACATCCACCACGGAGAAGGCTACGACTGAAGCCACAACATCAACGTCAAAGGGTTCCAAGTTGTCCGTAAAGATCAGATCTGAAGATGAGAAGAAAGCCGAGGAGAAGGATAAAATCACTGACGAAGAGAAGCCGGATTACATGAAAAAGTTGGAAGAGATCTACAAAAAAGAGGAAGAGCTGGTGGAAAGGGAATTGGCAGATCTGTCAGTGGCGGAGATCTTCAGCAAAGAAAATGAGACGGAATCGACTACGGCAGCCACAACCACCACTAAAAAGTTGGTCAAAACCACAAAGGCAGCCACCACAAAAAAACCAGCTACGACTACGGCTAAGCCCACGAAACCACCGACCACCACCACCACCACCACTACTACCACTACTACAACCACCGAGGCTCCAACAACTACAACTACCACCGAAACTCCGACAACTACTACAACTACCGAAGCTCCAACTACTACTATTACTACTACCACAGAACCAACTACAACCACAACAACTGAGCCGGCAACTACCACAACTACAGTAGACCCGTTGGCGGAAAATGTTGCTCTTGAGAAACAAGCGATCGAGGTATGTGATATCTAACCCGTTTATTTCACGCAGAAAACATGATTTGTTGCTAGGTTCTCAAATCTTTGGACAGCGAGGAAAAAGCCGATCAAGAGAAGAATGTGGAGGTGCAAAAGCGAAAGGACGAAAGAGATGCGGCGAGAAAGAGAATCAACAACTTCCTGAAGATGATGCGTATGATATCATTGTTTTCTGAACACTGAACAAATTGAGAATAATTACAGAGAAGGCAAGAGATAATAAGGGTAAACCGAATAAGGATGCTAATACAACTACAACCACAGAAGAGCCGAAGACAACTACTGACACTACTGAAACTGCAAAGTCCACAGAGAGTACCACTGTCACAACAACTTCTGCTGAAGAAACAAAAACCACCAAAAAACCGTCGAAAATTCCGGAAGCTGAAGAAGAAGAGGTGGTTGAGGAAACAACGAGCACAGTCGGTGAGACAACTACAACTACTGTCAATCCTGAATATGAAAAGAACAAAGATGTTCTTGTTGGAAGTAAGAAAATACCCAATTTCTTGTCATAAAATTGATAATTTAGCCAAAGCACTGACCCCAGAAGAGTTCGAAGCTGCCATCAATGCAAAGCCACCAGCAACAGTGGATGAGACTTCGGAAATTGAGAAAGCCGAAGTGCCGGTAGCACCTCCAACCCTGGCCCCAATCACTCTTCCACAACTCACCGCCCCACAAATGTCTCAACTCATGCGTCCAGTTGCTGGCATCATGGAAGACATCCGACCCATTCTGAGCTCTCTTCTTTCCGGATCTTCTCAGTCTAGGGCCAGAGTAATATTGAAGGGACCTTTGAAATCTGAGAACTCATAATTTTCAGGCCGCATCTGTGAGGACATATGAGAGAAGTCAAAACTCGAATGTCAGAGACATCATGGCTGATGGATACTCTGAGAACTCATTAGTCGGCTTTGGATCGCAATTGGCTAGAGAAATTCTGAATCCAGGAATTTTGACTAGGGACAAACTGGTGAGTTTGTGGGAGCACATAAACAAAAACAACATAATTCTCGTTAAAGACAAGAGAAAAGGCTATGGCAGCTAAACTTGAAGAGGCTAAACTGAGAAGAAATGCCGCTGTGGAAGCGATGGCCACTGGCGCCCCGCTCGATCTTTCTGGGTATCAACAGTATCAACAAAAGGCAGCTGGTCAGAACGTGAGCAAAAACTAACTGCATAGTTGTTTCACATTAAATTTAATTTCAGAACAACCTTCCATACTTTATTCCACCGCCGAAAGGCTACGTTGGACCACTTCCACCAGCTCCACCTCCACCAACTTTCCGAGTGGCACCACGTAAGTACCAGGAAATCAAAATTCTGTTATGTTTTAGAATTCAGAAGCCTCTCTCCCAGTTGTTGAAGAAGAACCAAAACCAGTTCCACCAACACAACCACCACAAACTATTCCAGTTGTGACAACCAAGAAAGCTCGTATGTCAATCAATCAATATCACTGCTTATCTGATATTTTCAATCATTTTCAGCAAGAACAAATGACGAAGGATACGAGCAAGGACGTGATGACGTCAAAACCGCGTTCCATGGAGATTCCGGAGTGATGTTGGGCGGAGGACACAGTGCCCCGACCTCTGACTACATGTCAATGCCTAGTGAGACGTTCGGATTGGCACCAGCTGGTCCCCCAGCTCCCCCGCAAGCTCAGGCCCCACCACAAGCCAGAGCACCGCCATCGTCATCGTTTGGAGGGGGTGGTGGAAGAGGAAACGGATTTGGAGGAGGATCCGGACCATCCGTCCCCTTCGATGAAGTTGAGAAGAACTCGAAAACCGATTTCTCATTCTTCACTTCAAACAGAAAGAAGATGCTTTAAGATTTGAAGCACACTTAAATCATAATGATGTCATAGATCGTTAGCCATAACTTTAATAATAATAATAATAATAATAATAATAATTCCCTAATAATTGCTCGATCTTTTCTTTTCAATTGTACCCCGAATCTTTCATTCCACTTGTTTCCGACTGGTATTAACGTATGAAATGTTGATTTTCTCATTCAAAATGCATTCAACAACTCAACCGAACAGTATAATAGTTAAAATGCTCAAACACACACACGGAGCAAGGTAATGGCTAGTTTTGTACACAAATCATAACAAATAGGAGACAATTAAACCAAAAGAAAAGAGATACTCGTTTAGTCTGATTTGATGTGGTCGTCGTCGGCGTCGCCAATTCTGAATTTGGGTTTCAACGATGAAATCTTTCGGATCATTTCGTCCTCATCGTCCTGTTCGTCAATCTGTTTGAGCAATTCGTTGCGTTCCTCCTCGGTGATTCCTTGCATAATGCTCAGAATGTCGCCTTTGTTCTCTTCGAGCATCGAGTTCAATGTGGTCGTTCTGGCCAATCGTTCAAAGTACAGCTTCTGCTGAAGAGTTACCAGTTTGCTCGACACCTGGAAAACAATTTTGAATTAAGAAAATAATTCATGTTTCTTTAAAAGCTCACTCTTTCCCTCTTTAACGCTCCATCCCATTCCAAGTCGATCAATCCTCCCTTCTTCGCAATTTCCCTTTTGACCCTTTTAGCAAAAGTGATCGAGTCCTCGTTGTCCCGTCTTGTCATTGCCGGCAAATACCACACGTCACAGATGATGGCCCAAGAAGTCATCATACTCCACAAGTATCTTCCGTACGATTGGGCACTGCTGTTCCAGAAGGCGTCAGTCAGACGAGTGTCGTATTTCACAGCAATCGGGTAGATAGTCGAGCCAATCTCAAAGGATCCCTTCTTGAACATCATCACAGACGTGTTGTTGATGCAGGTCCCTTCCGGAAAGATGATGATCGGCAGTTTGTTTTCGTCGTTCACGTGTTCACGCATTCTGAACAAAGTTTTTTGAATTTGAAAGAACTTGTTAAAAAGTACCTGTTCACGACTTGCTTTCTATCTCCGGACTCTCCCCGTTCAAACCAAATGTGGTGTTCCGAGCGGCTGAGTGTGTCTTGCAAGAAACCAAGGAATCCCCCTTGTTTTTGTCCAATCATAGCGTAACAGTTGTCACAACTCAGAACCATCACATCGATGGGTGAAGTGTGGTTGGCCACACAGATTCCTCCCTTCATCGCTCGATTGTGTCTGTCGTGGAAGCGGATGACACTGGAGAAAGCACGAGAATAGATTCGCATGCACATGAGCATACACCTTCTGTTCAGCCATTTACGAGTCCTGAACAACACAAAATTTATCCAAATACGACTTTTTAACTAGAAAAATCCAGATTTTCTCCGACCCGGTTAGCTGTAAAACATTAAAAGAAACCAAACTGAAAAAAACCAAACTTTTCAAAAGTTTTCACTGTTTTGTAATGACCCGGGCCGAGCCGACTCTGTATTTGACCAATCTGGAAAAAATCCTACTTTGCATGTGGGACGAAGCCAATAATCGAAGTCGAGGCGATCATAAGACAGATTGCAATGCCGAAAAGAGCGATTCTGCACGGAACGAGCACGTAGTACCGGAACATGAAGCCAGCAATCCAGAGAAGTGTCAGTTGCCAGCTGAAAAAACGGGTTGCTTTTTTGTTTTTCGATCAAAATAATCTGACTTGAAATAGTGGAATGAGTATTTGGTTCGACTGAGCAGATTCCATGATGGGAGTTGAGCGGCGGAGAATCGGTTCGTCACCTGATCTTCAATAACCGCTTCCATTCCGGCCTGAAAAACAACTTCAATTATGTTATTTTCTTAAATCAGTAACCAACCGTAATAAAATCAAGAGTATCATCGACCAGAACACTGACGGTCGTTTGTTTTGAATCCGGAACACCAGTTTCATGCAGTTTCGCGTCGATCACATCCGATTTCTGGCGGTGGATAATACCTGAAGCTCCAATCAACCGAAATTTCCGAACAAATGCTCAGGAAACGTACCGAGATCGGAAGAAGAGGATGTTCTTCTCGGTTTTCTGATAATCGGCTGGAGTTCCTCTTCAATGACCGACGAGTTCGAACCATCATCGGGATTGTGGAGAGTGGCGCCCCACTGAAATGTTTGATTAGTGATGTCTTGTAAATTTGGTTAGATTCTTACCTCAAAAACTGTTATCAAAGTGTTGACGTACAATTGGCGGAGTCCGAGCGTTTTTCCGGTTACTGCCAGAAACATGAGGAGTAAAATCAAAGCCCAGAATATCAGTAAGATCATTCTGTAAATGAGAATGAGTTAGATCCGTGCAAAAGTGGACAAGCAAAGAAAAACGAAACGGAGGAGAAATGAGAACAATGCAAAAGGGATAGGCGGTGAGAAAAAGAAGAAATGGGCCGTAAACATTGTTGATAAGTAGTCCTCTTCCTGATCCGATCGCATCACTCACAGTGTTGCGAACTGACCACTTTCTTGTCATCTTTGTACTAGAAACACGAGAAAAAGTTGATCGAAGACAAGAAGAGAAAAACGGAGTTGAGGCGGCTGATAAGAAGAACCAGAACCAATTTCAACTCGAATGTTATCTGGTAAACAAGTGTCAGCAGCACATGGCTGGAAAGAAAAATCAATACACACACAGAAGAGAAGGACGCAAAATACCAACTGGGCGGAAGGGCAAAGGCACGGCAGAGGAGGTGAGTGAACGCGCGGTAATGAGTCAGGTGGGGGAGAGTGTTGCGGTCCGCAGAGTACAGGGTACACAGCACTACGGTGTACTCTGATCGCCTCTCTCTATCGCCAGTGGCCGGCTTTAACACCAACGAAAAATAAACAAAGTCTGAAGTTTTGCAAAATGTCTCGTCATTGCCTTTTGTCTGTTTTGTGCACAATTAAGTTGAGAGAACTTGTGTGATGTGTCGCTTGAACAGAAAAAAAGTAGAAACGTATAACGTTTATTCAAAAAAAAACACCGTTCTCTGGCAAGAAAACAACCCGTGCTTATTACATGTATTTGGAAAACTCGTAATAGAATGTGATTATGAGAGCGCCGCCGGTTGAACGGAGCGAATTGGTGAGAGCACCGCGGTAGAAACCATTGACACCTTCTTTGCTGAAAAAGATTTGGAATGAAATACTCAACTCGGTTTCATTTATTTCTTACTTGTACAGTGTCTTCCAGCAGTCTTTAGTATTCTGATATTGCTTAACCTTTTTACCAGATTGCATCATCATACTCCGTCGGACCGTATCCAGCGGATAGCAGATCATTCCACTGGCCACTATTGAGACCTGAAATTGAATTGAGAAAATTAGCTTTTGGTAAGTCTGGAGACGTCATTTGTACCTGAGCGATGGCCCAGCACGCCGCAAAGTTCAGTGTCTGAGGATCTTCGACACTCGTTCTGAGACTGTCAAAGATCCCAAAGAAGATTGCCCGCGAGGAGATCACAAACTGCATTGCTGAAGATAACCCTCTGAAATTTATTCATTTACATTTCTCGTTCAGTAAGTATTGACTCACTTGAACCATGAAGTTGCTCCTTCAGATGCTCGGATCTTTTTGAGACAATCCATCATTCCTTTGTACTTTTTCGAACCATCTTTCTTCGAGTCAAGTGCAAGACGTGTTCTTGCAAAGTCGAATGGATACAGCAAAAACAAGGTTGTCGCCCCTCCCAGTCCTCCTGACACGAACGTACCTGAACTTTTGTCAATATGATCGTTGTTCTTCTGCTCTTTTTCAGACTCACCCGCAAGAAATTTATTAAAGTCCTTGTTGCGATCAACGTTTTTGAGAAGTTTGTTTCTGTAAATGTCGCGGAAGGCAAAGTTCAAAGTGTGATTTGGAAGGCATCTCGCCACTCCCGCGCCGTTTCCTCTCCATAATGCCATTGCACCCTAAAAGTCGGACAGTTTTCATCGATAAACTATGAAATGTACTTTACCTGTTCAATACTGATCTTTGTAATGCAATCTTTGATACCGGTATACTTGGCCATTGCATATTCCCCGCGTTGTTGAAGCTAAAAGATTAAGATCAAGATCATCGGAAACTTGTTCGGATGGCCAGCTGTGTTTTCCTTTTCTCAAGAGAGATTTCACTCACCTGAAGGACGAGTTTCACTCTGTCAAATGGCGCGGTTGTCGTTTTGCTGATGGCAGCGGCCGCACTTCCTGCCAAGCACTTTTTGCAAGTCTCGAACGCATCCAGAGTAGACGTCGAAGCCATTCCGCAAAGCGGATGACGAGCGGGAAGCTGAAAACGTAAGGTTAGGACTGTGATGACCCGGAAACTGATCAAATAAAAAGGATAATGGCATGATGGAATGATGCAAAATGACAAGACAAGGCGTTAAAATGCAAAATGAACTTGATTGCGGCAATGGTATGATAGGCAGTCGAGGAGGAAGAAGGACTGATAAAGAATTAGGGGAAAAGTCTTTGATCACCCCACCAGCTGATTCCCGATAACATGTCAGTTTCATTTCCTCTTCAGACCGCACGTGGACAAGAAAGACAGTGACAAAGAGTGCCCTAAAAATATTTTGGCAAAGTCCTCTGGAACACACCAGAAAACAGCAAGTGGTCCGTCCGCGAGAGTCGCCAGTTATATGGGTTTCTATCCAGGCCGAAAGATGATGAAATACACGGAGTTGACTAACAAAGAAAAAGAACGGTTTTGCGCGGACAGAGCGCGTTTTGCAGGGTGGCCACTGAGAAAGAGGCACGAAAGAGCGTACGCGTTGCAGAGAGGACGGGACATTTGGGGGTCGACGGGGAAACACCCCACGAACGGAGCACGTGAATAGCAGCTGAACCGGAGAAATACATAGGATGAGTCCCTGAGGGCGAGGAGGACTGAACAGGACCAACTGTTGCAGGCCTGTTGTGATTGGATCTTCGCTATACTAATGTTGTGGGAGTCAGTGCATTTTATAGCAAAACAAACCAGGAAGTAATGCACATGAACGGAATCACTTCCGCTTTCCTGAATAGCATCCTTTTTTGGGACAATGTTTCCAAATTGAAAAGGGAACATGTGAAAAACCGCACTGAATGCACCTGAGAACCGCTGATATACTGGCATCGAGTGACTTTTGAAATACACTCCGCCACCTCGTAGTCATGTTGATTTGTAGCCTCCTCCTCCTCTTCCGCTCGGAAAATTTGTTTCCGATCCTCGAAAGCTTAGTGATTCATGTACACTTGCATTGCTGTTTCACGTGGACATTCACGTGAAAGGCATAAACAATGAAAGGGAGAGAAAAAGCTGGGGGAGGGGGACATGATGCACCAAATGATACGATTAGTGTGCAGAAAATTATCAGAAAATCGGGAATCACGCAACCCATTTCAACGAAAAGAGTCTAGACGGTGAAGGTAAAAGTCAAACACAAAATAAAACGTCGAGAGGGTTGTTCCCGTGAATGTTTGGGTGCAAAACGGATTGTTAGGAGGAGTAAACCAGTTTTCTCGCTCACATTCAAAGATGTTTATGTTCCGTTGAAAACAAACGCATTTCAATGAAAAAAGGTTTACATGTATAAATATCATCATCACAAGAAAGTTAACCAAAGATCAGATATATTTCAGTTGTATTGCACACTCATACACAGTTATATATTAAAATTAGAGTTATTAACAGTGAAGGGAGAAGTTATAGCATTGTCGACTTGGTATTGTCGAACTTTGGAGAAGTGCGGAAGCAGCAAACATGCAGGATCGAGGCAACGGAGATGATGAAAAGGAAGGCGTTTAGAAAGACGAGAAGTGTCGTTCCGATGGCGGTCATGCACAATTCACTCTGGAAAAATTTCTAGCCTAACCCTAAAATACTGTCCTTACAACTCTCATATCGAAATTTCTCTGCAGCCAGTTCAGAGAAATTATATCGTCATTTGGAATAATGTAGTCGCTGACTATCTCGGACTCTTCTGAAATGTGTATCTTATCGGTGCAACGTGCGGAGACAAGATTTCCGTACCTTCATAGTCAATTCGAGTCATGTTCTCGACTGGTGCTGGCAGATTGTTCGATCTTCGTCTTCTTGGCGGGTCCGGGCAGGATGGCACCTTTAAAATCAAACTTTTCCTTGTTTATTTGCCAAGTTATATCACTCACATCACAATAATCTAGTCCCGGCTCTTTGACCGTAATCGATATCTGACAGTCGAAATTCATATTGTCTCTGTCCGCATATTTGTACACGTGAGCCTCCCTTCCAGCCATCAGATCCGTGGGATACTCGAGGTTTGTCAGAAGATATTTGTCCAAAGCACAACTGAAAATGGAATGTAACTAGTCCCGCACCCTTGTCTGGCACCACACCCTTTCTCGTTCAAAAGCTGTACTCTCTGTCCGTTCCCATCATCCACGAAACACGAGTGGACGAGCATGCAGAACGTGTTTTCGTGTTCCGTCTCGCAAGTCCATTTGTGATAGACCTGAAAAACAGTTCTACATTGATCCTTTGCTTGTCCTCTTATTGTTCTTGACGGCACACCAATGCGCAATACTGACCATCTGACCGACAGTTGCAAAATAAACAGGTGGACCCGTCGGCGATCCATCCAGCACCTCATATTTGCAAACTGGCATGTTGAGCTGCTTTGAGTGCATTGTCGGTGGAGGCATACTAAAGGAGAACAAATCAGAAATCGAAATTTGATAGTGTTTCGTTTGACACGAAACCAAATATGACAAGAAGCGGAAAATTGAGAAAAATGAGAAACACTAACGAAATCTGAATCTCCTTCTGAATTCGTCGCTCCATTTCCATATAGAAACATTGAACCTTGAACACGCGATCGTTTTTTGTCAGAAATTCCGGATTGAATGCCACAACGACATTTGTGGAGAGGAAGAGTCCTCTTGGTGATGTCTGAAAAAGAAATGATATCAGTTTGTGCTTTTCATTTGCGTAATCACGATTATCCCAATCACATGACGGGGGCGTTTGTACGATCATCATCCTCCATAGTCAGAACCTCAACTCACGTGTTTTCAACCAAAGAGCTCAAATCTCACACTCACTCATTCCACTCCCACATATATTTTCAGTGTTAAGTTGATTTTTCTCGTGAGAAAAAAAAAGAAAAAGTCACAATGTGATCAAGCTCTTTCTCGACGAATAAGTAGGAAGTAGAGCAGCATAACAATATTTGCCGTTCGTTGCTGATCTTCTCCGATCAACCGGCCGTTCCGGTACTCTGACTCTGACAGGCCCACACCAAAAGTTGTCCAATATCAGTTTTTCACTTCCTCTCCTTCTCTCAATTGATATGTTGATAAATAATCGTGGAGGCCTTGGGGCCGGATCGTTTGCTCAGCAATGTCCGGTTCTCTATTGTCCGCCGCCGCGTCGGCTAAGACCGTTCGTGAGCCGGCTCTTCTCGCCGATTATATAAGCCGAGCGCATTGATATGATGGCATCAATTGCATCGCATCGCTTCTCATTTTATGTTCATATTTAGTACACATTCCTTTAACCACTCTGTCCTTTCAGATGCGTCGTTCTGTGCTCATTCTGTCTACTTGTGCTCTTCTGGCTCTCGGTCAAGACTGGGGAGGAGGAGGAGGTGGTTACGGTAAGAAACATACATTTCCTTTGCTTTCTCACCTAAGTTTTTTCAGGAGGTGGTGGCGATATGGGAGGAGGATACGGCGGAGGTGGCTACGGCGGAGGTGGCGACATGGGAGGTGGCTACGGAGGTGGCGGCGATGGAGGAGGCTATGGCGGCGGTGGTGACATGGGAGGGGGATACGGTTAGTTACTATTTTCAACATCTCATAACTAAATTTTAAATTTTCAGGAGGAGGAGGTGACGGAGGATACGGTGGCGGATACGGAGGAGGTGGCTACGGAGGTGGTGGCGACATGGGAGGCGGCTACGGAATGGGCGGTGGAGGCGGTGGAGACGGTGGATACGGAGGTGGCGGATACGGTGGAAACATGGGAGGCAACATGGGAGGCGGCGGTGGTGGATACGGATCCTACCAAGGAGGAGGACCACAACAGCCGATGGGAGGCCAGCAAGGAGGATACGGAGGACAACCGTACGGAAATGCCGGAGGATGGCCACCAATGCCGAACTGAAGCGCGTCGAACTGTCATCCACTTGCTTTTGATAATTTATCCTAATTTATCCCCCATTCTAATTATCTTGACTTTTGATGACTATTCGTTTATTCGGAGATCATCGTCTATCTAATCCTCTCTTTTTGTGAAATGAACCATATACTCTCGAGAATTCCTTCCGGATCCGATATGCAGATAACCCAATGTTCAACAGAGAACCGGAAACTCACTCACCGAAAGTCGTTTTTCGATGGCGCACTGATCGAATGTCAGCCTTAGACTGCTGTTCTTCGCAGATTCATCTTTTCTGACAAAAGTGCGACAATCCGGATTGTCGAGGTGGTTCTGCACAAATGCGATGCCATGGAACGTTGTCCTCGTGTCGAATTTCACCTATAAATCATATCGTTCTTGGATTCTTGAGGAATATTTAAAAAATACTTCAAAAAAGTCATCACCACACTCGACTGAAGGATCTCCGACAATTGCGTTGTCAATTTCACCTTGAGCGGCTTGCTGTAAAATGAATTTATTTTTCTGGTTCTTCTTTTGAAAAACATTATGAGAAGCCAGAATTTCACCAGATTTATGAAAAGTTCAAAGAAAGCTTACCAATAGGATTGCAAAAACCGCTAGCACCAAATTCATGAACAAAGTCTGAAATAACGTGGCAAGGAATCGGAATAATTAGGGCAGAAAGGAAAGAAAAAGACATGAATGAGAAAAAGAGGGAACGACTGAGAGAACACCTATAAAACTGACAGATTAGCTTCGGTTACGAGCGCTACCACTTCCTATAACGGCTATTCCATCATGCGATTAGAACCGAATGTGTTATCGGTGGCCCTTTAAGGGTAGACGAAGACGACAAGCATCAGAAGCTCTTGAAAAAAGGAAAGGAAAAGACGGGGAAAGAACAGAACAGATCGTGTTTCGTTTTCACAAAAGACGTTGAAATCTGGCTGAGGGGCGGTGAGTGAGCGAGTGAACTAGCCTTATTATTCTCGAAATATGCATAGATATACATCAGACCATTCAATTGTATTCCCTACCAATCGCAATCGCGTCAATCTCTGAGAAAGTCCCTCAACTGCCCGCCACTCGAACGTCTCATCGAACGGAAAAGGAAACTGTTATGAAATCGAGAACAAGGAGGACGGTTTCGGTGAAAATGAAGGAAAATATGAGTCGGAAGTTAAAGCTATTAAATTTACGTGCAATGTTGCGAAGGCTCATACGAATCCAATACAATTACGTTTCAGTTCAAGCGCAACATTTTCCCGACTGCTTGCCGCTCATTCTATATAATAAGCGTCGTTTCCCGCCTAGTTTTGTTGAGAGAGTTGTACGTGAGTCTGAAAAAAGCTTACTCTGAAAGATCTGCAATAAACTTTTTGTAACATCTCTTCGTTCCGTCTTGCCACATGCAAACGAACACATTTTTTCGATTAAGAATATCTCTGAAACGTGTTTCAAATAACACGAGTATTTCATCAGGATTTCTTTTCCATCCATCCGACACATTTCTTCTTTGGTGGTTCCGATAACGAATTTCTTTCGAACAAACGGAACATGAGCAAAAAGTCTTTGTTCTCTTGCAGTTTTTATGCAAATGCACTTATAGGCAACATGCAGAGTCTGTCATTTGCATACACTTGTTTTGCCGGCCATTTCTGAAAACAAAAAAATCATGTGCCTATTTTCAACAGTTTTCTATCTATTTTGTACAATAGATGAGCTCTAAAAACTCAATTTCCGATTTGGATTTGACGGGAAAACATAAAAATGACGTCGACTTTCCCGATTTGTTCATCTATCACATAATCCTTTCGCTATCCAGACTCACGTTATAATTTGCTCGACATTTCGGATGCGCTCAATTTCATTTTACATTCACCTATAAAGTGATGTTAGGCAGTTTTGGTCGCAAGACGTGTGACGTTACCAACTTTTGTATTTTGTTAGAATCAGCTGGTTGCTTATCTCTGTTCCAAAATTCATGTGACCGCGTTTAAATTATATTTTCCTACTAACTAAACTTTTTATAGATATTTCTTCTATGTAGCACTTGATGACGTTTTGGTACACACTAGTGTTGAGCGGAAATCCGTCTTCTCTTTTTCGTCCTTCCGTTTTCCGTGTTTTGGAAATTGTTATTTTTTCTTCCGTCTTCCGTCTGTTTCCGCTCAACACTGGTACTCGCGATAATTTTCGACTAGCGTCCGACATGGGAGTATAATGATTTTTATTACGGGTAACAAGATAAGCTGATGCAATGAACTCCCCAAGGGTTTTGCCGTTTCGTCGCCGTTTTCCCGTTCTGTTATCGCCGTTTTTTTGTCGCTCTTTCTTCCGCCTGCCTCCCAGCGCCCTTGCCATTTCCACTAGAGTGCTGGCGCCCTCATCGCCTGACGCGTGGTCATATATTGTATTCTGGCCGTCGCGGTCTCTCCAGCCGTTCTCTATTTCTCGTCGAAAAGACTCTTTCCCCACTGCTTCATTCCGGCTGGCACCGAATCGATTCCAAGACTCTTCGTTTCCAGTCATTGTCGTCTAGACTAATACTCGACTAGCAATCACATTGCTCGTAACAACCAAAAAGAATGTAAGTTTGCTTTTAGTAATCGAGGAACGGGAGTCATCTCGGTTAATGGATAGTCTGGAGTCTGGAGTCTGGAGTCCACATCACCAAAAACTAAAAATTTGGAGGGGGTGCGGCGGTCGGATTGTATTCTGAATACAATCCTTCTCGGACTTTGTTATTCGTCAGTCACCGAAATCGTCATCTGTTATCATCATCAGTTGGCTGGATACTCGTTCCGTCCCTTTGAGCTCGACCGCTGATAGTGACTTTTCACTTTTCCGAGCCCTCTTTCCGTCGTGCCTTTGCCAGCTGCCAGTCGGGCCGATTGAACTCAATTTGCTTTGCCGTAGCATCCAGGTGTAGCTAACATTCTCTTTTTTCGTATTTCTATCAAGGAATGGCAATAAATTTCTCCAAACGGGAACTGGCAATTTTTATTATTCGTTCATTGCGTCACTTCATCCGTTTTCGATCCGCTCAAAGAACTCTGACGACAGCAAGAAGAAAATGTTCAATTCCGTTTTTTTCTAATGTTTGAGTGGTTGGGTTCACTTGGACTCTCAGACAGAAGTGGTCTAAACGAACTCCTCCGACTTGAAAGTGCTCTTTTCTTTTGCGGATTTCACCTTAAGAGCAGAATCCTTTAGAAAAGAACAAAAGCCCTTGCTGTCGGACTTACTGCGTCACAGCCCATAAGTTCACATTATACCTTTAAATATGTCTTGTGACTCGAGCATGTTCCCTGATAAGTTAGAGCTTTACAACCTCTCAACTATACGATTCAGTCGGACGATTACATTTCTGACAATTTGTTTTGTGAATACCGTTGTTTTATTCTTCCCGATGATTCATCTTGTTTCCTTTTCTGAAAAGGATGGTTAAAATCGTACGAATGTTTACATGACATTACCAAATTTTGAGAAATTGAGATACCAAAAACTTTTCAATCTTTATTTAATCCTTTCACTTTGTTGTTACATCAGCCACCTCGTTTCTTCCCCTTTATTCAAAGTTAAGTTCTTCAGTTGGTCTAAACCCTTAAAAATCGGCAACATGGCACTGGAAGGTGTTCCGTAAGTTTGGCTGTACAAATTCCTCTATTCGGCTTATCTCTTCTTTTTTCAGTGCCGAAATTGAAAATCAGACTGTCTATGAAACAAAAGGTGCAAATAGGTCAATTGACATTTTTCGAAAATTTGAGTATTGTAGATCTGCTGGCGCATTTGGCGTCTAATCGTTGTTCTCTTCTCTATGAGGCATACATGAAAGAACTTAACGTTATGAATGATGAGCAAGCTTCGGCTCTTACGTACGCTTTTGAAGGCCCTTATGAGGGTATCACCAACATAGAAGTTCAGCTGCTAGAGAAGTTGTGAAATATAAAATCCTATGAACGAGTCCTCTTAAAGATATTTGGGAAAACGTGTTCGGCGTCGAAATCCGGAGAATGTTTCCGAGATAACCGAAGCACCAGTGCGTGGTATTCGTATTTGGAACTGCGACGGACACCTCACTTATGTTCCAACAGGGTTCAAAATAATAGTGGACCCAGATTACAGCTCCGAGTAATAAGCTTGACATATAACGGTTTTTATTGTCTTTTTAAGGTCTAACGATTCGCCGGAAATTGTCAGAGAGGTGACTTCGTACTTACCTACCCTACAGGAAGAATTAGAAGCAAAACGGAAGAAACAATACCCTCCTAATCCGGAAATGACAAAACTGTTGGAAACTTTGAAATTAAAACTGGAAGAACAACGCCTGAAAACGGAGTTTGAACTGCTTGAACTACCCGAGCCGTCCGGTGCAGCCTTAGAAGGTCTCATCAATTGCGTCGAGAATCTTGAAAGGAAAATCACTAGGCTGCGAAAAGATTGTTCTGATACTCGTGAATCCCTTATTAAGTTTGAAGTTGGAATGCCTAATGTGGAGTTGTTAGAAGTTCGTCTTCCACTCGACTTTCTCCATGACCTTTGTCGGAAATTCGAGCAACTTGAACCAAAAAAGAATGATCCTATTGACGGGGAATACGCGAAAAAATACAGAAGATTCATAGCCACGTTGGATGTGGATTCATATTTACTAATGGACTTACATTCGAATTTGAATCTGTTTGCTGCACGTTTCGTCAATCTGGTTCACAATGTTGGAGTAATCATGGATATGATGTGCTCATTTCCGTTTATTGTTCGAGAAATAGCCACCGAAATCGAGAAATGCCTTAATTCTTTCGAAGAACCAGAATCAGCCAGAATGTAAGTACGAGCATGAATCAATATAAAAAGAATAAAAGTTATTTCAGTGTGGATAACCGTTTGGTCTCTTACAATGAAGCTGTTCCAGCCCCATCCAGCTCTAGAAAAAGAAAGAAGTCGTGCCCAGCATGTGCAGCCGATGCCAACGCGAACTCGAATATTGCACATATCAAAAAGTTAGTGACAAATGCTGATTTTTGAATAACCTCCATTTTTTCAGTTGCCTACAAAAAAAGGGTCAAGTGCCAAGACAGTTGGATGACGACTACTGCGACCTAGGGCGGCGAATCACCGGAGTACAATTGAAGCCAAGTGAAGGACCTTCCCAGGTCGAGCCGTCGGGAGAGGAAAAGAAAAAGTGCGTTTCTGAAAACCGAACAACTAGAAATTAACGTTTTTCCGATTTCAGACCTCGCCGACGTTGCCCGAGAAGAGCTCGCACGTTCAACGCGGCTGTACAGAAACCTTAGAGAATCCGATGCAATATTTTCACCTATTTAATCAAAAACACGTCCCAAAAGTCCCAAAATCCAAAAAAATCTAGTCTTAGCTTTCTTTTCTTCTTCCTCTGTATTTTCTATTCTCTAATGGCTTTGGCTGTTTATTGTATTGATGAACATCTTTACTTCGCTTTTAGCGGTCATCGCCAATCCAATTTTATTACCCTTTCTCATTTCCAAACAAAAATCCCGTTTTTTCTTGCTCTCTCATTTCCAATTTCGTGGCTCTCTATGATTCGCTTCGTTCCCTTGGTGGTTTAATGTGATGGAAATTGAGAATGTTTTTCAAATAAAGTATTTTTGTCCGGGAAATGAAATAAAACGCCTCCTTTTTTTTCAACCGTTTTCCTAACAGAAATCAATGGTCTCACCATCCGAAACGTTCGAAGCAACGGAGCGAGCCTGGCCGCCCCCCTAGTTGGATACGGCTCGCCGCTTCGACGTGCACTCGTTTTTCCACAAGACGGACACAACGCATCCATCTGTCTTTCCTTTCACTGCACAGATTTTTTGAGAGCGGGCAGGCAAGCAAGCGAGCGTTTGGTTTGTTTCTGACAGAATTGAGTCTATTATAAGTATTGATCGAACGTTTTTTCCTCTTCCTCTTTCACACAGCGCCACATTGCATTCGCTCATTCTGCTCGCTTTTCAACAATCATTCGTGTTCCGCTCCCGTACTTTCCAGCGCTAAGATTTCGACGTTTTTCAATGTTACAGTTTTTGTTGTGCAATATTTTGCTATGTTGTCTTTTTTTATATTTCAAAACTTTCAGTTGTCGGTCGACACAGCTCTATACAAGACGAAATGAAGCGGCAGCAGGATCCTGACTCACTGCCTCCAAAAAGACAAGCCATTTATGACATGCGCTTCGGAAACGTGAGTTACTGTAATGACTGAAGATAGATTTTTATGTTGTTAGTCCAAAGATGCATAGCATACACTTAACATCAATCATTTGAAAACTAAATTGTAGTGAAAGTCGCAACATGTGAAAAAATTTACGTCCACTGGAATTGTTTCGACATATTGTGTTAGTCACTTGATTTCAGAGAGAACCGACTCCCGAAAGTGAGTCACCGAGTCCGTGTGCTCAATCACCGGAGCCAACTGAAGGAACCACAATGGGAGACCAAAAATATGATGTGAAGAATTCGTCGGAGCCAGGTAGACGTGGTCGTGTTGTCGTCGTATTGTCTCATTTACATTTCAGTAGCGAAATGGCCATTTCCAAAAACCAGGAAAGGGCAAAAACGCACTGATCCTTGTATGGCTTCATTATTCTAAGCGTCTGTAAAAGAGATTAATTTCAGTTCCGAATGGCCTTCCCCATGCAAACCGCTACGGAGCAATTAAGCCACGTCCGCTTCCAGAAGGTCGGTTTTTGTACTTGTTTTTTTATCTCTTTCTCAAGAATCATTTCCAGAAAGTCCAATCGAGCTAAAACCGGCTCCGGTGGATGCGTCATGGCGTCAAACTCATGAAGAATGGCTTGTGGAGCAGAACAAAAAAGTGTACGAGATGAGTATGGAGATGGAGAGAAAACAAGTGGCTGAGCGGGAGGAATCGGAAGAAACTCCCAAGACGAAGAAAAATAGGAACATCAAGAACCTGAAACTCAAAGTCAGAATGGAGGATGTTGAGGACGAAATGCACGAAACATCGAGCAGCCACGCTTCGCATCGTTCCTGAATGTTTGCACTTTGTGTTTTTGGACTTTTCCTTGAAACCATATCTCTTCTCATTTGTATTTCTCTTCAAGTGCCAATACCCCATGCTTTTGTAACATTGTAGTTTTAAAAGGGCGCTTCCCTTCTGGTTCTCCTCCACTTTTTCTTTTTCTTGCTATTGACAGTCCAGCTGACTTGCAGGTTTCTTTTGATTCCTGGTGGTTCAGCTGGTCTAGACGATGCACTTTCCACCTGAAAAGTGCAGCAACTTGTACTCTTTCTTATATTGAAAACATTGTATTTTAAAGCCTCCTAGTGATCTATGTTTTATAGATTTTCTTTGTATCTAGTTTCTCATGCCGAAAAGCGATAGAACATCACAATCACACATTTACGCTGTAACAATAGATTCACACTTTCTCTCGTCATCTTTTTGTCACTTTATTCTAAGAAAGAGAAAATGAATAAACTTGTGAAAAGTAAAACGGCAAATACAAACAATGCAACAAATCAACAGAAACCGTCTTTCATCAAAAAATGTCGTAAATTAGAATGGGAATGAGAATGGGAAGACAAAGACAGACTTTAGGCGAGAATTCCAATAGGTTCGTCCTCAATTCCACACGCGTTGATTCCACGGGCAAAGTAGATGTATCCGTGTTCGACTCCCCAAGTGTTACCCCAACTGTTCTTCACAATCCAGTACTTCTCGCCCTTTTCGCTTGTTCCGTAACCAGTGATGAGAAGAGCATGAAGGCCAATAACCTGTAAAACGAATATGGGTTTTGGTTATCAGTTGAATGCACGGAAAAGATAAGACGGCTGGAAGAGAATTTGAATGAATACCTCGTTCTTGCAGGCATATTCGCTCGGAGTGAAGACTCCTCCTTTGTATGCTCTCATTGGTTGGATGACTGCCATTCCTAGAAATGTTAAGGTCAGAGACCCATTCAAAGTTAGCACTGACCGATATTGACTGGACCGAAGTTGACAAGCCAGTGGATGATAGACTCCTCGTCGTGATGAAGAAAGTAGGCGGCTTGGATCTTGGTGGTATTCCAATGATCATTGACGACACAACCGTTCTGGCGATGAGCAACATACGGGAGATCAACGGAGTAGGCCAATCCATTGCGATGAATGTATCTGAAAAGTAATCGATCTTTACACCAGCACTCTCGTCCCTAATCACTCTACCTGAATGCCTTGTCCTCGTCTCCTCCGTCACACGCGTTATCAATTAAATCACAATCAAGAAGAGTCTGCTCTGACAAGTTTCTCTTTTCTCCGTGAGCGATGGCGTAGGCGGCCTCGACGGTTGCGGTTGAGGCAAATGCCCAGCAACTGCCGCACTGTCCTTGAGCTTTCACAGGAGTAACCACATTTCTGTCCCGCCAGTCGAAGAAATCTGGGAATGGCGAGGAGCGTTCTCCTTTCATCGAAGCCAATGACTCTGGGATTGGCTTGATGAACTCGGCTTCTTTGTGAAGTCTCTGATAGAATGACTTCGGAAGAAGGGTCTTCTCGAACTCCTCGTCGGTCCAATCCGACAGATCATTGTGTCCATACTCCGCACTTCCGTGCTCCTGAATCTTGTTCCAGTTGTCAATGTTGGCTCCGGTGGCGTAATAAGCATTCAATCTCTTCAACGATTCCTTGCTGGTAGCGTAGCTCTTGTTGTATCTGAAGATTGGAAAAAGTAGTGCATCGTCTTAAGATAAGAAGTTTGAAATGTACTTTTCGGTGTACGCAATGTACTCGGCGGCGATGGTCTGGATTCCCCTTTGGTTAGTGGACGACTCCTTGCGTGGCGAGTGTTTTGAGGTGTACATGTAGGTAGCCAGACTGGAATTTGAATATCAGACTGTACGTTATTTCAGAGATCACTTACGAGAACTGAATGATGAAGGCAAAGATAAAGAAGACTCCCAAAAGCATGAAAATCCCTTTCAATGTCTTTTTCCTAAATGAGAAAGAAGGATTGGACAGAAATTTCTAAAAAATTACGTGTGGAAGAAATTTTCCTCTTCCCATCTGTGAGTAGAGACATGGTCCCCAGCAAGTGGATGGATTTCCGCGTGCCCGTGAGAGGCCTTTTCGTTTACAGTTCTGAACAGTATTTAAAGCTCAAATCCTAAAAAAAAGAGAGCTCACTTGAACAAAGACGTTGCAACCATTTGTGACCGAGAATGCTGGGCAAACTGACGACTTCTTATCACCAATTTTTGTCAAGCTCTTATCTGTGCGACTGAAACAGTGTTTGGGTCAGGGAGAGAGCAGAGAAAGCGGAGTATGGATTGGCTCGTCAAATTATTGGATACTTGTTGCGCCCGCTTATTGTCACCGTTTAGGGTTTTGTTTGTTCTCGCACGTTATCATCGACATCACCTAATGTTTGTCATATTCCAAGTACCATTTATTTTTATTAGGATAGAAAGTGAAAACTGAAGCATGTAATGAAGGCACTAAAATAAATACATTCAAAAACGGGTGAATAGAACACGTAACGGTAGTTGTGCACTGAGTGCGGAATTCTAAATGCTTCCCTTGATACAGATAAAAAAGGATGGGGTTGGGTTCAATTGATTTCTTGCAAAACATTTGCAATTATGTGTGTTTCTTGATGTTGCTCAAAACCCGGATTGAAGAAACTAAGTTGTGTGTGATGTTTTTGTTTTTGTGTGTTCGAAACATTTTGGACACATATCCGGGAGCTGCGATGGGTTAAGTGTGCACGTTAAAGTTAGGAGGATCTAAAGCTAAGCAGAAAGAGTTCACGCGGAAAGAAATCAAAGAATTGATTGGATTCAGCGGGATGGAGAATGCGTATAAAGAGAGAGAAATGAGGATCACCCGATGGTATGAGTTGGGGAGTCATGAGGATAACATTTGGCTTTTTGGCAAATGTTAGTTTGCATAGATCGGTCTTGTATTCTGGCTGAATGACGTATGTTCCTCCTCGGCGAATACTTGCTTCACCGGAGCTCGCTTTTCGTTCGACTTCTGCCCTTTCTTCTCGTCGCTTGATTTGCCCTCCTTGCTCTTCTGGTTGCTATCTGAATAAATCTCAACTTTTAAGAACCCATCTTTTGTGTTACCGTGAATTTCGTTTAGAAAGTCAATGCTGGGTCGATCCGGAGTAGTAACTTGCTTCTTGGTTGGCACCATATTCTCAATGTCGTTGAAGTCCAGATATTCCTAAACGTCCCAAACTGTGCGAAAAACTGAATTCCTGTAATCTTTGTATACCTTGTGACGTGGGAGTGGAGAATTTTCAAAGTCGAAGTAGGCTGATCTGTGAGAGAACGCAGTAGAAAAACGTTTTTTCGAATCAAACATTTGGGATACTGAAATTGAAGCAATTGAAAAACAGAGCGTCTATTTTCATTTTCATTTACGTTTTCTGGTGGTCAACGTATCTGCAATACTGGTGCCTTCTCTCTCCGCACGGACTGTGTTGATAGTGTAGATTGGATTTGGAATCTTCGGTCTGATCCCAATTGCTGTATTAAGAGAAAATGAGGGTTTTTTGTGTACACGGTGAAAACTCACTGCTCTCCGCTCGTGTCGGGAGGCGTCGGTTCGGCTCGGCAGGCGACGGCGGCTGTTTCTTATCCTTGGACCGAATGCAGAAGAACAGGATGAGAATGAGTAAGACGGCAAGAATGCCGGCGATCACCGCCAGCATCACGACAACCCACGTCGGCATTCGAAACTGAAATGAAGCTGACTGCTGATTGAGAAACTGATGTTTGCGCGATGCGCGGCAGAAAAAGGCGGGGTTATACTCGAAATAAAATATGAACCCAACCAGGAAGTTCGGTTAGACCCTAGTGGTAAAGAGGAACAGAAACTGTCTTGGTTTTGATAAGAAACGACAACATGAGAACAGCGGGTCGGAGTGTAGTCGAAAAGTCTCGCAGGCGTTAACTGTGAGAACTGAGAATGTTTCGGGTCAAGCAAATATTGTATATTTTTGAAAAATGGCGCTGTCCATCATTAGTGCCACATGACAGACATCTGTTGATGGTGCCTTCAGAATGAATGATGTGTGCATCTGCGTTGATACCGTCGGATATTGTCAAAGTCAGTATTTGGCCAACTTGAAATGAGAAACACTGGGTAGAACCGTGATGGAACACGTTTTGAGATGTAGAATCTAATCAAAAACAATCACATCCGGAGGCAGGCAAAAGTACAACTGTCTTGATTCTGCATCTTTTTGTTAGATGAGGTTTTACAAAAACGGCACAGTTTTCAGACTATTAAAAGACTTTGGCATTAGATACATTTTAGGGTGTTTCTTCCAAAACTATGCCTTCTTATCAATTGACAAAACTGCAAAGAAGATAGACAATAACAACAGTTGTAAGAATAGAAATGGAAAGTATGATATACACCCCGGAGGTCATAAATAAAACTCTCGATTGCCTAAATCAATATCACAGAAAGAAAAAGCGAATGGGGGGTTTTCAACTTCCGGGGCCACGATGTAAATCATCAGGAATCTCAAAAGGAAGACCGCCAAATGAAGTAAATAGAACGACCCTCTGCATCTTGTGGTCGCATTCTGTAGTTTTGCACCCGAAAGTGATCCGAGAAGACGGACAAATGAATGAACCGAAATGAAGACAAACGTAACTTGTCAATCAATCAAATGAACTCGAACTTGCGACTCGTAATTGTATACTGAAATCGCATCGCATCGCATCACAATTACAACTACATCTACAATTACGTTCGCGACGGCAGACGAAACTTCCAGAATTATGAGAGCGGGAAAAGTAATGGCGAGATGTAATGGCATCTCGTGGAAGTGACACATTTTACTAAAGGATAAACATTCAAGTTGAGGTGCGAAGTGTCAAAATTTTCTGGCTTCAGAGGCGAACGCTCCGCAGCGCATGAGCCGTCACTTTCCGGAACAGGGAAATTGTTTCGTTATGATTAGGAGTCGAATTAATCGCGCGGCTACTGTGTGCTCGCTGAGCCTCGCCGGGCGACGCTTCCTCGCGCCGTTTGGCACATTTTTTGCGCCTTCTCCGGCCACAAGCCGGAAATTACGATGATCGCGGCGGCAAGCAACCAACCGGGCGGGCCGGAGGCGCCAATCTTGATCAAAAATGAAAACAATCGCAATCGGAGAGGGTGGATAGGGGAATCAAGTGAGGATATTTCCTCCAGCATCCTGACGGCGATCAAGCGAGCAGAGACACTTATCACCTGCGGCTCTTATTTACCAACGGTTTGTGGGCTGGACCCGTCGCAAGTCAAATGGCGGGCCCGTCGCCTTCTCAGCGGGTGGCCAAAGTAAGTGACCGACGGTTGAGTAAATAGACAAAAATTTGAAATACTACGGTACACAAAAAATGAAGATCACAGTGACTTGTGATCAAAAGCATCACTGATTGTTGAAAAAGCCTTTGTCTTTGTCAAATTTTCTAGGGATGGCATCTCCCAGTTTCGAAAACGGTTTGAACAACGCATAATAAACCTTTACGGCACGTTCACCTCGATAAAAATGAGTCAGTGAGACAGTGGTCTTCTTGCTAAACTAAAACTGAGAGGTAGAATACCAAGAAAAGCGAGGTGACGATGAATCGAATTCCGATTGAACCGAAACGTTCCAAAGAGTGATCGGACAAAAAGAGGGAGAAGAAGACAAATGCCTGATTGGCAGAAGAGCGCAAATCGCGGCGGTTCGAAGACGGGAATGCAAAAAACGCTGGGCCGATCGCATAATAGTGAAGCTTGAAATGATTGGTTGGCGGGCCCGAGGGTGTAAAATCATTTGAATAATGGCATCATTGAGTACAGCGGTTTGGTTCATCGAATTCTCGACAGAAGCAGCGGGTGAGAGAAAGGCTAGTTTAAGAGAAAAGTTGTACACAGAATTGAGAGGAGAAGAGGGACATTTGAATTTGTGATACATGTTTATAAAGTGTCGCCGTTATGACTCAGACTACTACTGTCAGTACTAGAACCGTACTATTTGTTTTACTCAGTGATGACGAACTCGAGTGTGAGCTGGGATATTTTGAGTAAAAGCAGACTGCACATGATAGCAGCCAGTTTCAGAAATGAGTCAGTAGTTAGTAGTTACTACTTTTTCTTCCTCAAAAAAATCTGCTAGGTACAAAAGTTACAATTACGAAAACCTTCTGGAATTTGTTGAGAAAAAAGAAACACTCGGAAATGATCATTGCCTTCAAACAAGCACCAATGACGCGAGACAAATGGGGGACTATTATCCTTCCGGGGAAAAAGTCTCAATCTGTGTTCTCATTTCCTGAGGATTACATCAAATTTGTTTGCCGACCCTCCAGACCGCTCAACTAAACTAGTTCAAATGGTCAGAAATATCCAGACATTTCCTATTTCCACAAAGAAAATGACGAGATAATGCATACAATATGAACAAGTGTTGCATGGAACAGTTTTTGTAAGAAAAGAACAGGTCAGACGCGCTCCTCGACAACCAGAGGCAGTCTCATATCTCATGAGAGGAACGAGGTGGGAGATCTATCCTTGTTGGCAGTTTATGATAATATAGTAGTGAACGGCTGGGGGGCACAGGAGGCGAGGTGATATCTCTGCAGTTCCGAGCGAGAAATCTCTTCTCGCCCACACTTTTTGGCACTTGTACTACATTTGTAGGTTTTTGCTGATGTGAGAACGACCGCGACGTCTTCCGAGGAACATTGGTGACGGAAGGCAGAAAGACGTAGGCGGATGGCGCGGAAAAGAAGAAGAAGAAGAAGAAGAAGAATAACATTATGCAAAACGACCGATAATTCACCCGAGTTGTTGAAGATGGCGGTGGGAAAGAAGAAGAAGGGATTTGGATTTAGTTAAGGACAAGCGTTGAGGAGACCTCCCGCCCAACTTGTTCACGTTTCATTCCATTACCATCACAATGACAGATAGACACTAACAATGCATTACACTTTGCGGCGGCGAAAAGAAGCTTTGTTATCAAAACGTTTTGCTTTGATTTGCCAACACAAATAATCAAGTTCGCATAAAATTTTGTGAGGTAGCTGCTGCCTCTGGCGTCGCGCGGTTCTCCTGATTTATCACCTCTTTTGGATGGCGCTGCCATTGGAGGTACGGTAGGAAAAGAAAAGCGAAAGAGATTTAAATTAAATCGGATCGCACCTGTCAATCAGAATCTGAATCGACCAAAAACCAAATAGTAGTTGTGGTAGTACATAGTGATCTACATGTAGGAATGTATCAATCATAATCTTTGACACTGTACTTCCTTGTGCGTCTGATAAAATTACAAAAAAAAAGAGGCCCCGCAGGTTGAGAGTGGACAGGTAGAAATCATGGAAGTAATACTAAAAACTAGACTGATCTGATCGGCGACTTATTGCAATTGCACTTTATCGTTTTCGCAGAGATAAAAATCACATAATTCAATCTAACTTCTACTTCTACAGTACTACATTTCCGACAGACTGCCAAAATTTTGTGTCAAAAAAAAACAAGTTTTAATCTTCAACTGCCACCTCACCTACGTCCTTTATAATCATCTTTCTAACAAAATTTGAAAAATAGTAGGATTTGGGGAACATATTTGTTTGACAGAAATTCCAAAGGGAATGAAACGATTAGTCATTGGCTGGCCGTTTCAAAATGAAAGGCAGATTTTTATCGTACATATTCATAGAAAGTTGGGGGTGGCAATTCGCGACGGTGGTCAGTCAGTTGGCAGATGACAAGTACACGTGTGAAAAGTTTTTGGTTTTGGTTTTGATGATTCATATTCTGAACAAAAGTCTTTAAACTTTTTTCATCTAACATTTTCAGCGATATCAAAGTAATGACAGAATTGAGAGCGAATCTCGAGACCTAAGAGATCTCAAAAATGTGAATGCGTCTCCGGTATGTATTATCTCATTCAATTCATCGTTTTTATGAATCCCTTTCCTTAAATTAAGCATTCGCCAACCGAACCGTAAATGATTGAGAGAAAAGGAGGAAAGAGAGAGAGAGAGAGAGAGAAGAAGATGAACGTCGTCACTCAAACCTGACTGATTCCCGCTGCTTTTGGATGCCTGCCCACGTTACGAACTTGGCAGAAAGCGACTCAAAAAAAGAGAGAGGTGTTCAGGATTACACTCTGCTGCAATCCAATCGACACGGAACTTCTGGTCACTCTCCGGTCTGGACAGCTGCCATCAGAACTGAGCGAGTGTGTGGGTAACGTGCAAAGAGAAGTGCTCAGAGCACAGTCAACACAGACATGAATGTGTGGGGGGAAAGGGAGGAGAGGTATACAATGTTTACTGGATGTAGTTTACCTTTTGGGTTTAGTTTAACTACATCAGGAGGAAGTGAACTTTTTTGATTTTTCAAATTTAGCAAAGTCCGAAACAATGAAGTGTCTTGGAATCCGTACTATTACACTAACATCGGCTACTAGTAGACTCACTCGAAGTAAAAAGAGCAACATTTTTAGTGTAACATCTGGCCGAAACTATGTTGCAAAAATATTTATACGAATCTAAAGAATGCTGTGAGGAAAAACGAGTGACTCATGCTCGAAATGAATCGTTCGGCACGGAGAGCAAAGCAAAATGGTTATGTAATATTTGCGGATAAGTTGAGAAAACCTAACACAAAATAAGTGCCGAGTGTCAATACTTTCAAACTGGCAAACCACAAGAAGTCAAGCAAAAAAAAAAGAAGAATGAGTAGAACTTTTTGTTTATGAGAATCCACTCATTACTCCATGTTCTTTGTACTAGGATCTGGAGGCCGGAGGCTAGAGCGTAAACAGAAAGTCTGTCAAACTACAAACACAATGCCCTTTGGCCATTCTTCGAGGCAACATGGGTTTACTCTAATTTTCGCGACGCGTTTCTACAAAAGAACAGACGAAATCAGGGCTTGTAATCCGGCGTGCAAACACCGTCAGAAGGAGATGGTCAGCGGGCACAAAACAGACGGAAAAAAATGAAGCGTCGGGCGAGAACTCTATGGAAAGACAATGGCGAATGTAGCAGCTGGGACTTTTGGCTACGAGGGTTGAATGGAAAATGATTCTGGATAGGAAATGATTCTTATGTCGTGTTTGGACTGACGTCAGGCAAGTCGGATGGAAAACCGAGAGGCGGGCGATAATCCGAAACGTCCGTTTTTTCCTCCATCCCTCCCTTCAGTCCTCTTTTCACTTATTGCCGGGTTGACCCGGCGACGAAAAACGCGTGTTTATTATGCGAATGCCCTTTTTCTAATCACTTTTTTTCCGAATCCGCGCAATGATGATAAAAGATGATAACAATCGGTCGTGGTCTCTTTTTGGATTTACGGAAAAATAGATAACGCATGACGGTTGGATGTAGGCCGGACTGGTCTTCTGCGCAGGAAAAAGTGATAAGAAATCGGTGTACTGTTGAATAAATGTATCACGGACAAAGAGAAGAACCCTTAGGACAACAACCCTTCTCGAAAAGGCGTAACTGGAAGAATGATCATTTTGCCAATCTTCCAGGAATTGTCCATCGAACAATTTGTCTCTTTCTGCATGACCAATGGCTGGTAATTGTATAATTATGCCATGAAATGTAGGAATCCATTTGCGTCACTCCGTACGGTCGGGGGCTTGCACTCAGGTTTCAGAAAAGTATCATGTTGAAAGAGAGATGAAAGCGAATGGCAGCTTTCGCCCCGCACGTAACTTGCACGATGAACAGATTAGAGGAACCCGCGGATATTGGGTATTGCATAACGGACTGCGTCGTCCCGTACGACGAAACAGTTTGCAGGAAAGAAGAAGCGATTAATGGAGAACAGGAGGGGAAGATGAAGCGGAAAAACTTCTGGTCTCCGATCATTTATATTGTTGTTGACAGATTTTTATTTATCCCTCTTTATTCACACATCCTCCATTCGTCAGTTTTGGTCAAGTGGAAGGTCAGGATGAGAGTAGTCTGCTTGAAGAAAAACGGAGGATGAAAAATCATTTGTGTATTGAACTTGATGAATGGTCAGTGACACGAAGAAAACGGATCGGAAGCAAGCACACTTCAAGTGAGTTTCAAGAAGTGTTTTCAGAATTTGACAAAAATTAACTATTCTTGTGTATTCCCAAAGTATTCATTTTCAGAGAGAAAAATAATAAAATATGCTTACCAAATGGTGGAGAGCGAAGAAAGTCGGCATTGTTCCTGCGGCTGGTGTGTTGAAAGTGTTGGAAAGTAATAAACGCAATGAATAACAATCTTTTTCCAGGATCAGAGAGACAGATCTCGAGGAAAACCAGGATATACAGTTTTGAAATGTCCACAAATCCAGGTGGCGACAACGATGTCCATTGCCGGCCGGCCAGCAGCTGGGTCAACAACAAAACAATCGCGCTGCGGAATCTTTCGCTTATCTAGCATAATAATGATGGCTTTTCGACTGCTCTTCTCACTGTTTTCCGGGCGGCCATCTCCGAATGTACGCCTGAATATGGAACGCATCGGTTGCCATTGTTTCGGGAGAGTAAATATTGGAGGTTTTTAAATAGATGCAGCATTTTATGGCTTAATGCTCAAGTACTGTTTGGAGCGTATAAGCTGACAAGATCAAATTTTGTGCAACAGAACACAGGATCACCCAAAAATGGGTTGTAAATCTCCCGTACGGTATTCCCAAACAATTTACGTTATTTACCAAAACAACAGCATACAAGTTCCCCCAACATTTCCGCAATAACAATAGTTTTTCTGCTGTGTACCAATTTGAATAGTGAATAAGTAGAAAGGGGAAAGGAAACCCATATCGCCGGATGCCATTATTCACTCTCCGCCGATTTTTCGCCTTTCGCTACCATGAACCGGCGCCTTCAATCTTTCATCGTCGTTTCCGACGTTTAAACATAACGACAACGTTGCATTCTTGCTCATTCGACCCAAAATGTCTCTACGAAGCATTGGAGATTCGGCTCAAGATGTTCCGACTGAAGATATTTTTGAGTCTTTTGGAAGTGATCCGGCGCCCAGAAGAAGACATCAATTGAAGTACAAGAATGGAGAGTGTTTTGTTGCTGAAGAGGACTTGGTGCAAAACTATCCGAAGCAGCGGAGTTTTCACCATTCTTGCAAGTGAGTTCACTATTATTATCACCATTTGAACTGTTTTTTCTAGTGCTGGCCCTCTGCTCCATGAAGCGGAAGCTGCGGACTCTGCTGTCTTGTCTTTCGACGCGTATGCAGAGGAAGACGGTCTAGATGAGGAGATTCACCGCATCCGTATCTTCAAGATCAACTACCATCTGAGTGATGACACTGTGACCGTTAATGAGCCGTTTGTAGACAACACCGGATATCTTCATGTGCGCAGCTTTTTCTACTAGACATAACCTATTACCTTGCAGGGAAGAATTTTCCGTCGTCAAAAAGTACCGGCTCACAGCCGCATCGGCAAACCATACATTCATTGGAGCGATCTGAATGTTGGAAACGATGTCAATTTGTTTGAGACTATCTATCGGATTACATCTTGTGACGGATTCACACGAGTGAGTTCTCGCTTGCATTTTTGTATGATCAGCTTCTGGTCTAGTGTCACATACACTAACGTACAAAACCAAAATGTTCTCTTTGAAGGTCTACAACACCTTTGTTAATTGAAAATCTTACAAACACACAAAATAGTATTAAATTGATCAACTCGACTGTTCCTCTAACATTTGCCAATTCACCTCTGATAAGTTTCCTGAAACACTTTTCAGGTTATTTATCTTGAACACTTCGGCCAACGCCTTCTGTACAATGCCCCTCACCGAATAGCGATATATTTCTGTAGGGGGAGACTAAAAAGTACTGTATTCCTGGTCTCATAGCACGGTGCACCCCTTTCTCAACAACCTTTGAAAATAGGCTTTGAATATTACTGCTCGCACAGGTTGCATTCTCATTCTCGTTCTCATTATCGGATTAGACAGCTGGTGCTCATATAATCTAACCCGACTCACTAATTGTTTCCTTCTCAATATGAAGAAGAAATCATGAATATTATCCGGCTTAGGGCGGTGGAAATGCAAGAAAGTCTCTCTAATTGCTTTCTGCTCCAGTGCATCATTTTGCCGACAATTTCAAATTTTGTAGAACTTTCTCGAAGAGCATGGAATCAAAGTAAGCGAGGATGAAGAGTTACCGGAAGATCCGTGGCTTGTCAGACGACGTGGAGCGCCTAGAACTGCTCCAAAACTTCCTGATCAAGTAGGGAAATTGAACAAGTTGATATAAACAATCGCACATTTCAGAGAGAATTCATCAACCGGCCTGCTATGCTTGTTTACCGGTGCTGTTGGCTGGATCACATGAATGATTTCCATGGCTGTCGCATGAAACGAATTTTCAAGTAAGATAATTGAAAGATCTTCAAACAGTGCTTCATTCCAGAATGTTCGTATACTGTTCTGATAACACCGTCGCATTGATAGAAGAAACAAAAGAGTTTGAGGGTCAGCTCTTCTTGAAAAGAATCGCTTTACCATTTCCAGTCCAAGCAGGTTAGCAGAAGGAACATGTCTAGTCGTGATCAGGCATTTACAGACACGCCACGTCGTGACTATCGCTGGTGGGATATTCGTCCCGGAGTTTGGGTTGACGTCTTTTGTAGACCGATGTTTGTGTTCGAATGCGCTAATGATGAGACTAAGTCGTTTATTAGACAACAATTCGGAGAGACCGACTTTTCAAATTATAGTACTCAGGTCGGTTAATGGTTCTTTGTTCGGAAGTAACGAACTGAAAACAATTAAGATACTCGAAGATGGACCACCCGCATCTCATTTCTGCAATTCGCCGTCTGTGCTGAAGTTCAGATGTACAATGGTAATTCAATAGACCGATTAACTTTATGAATAAATTCGATTAACAGGTTGATGCCCCGTCAGTTCTTTACGGTCTTCATTTCCTACTCTATTACGACGTCAATCGGCGTTTAGTGACAATAATTGAGGAAGGTCGCAAGACTTGGACGCAAGGGCGAGTATTCCTCAAAGATGTAGATGCATCTACTTTCAGGTAGAGCTGAACACTATCAAAATCGAAGATCTGAAAATTTTCAGCGAGAATCAGTTTGCATCTGGTCGCATCTTACAATTTTTCAAGTGGCGTTTCAATTTGGTTCAATGCAGTTCTGAAACGGAAAAGTATCTTCGATGGAAACAGACGCCGAACCAAAAATGATTTTATTATTGCAGTCGAAAAGGATTTTTAATTACATCGACAAGAATGTTCAACTTACTTTTACATATAGTTCGCAAAAAAGTTTTATATGGAATTTGTTGACAGATCAAAAAATGTTGTGGAAGGAAGGGGATTACATATTATTTCGAATAAGGGAAAAATGGCGACATTTGGTGACTTGGTTCCGGAGATGGATGATGACAAGAGGACGAGTATGGCGAGGCGGTGATTTTACTGGGGCTTGCGTCCGAAGAGCCAGTTCTAAAAAAAAACACTCGTTCCAATTGAATACTGTCTGTAGTCTTACGAATGGCGCCTTGACGTAGTCCATGAGGCCCCAGGTTTGGCCATCATTTTGAATGCGATTGTCCGTGATGCGTGGCTGGCGGGTGACTGGCGCCTCCTCTTCGTCATTTTCCGAGCGGCCACGCTTTCGCGCGTCACGAATCCCGCTCAACCATCCGAAACTTCCGGAACTTCCAGCCGCAGGTCCTGCCTGAGCCAGCGAGTGCTCACCGGAACGATCGAGTCCGAACTGTCTACTGTCGAAGCGAGCGAAGCGGTCCTCTTGGCCGAGCCCGGCTTGCCACACATTCGCAGACGGTCCCACCGGAGCCGGTGTGAAACGGCGCAATCCGGTCGGTCTTTCAGCTTGAAGCTGCAAGCGAGCGAAGAGGCCCTCTTCGACGCGCCCAATCTCTTGGCATTCTCCTGGCAATGGCGAGCGGACGACCGGCGAGCGAGAGCGTTCCTGGGCGACACGATTGCCTATTCCGATATTCCCGTTGATCGGCGCGATCGGCGAGCGAGAGCGGTCTTCCGTCACGCGATTGGCGATTCCGCTTCTGCCCGAAGAACGCATTCGTCCGACACGCCTGTTGATCGGCGTGACCGGCGATCGAGAACGGTCCTGGGGGACCCCGCGATTAGCAGCTCTATTTCTCACGGAAGAACGAATTTGTCCTACATTCCCGTTGATCGGCGCGACCGGCGTTGTCCAGTCGATACCGTCGGGAGCTGCAGCTAGGATGTCTCGCTGAGCGGCAGCTGATCGTTCCACGTAAGGAGCATTTTTGCGGCCTCCGCGCGATCCCTGAACACTATTGATTACATACATAAATTTTGATAACAAAGTCTCACCCAATCAGACTGCAGCTCCCGCAGCTTCTCCTTTCCCTCGGCCAGCGCTCTTTCCTTGACCTGCACGTAAATCCCTTTAAATTGGATCACGTCTTCCGAGTGGAGGGAAACAAACGTCTGTAACAATCTATTTCGTTTATATTGTTATGGTATTACGGCTTGCTGAGCTTCGCTCCTACTCTTGACACAAAGCCGGGTGATCATGATTGTAGAAAATAAGAGTGCTTACATCTTGACTTTTGTAAGCCTCTTTATCTTGAACATGGTTGAGGTAGAACACTTCCCACATCTTCTTCATTCCGCCTTTGAACTTGAGCAGTCGCACGACATACTTGTCCGCCGTTACGACAAGATCGCCAACACGGTATCCCTCCTGGAATGAAAACTGGTTTGACTCGGTAAAGTGCTCTATTCGATAAGTGTTTTTTGCAGCAGTATATCTCAATACTATCTCAGTCTATGTTTCCTGTATGCACTTCTTTCGTATCTTTCCGGAGCGAATGCGAGCTAAACAACCAGGTCGGAGTGCACAGAGACATTGCTCGAAGCAGTCTAAGTGCTCTGCGTTGAATCGAAAAACGTCACACCCGATAGGCAGTCAAAAAGCTAATCAGTTCAACTGACAAAGAACCGTTATTCTTTCTATAATTGATAACGCGAGAGTGACGGTTTGACGCGAACAAAGCGGTTCAAGTCGCCGACGACGCGAGATGTCTCGTGAGACCACTGATACCACCACAGCTACCTTTAGACTTGAAATGAAATACAAAAGTACTTATTTTTCAGTTTTTCTGATCGTGTGCGTGTCCAAATGGATTTACAACCACACAACATTCATTAGAAACGACCACGTGCAGAAAAACGGAGGTAACGTACTTGAGCGGGATCGACAATCTCCGGTCCGGCATCGGCACTTCCGTCTTCCTGAGCTTCCAGAGTTTCCTGAGCGTCGGGAGCGGCGCGAGCCACGGAGGCGTTCCGACGTCTTTTGGCACTGGCGCTTGGCATGTTTCGAGACCTCGAGATTTGAAGGGTGAACACGAGCAGAAGCCTGCAAATAATGCAATCGACGAGCAAAATGTATACGGAGAGGAAAGAGCAGAGCGAGCGACCGACCGGCGGGCCCACAGGAACATCGAATGGCCGGCACTGTCGATCGGCTGCCGCGAGCGGAGAAAAAGAGAGATAGAGGAGAAAAGAGAGGCGAGAGAGTATTGGGCGTCAGCGAGCGAGGGAGGTGAAGGCGAAAGCCTCGTGGCAGCATCAGCCAACCGCGACGCTGTGCCCGGCGAAGAGGGCAGGCAATCGTCGTTCTGCGGGCGGCAGGAAATAGCGTGGCGGTGCAAGAGAAAACCCTGCTTTGTGTGCCCTCCGACGGCCAACCACCGAGGGCCCTCTCTCCTTCCAAGGACACTCCGAAACAACGGGTGACAATTAGTCACCGCTTGCTTCAAGCACAGTGGGCTTCGTGACACAGAGGAAACGGAAGGTGTCTAGTCCGAAGAAGTCTAATTAGAGGCGTGCTCTGTTATGCGCACGAGATATCGGAAAATATGGAAAACAACGTCCTTTGATCATGTGCTTCTCGCTGAGTTGAGCCGGAGCTGAACTATGAATGTGACGCGCAAAAATTTGCATGATAAAAGATAAGGGCGTCAACGAGCACATATGTACGATATATATTCATGGCCTTTGTTATCAATCCTTGCATTTTTCCATTTTAGATGGTTGGCACACATCGAGCGAAGCGATAAAAATGGAATAAAATAGAGGAAGATGATAGGGGGGGGGGGTTGCGCCCGAGCATGTAGTGCTTTGGAGAGAACACCGGGGACCATTCGGAAATCGCAATGTACAGATTTTTTTTCCATAATCAATATATATATCTTTTCGCAAAGTTTGTTATTTACATCAGAGTGAATGCCAGCATTCAAAGTCGATCCACGTTGAGATGTTCGTGTAACTAGAAGAGGGGGAAAAGTTTCACAGATGAGAATGACTAAAATGACCATTATGACTTGCCACGGGGGACGGGGAGCGTTATGAATAAACTGTTATGTTGAAAGATATACAATGAAGAGAATATGATAAACAAAAGGGCTCGAAGGGAACTCGGCAAACGGGGGAGGGGGAGAAGCGAGGGGGCACGTAAAATATCTATTCGAATGTTTCCCACTTGCTTCGAGCCGGTAGCGGCGGTGGTGGAGCCGGGTTAACCGCGAAAACGGCGTTTGTTCGTTGTCCAGACAACGACGGCCCCACTGATGAAGGACGAGGTGGCGGCGGAGGAGGAGGAGAATACCAATCCGTCTCGTTTGGATTTCTGACCACCTGACCAGTAGCGCCCATCTTGCTCCACTGGTGTCCTTGTTGGAAATTGAGTAGATGTGGTGCCGAAGAGCCGCTCGCCGGAAATGGGGCATGAGAAGGGACGGGGATGCTAATTCTAGGGTGCAGCTGCGGCGGCGGACGCAATGGTAAAGGTGGTGCTGGGCCATCGGGCGACGTGGCAAACGGATCCGCAAACACATTGACCACCTCGAGAGGGACCGACGGCGATCTGCAAATTTTGATTTTTAAAACCGCTCTGAGATTGAGATAATACTCACGTTCGAGTGCTTTTCGGAAGATCTGCGGGTCTTAGTAAAAACTCCTCGTCGGCACGGGTCAGTCCAGCGGAACTCGTAGCTGGTTCATCGAAATCAATCAGATTGGCCACCGGCACTTTGTCACGAGCCACTTCGATCGGCGACTCATCGTATTCCTCACTTCTCTTAAACAAGATACAATTTGTTTTTCCGACTAATTCATGAGCTCACCGTGGTTTCCCATTGGAGGTTATCGAAAGACATGGGCGCGTGATCGAATCCATTGTGGTTGGCTTTTTTCTTCGCTGCAGCTTTGCGGATCTCGCGCGGCGTTAGGCGTTGCAGGCGGTTCGCAATCTGGATTCCCGACGTCTTCAGCACTCCAATCACGTCACTGGCGTTTTCTTTGACCTGAAAATAATGATATTTCGATGTTTTGTGCGATTTTCGACACAGAAATCGGTATTTTCATGCATAGAAAGAAACTCAAAACTCTTCAGAACGTGAAAAACGATCACAATTTGCACAAGAAACATTCGAGAGAGAACACGTTCTGTCACACAACATGGCTCTTACTGATTGCATCGTGGTGTGCACCACTGGCTCCACAATTTCTCTCTGAATGGTTATTTTTCAGATGGCATGTCCATAGTTCTAGGAATCGAGAGCTTTGATTCTTACCGGTCGGTTCTTCAGATCCATCTCCTCGATTTCCATCTCAAATTGATCGCCGGGCACATGTCCTTCTTTCAGCAACTCCAAACGATCGTGAATAAACTGAAATATGATAATTTGTCGTGATCGCGCAGATTTCTTTGTACGCACTCTTTCGAGATACTGAACGCCGTCTGTTCCGAGCAGTGAAGAAAGGTACGGCAGATAGGAGGGTCTCTGCTGCGCCAAGAATCGTTCCTTGGACCATTTCATTGTTTCGGGAGTCTCGCCGGTTAGTCCGCTGGTGTAGTCGCCAAAAAGGAAGACTATGGCCCTTAGAAAGATCTTCGCAAACGTGTCATCCATAGCCGACTGTCCACGCAGTTGATGCTTCAAGTAGGCCGTCACTTCCGGAGGCATTGCCGCCACGTCATCAAACGGACTCGTCAGTGTCTTTTCGTCAATGTCCACGATGACCACTTCGCCAATGTCTCGCACATTCAGTCTCTGAAACTAAAAGATAGTGACGATTCCATGACAAACCTAAGCGTACCGCATTGTCCAAAACCGTCTTTGGTACTCCAATCAAGTAAGGCATCGGCGCCATGACCATGTCAATCAACGACTCCGGAAGGATCGTGATGAAGACAGATTGCCTGGAAAGAAATCCCTTTGTTTTCTTCAATATTCCCAGTTTTCTTTGAACCCTAAGGGAATTGCTTAGCAGCTAAAAATATATATAATAGGGGTCGTTTCGTTTTTTGCACTTTATCCGTGACAAACGCGTTTTATAGTCAAAATCAGAACTGATAAGAAAAGAGAATGTGATACACTACGATTTGCGGGCACACCGCACTCTCACAAACAGCCCACAAATCACTCACCAGCACATTGGATAGAGAAGCATCGAGACGGCATGAAGGCAAGAGCTCAAAGTGCTGACTTTGCGACCGGTGAACAGAATGCGCCGCTCTTTCAGTAAACTGGCAAAGATGGCAAGCATCTGACGGGGATCGATGGCATTGTAGAACTCGAGAAAGTATTTGTCCGTCCCCAGCGTCGGCAGTCTCGTGTGGTCCGGAATCTTCTCGGCAAACACTATGCGGTAGTTGTGCTGCAAAAAATTGGTTTTTTTTTCTGTCAGCTGGGGGTTTTTCACTCACTCCCTCCTTCTGGTTGCTGTCGGCGAATCGTAGATACTCGTCAATGTTCGGAATGTCAGTGTGGTAGAATTTGGTGAGCACCGACTCGACATCTTCTTTCTGAGCGGACCCGATAACCAGTGAAATGTCGTTGAGCGCTTTGAAAAACACATTCGGCCAGAAGAATCCACTGAAAAAATGTCTGATTTCTTCAATTCTATTCCCGTCCCTGTTGATTTCACTAGATCTTTGCAATTTTGGCGTCTGCTGGATTTGAAGTATCGCACGCGGCTCAACACGAAAAACTTGGTTTTTGCACTAATTTAAAGCAACGTAGATTGCCAGAATTTGCACATTTCCTTTCCACGAGTGCTTTTTAATCAAAAGTGCTTGAAGCAACCGCTTCAGGCACTCAACGTCTTCGCAAAACTGATCTGATGTCTGGTGCACGTGCAAACCAAACTTTTTTCGACTTTCCCACAAGAGTGTGCAATTTTGAGGGTTCTCTTCATCGCTTCATAAGCGACCGAGTTTGCTTATAACAGCGAAGCAGAGAAATTTGATACATCGGCGTTTTCCAATCAATTTTCGAGCCATTAGGCAGGAAAACGAGGGCAATTTGCAAAACAAAACCTTTGGACTTTTAAAAAAGTGATCGACGGACGAATGACAAAGTCATAACTAACCTTAGGAAGCAAATGCACGTATCTGTTCTTGGAGTGTAACGACAGAATCCAAAGGAGAATTTTGAGTTGGAATCCGTGAGAACGAAACTGAACAATTGTACGGCGTCGATCTCAACTCTGAAGAATTGATTTTTTAATAAAAAGGCACTGGTCGAATAAGTGTTTGCTCAAGGAAGGTCACTTACTCTCGTAGTTGACACGGGAAAGCAAACTGGCGAATGCTTTTCACAATTGCCGGATCGTGAAAATCATCGGGATACTGAAGACGGAGGGGTGCAAGCTTCTCGCCGGCTTTCGGAGCTCCAATTTCGCAAAAGACATCGTAAAGTGTTGCGACATCAGTTCTGAAATACCGTTTGTAAACATTGTAAAACCTCGCGTACGTACCTGTATCTTCCATAGGTCATGTGGAGAGAAATCAGCGGAAAAGACGAAGTTGGACGGGCGGATGAGGCGACCTGACGAAGATTTGATGTGATTCAAACGAGGTTAGCCACCCGATGGCAATAAGCAAGATGCGAGGGGAACGGCAAGCAGCCGCCTCAAAGAAAACCTCGGTCTAATATTACAATGGAGCGCAGCGTCGAAAAATGTGTCAGCGCGAGGTCTGTTGGCGTTTTTCGCATAAATGCGGACCGATCGGGGAGGGGGGAAGGGCGAGGCGTGAGAATGAATGGGACAAGATTAGTAGGCCCCGGGCGGGGTGAGCGAAAGGACCACTGAATTGGGAATTAAGAATGGAAAAAGAATTGAAGAGTCGAGTCTCCCGGATTATGCTGATGACTGTGTGGAGGGCGTGGCCGGATGAAACGAGAGAAAACACGCGGAAGCAGAAGGCGGATTCAAAACGAAGGACGAAGAAGACAAAAGAGAAGGGTAGGCCAAGACGGACGTTTTTTAGGAGGGGGGCCGCGTGCGCGGACCTCGTGGTGTGACGGGTGCGGAGAGCTGTCAAATGGGCAGCAGGCAGTGAGAAATTGACTGGTGAGAAGAAGAGGATGAATATGGACCTCCCGAAATAGAGTACTTTGTTCGTTTCTTTGTGGGGAGCATCTCTACTGCACTATGATTATGGGTGGACCACACAATCCGCCACCCGGACACCAAATTATTGCATGCGCGACCATGCATATCTGAGATTGTGGCCAAGAAGAGAAGAAGAAGAGAGAGTGCGCGCAAGACGGAGAGACGCAGAATACGCGCGCAGCCTGTAGGATAAGATTGCAATCCTTTTTTGGCCCGTTATGAAGAGAGGGGAGCAGGATGCTCGTCGCAAATGAGCGGACAAGACTGCAGAGGGAGATAAGATGGGCTGGCCATCTGTCTGGAATCGCTTGAATGTGAGCATCAAAGCAAAGACTGAAATCCGATCTCGTCCCGAATCTCAGAATCCTTATGAATCAGAGTGCACATGACCAATTAGGCGGTTATTGTGGACAGGGTGCAGAGTGAGACCGCGTGAAACTAAACGAGGAAAAAAGGCAATGAAAACGTTTTGTGTGCCTGTGTCTATGTGTAGCCATGGTGCTGGAAAGCGACCAAATCGGAGAGAGTTGATATAGTGCGCCCGCCGGGACGAGTAGAGAACACGACGCAGAGATGACCGAAATGAATAAACAGACTGCGGAATCGATGTGCGAGACGAGACTCGGTATGGTCTCCAGTGGTCGAGAGCGGTTGTTACGGGACTGGCCTGACCTCCCAAATTGGTCTTGCCGAACAGGCTATAAAACAAAGAGCGGGCAGTTGATCAGCAGGCTACTGGCAAATTCTTATCAAATTCCAGCACATCTCTAGAATTTTCTTCAAGTATGAATCATCGAAAAGATATGAAGCGTTACGCTTCCTCATATTCTTTACAATAGCCAATTTTCACAAATACATTTTGTTTATTTTGGAAATTATAGTTGTATACACATAGTCGAGTTGAAGGTTATGAATGCATCGAGGAATGGGTTACATAGATTGATTTATTAATGTTTTAATGAGAATGAGTGCAAAACGACTAGACCTTATCATTTTCCATCAAAGAGCTGGAGATTATACATATTGAATTGACGGCTATGTGCAAATATATTTTGTAATCGGTGAGTGAGAGAAAATTATTATCAATTGGCAGACGGGCAGCGGTTTGAATCATCAGAGTTCGAGTCTGTCCATCGTCTCCCCCGTCTCTCCGCCAAGATTGTTGTTTTGTGCCAGATTGCGGAAATGCTGGGAATTGTTGAACTCATTGAGCAGAGAGAACATCAGATGAAGGGATTCGATGCGGCTCTTTCCAACGGGAATGTCCAACAGGTTAAGACAAATGTCCACAAACTTTTCCAATGGAATATCCAGATCAGCAGTTGGGGCCTGAAAGAAAAACATTGCTCATTTGACGTCACATCACAATTGATGGGTGTCACTCGACTCCACTCTACCTTTGCTTTCTTGAGAACATCTTCCAGTTTTCCCGGCCACTCCTGCATCAGTGTATCAATGTCCGGCAACTGCGTGCGATAATGAACAGTGTGAGCTGGCTTGCTCTTATGAAATTCCTGAAAGAACAATTTGATTGTTACATACATCACAAACAATAGGAAGAATGTTACCTTGATATTGGCAATCCACTTTTTAATCTCGTCGGGATTCTCGTCGGCGTTCTCGAGCAGTTTGACCGGAACTTCGTCATCCAAAATAGTCGAATCCTTGGTGGCGTTTCGGATTTGCATTCCGACTATAGTGCCATCACTCTGGTTGCAAGGTGGCTCGTCAATCTGGGTGAGCCCCACATTATCGTCAATCTAAAATTCACGAGCATAAACATGTTTGCGTGATAGGAATTTCGGCGCTTACTTCGTCCGGTCGCGGCACCTTGATGAATAGGTCGACATCCCCCATGCACGGGATGTATTCAATAGTGAATGGACGAAATTGCGGACGCATTTCCGTCTCTTGCGGTTTGAAACTATCGATATAAGTGAGAATTGCAATCTCATCTTCAGTATAGTCTGAACTGGTTTGTTGTTCATGATCCGAATCGGAATCAGATGTGTATTTTGGGGGATAAGATATCAATGGAGGTAAAAGGTTAGCATTAGTTGACGGTGAACATGGAGGGGCTGGTGATACCCCCGCTTCTGTTTTCTTCTTGACTACAGGACTACGGGCTAGAGCGAATGCTCCGTCGTAAGCATAGTCCACTCCGTCTACGTCGACCGGATAATTGTGAGCATACACGACTTCAGTTTTTTTATGAGTAGACATAATATTTGGAATCGAAGTTGTAAGCTCTCGACAAAACCTGATTGGCTATGTTTTCATGGTCTGTGCTCCGTAATTACTAGTCATTGCTCAAAAGTTTGCGGCCTTGTCTACCTAACAATTCTCTGGGGGAGAAGTATCACGTGCCTGATAAGACTCCAACGGAAATCAAATGAAATTCATATATCCGGAGTACATCGGGAATACTATGACAATCTTTGGGAGGGGGGACTTCTCTTTCTCAAATTCTGAAAATTTTACCGCTCAAATGACCTCTTGCTTCTTTAGGCTAAAGGAAAAGGACACGCACTCAAAGCTGCCTGTCAGGGTGAGTAACCTCACGCAATATAGTCTAATCCAGCCAATTCTACGAATCTAATTGCCAATGCCTAACAAGCAATTGCGCTGAAAACCGAACCATCGTCGTCATCGTCTTCATCATCGTCGTCCTCGTTGCTACTGTCCTTCTCGAGACGACTCGCTCTGCGAATCATATTATGAAATGGTTGAGAAACCTTGCTCATGAACAGTTCGTTCAGAGATCCTTGCCTCTTATCTGCAATATTAAATTGGGATTTCTGATAACTTTTGTGGTACCGACTTGGTCCTCCAGCGGAGTTCTGTGCCGGACTCTTCGATCCCTCGTCTCCACTGGTGTAGGCCGGTGGGGAGCCTAGCGACCGAACTTCTGAAAGACTCTGATATCAAATCATTGCAAAATATGCGATCTCGGTTTTCACAGTTTTGGGTTTCTAGGAAAGATCTAGAATAGTCTGTAGTTTAAAAGCGAGTCTAAAAGCTAGTATGGAATCGGAAACTTTTAATTCATCATGAACAATGTGAATCGACAAGATTGAGTTCATTTCAAAACTTCGATGATAACACGGGAACATGGTGCGAAGTCCCATTAAAGCTCCACGAGTGGATCTAATCAGTACAAGGACACATGAAGTGCTTAAGAAAGAGGCAGTGTGTGGAAAGTAATGAATTTGAAAATCTGTAGCTAGAAACGTGCAAAATTGCGATTCGAAACATAAACCACCTGCTTGATTATGTTTCAGACTTTATTCATGGTACTAGATAACTTTCACCATTTTACTCTAGTCCCCCAGTAACTGCATTCTATTACGAGTGGGTTTCGCTTAAAGTCTAACAGCAGTGAACATTTTCAGGCCTCACGCGCTTTCGGCATCAATCAATAAAAGGTGAGTCCCGTGCCGGATTACTCTCACGCGCGTCTCTCTTTCAGAATACTTCACACATTACCATACCTGAGGGATCATTGTTCATATCACCGAACTCCTCTTCCATATCCGAACTGGCCGCCATCGGATTTTCCAATGCCTGAAAAGGGCTGTTAGGGTCACAAGGAAATTCCTCAAATAGCTAATTAGGACAGAATGACTAATGTCATGCACTGAACAGAACGACAATATTGGCTCAATTAAAGGCGCGGGCAGTGCTCGCACGATGGGGGAACATTTGCCTTTTCGGGGAGCTAATCGGCCTCCTCTCTCCGCCTCCAATCTATCTTTCTATACCTAAAGGACCACCTCCTAATACACATACTCTCTTTTTTAACTCATAGGCAGGAAAGGTTCAAATAGGAAATTGGGTTGCCGCGCGTGGGCTGGCTCATCTGGCCAGCTTCATTATACGGTGAGAGCACATGTGCAAAACAGAAGGGAGAAACCGCCCCCAAAGCCATACATTACGTGGGATGAGAGAACGTGGATTTAGCCGTTCTTATACAGCACCGACTGCCGGCGCTCGGCTTGTTGGGGGACTACCTGGCACCAAAGTTCTCATTAGAAGTGGGTTGCCGTAGTCTACGATACGATTCGTTGCTAAATACCACTGCCTCGTCCGGGTTTTTGAGAGAAAAACAAAGCAAACTGGCTGATAGTAATTCAGAGAGCACTCAGATCGTGAGGTTCAACTCTTGCAGAAGCTAAAGATTGTGAGTAAGTAGGTACCGCTACAAATATTCAACTGCTGCCGTATTGTGTACTCTCAAATGAATCTTTCTCTCGTTTTCTAGAGCTTCTTCGCCATGGGGACGAGCACCGACACGGACATGAATAGGTCTAAGCCGCACTCTCTCTCTCTCACTCTCTCCCATTCTGTTCATCGTCCTCTCATCTCATCCACTAGAACTTTGTAAATGCTGACACAAAAGTTCACCTGAATGTAACGGAGACTATCGGGCGACGGAGTCCGGAAGTGCTGGTTGCGGCCGTCTTCCTCCGTGTCGTACGGTCCCGTGAATCTCACAGACCCTGCAAACACATTGCCGGTTTGTTTCAACCGTAGTTTTAGCAACAAGTCACTTCTTCTTTCCATCCTCGGCCCGCCGTCTCCGAATGGATTCTCGCCGTCGACTGTTTGTTCCGTCGCTCGATTGTTCAACTGTTGCTGAGCCGCTGCTGCTGCCGCCGCTGCCGTTGGATGGCTCAGCTGGAATCGTTGCAGTGGGATGTCGTCGTCACTCTCGTTCTTCGGCGAAACGACAACCTCTTCGTGGTAGTATATGCCCTGAGAAATCCAGCCAATACAACCGAAATCTTATTTTCTTTTCTTATTGCGAAATCCGCCCAAGCGGCCACCATCTGCCCCTTTCTACATACACTGCTGCGGTGGCCCCGTTTAAACCGATTTTCTTGGTTTCTATGGAAACGAGCGGACGCACAGAACAAATAATTGCTTTTTCTCTGAATCCACAAAACGATTTGGAAATATAATGTGGAGTCAAGAGACCAAGGATTCCAAAAAAGAGACGAAGAGAGTTGTGCGAAGAAAAGAGAGGAGAGCAAAACGTTGGTTAGTCTGTTATTCGGAGAATTCACACGAAACGCTGCCTTTTCAGCCGGAAAACGTACTTGATCTTCCTCGAGGGCTCGTATTTGGCTCATCTCGTCCTCAGAGGAATCATCACTGATTGGGATGCCAAGCCGACCGGGTCCTGTCAGCGGATGCTCTTCCACTTGCGGGGGTGGCGGCGTTTCGCGGGACTCTTCCTGACGCATGTCACTTTCAGAAAACAAATCGCTTGGGACCATGAGAGTTGGAGGTATGCGTGATGGAGACTTCCTGCAATTCTGCAGCGAGTAACCATGGGAACTTGAACGCGCCTTCCGAATAGAGTTCGGGTAAGGGGTGACGTCTAGTGGAGCATGAACAAAACCACGGAACAAGAACGGCCCAAAACATTAACAACTTCCGAATGTATGAAGAATTTACAGAAGAAACAGGAAAACTCAATGAATACCAGTATCAAATCTCCTATTGGGCGACGAAAAAATTACGGTAGCTAACGTAATGATTGGTTTACGAAAAAAACATTTAATTCGATAAATCACAGACTAGAGTAGTACTTTTAAACAGACGTATAATTAGCAAACTTTTAAAAAAAGTCAGAGTAATACCGTATACTATTCAGATCCGAAACATTTGTCACAAGTTGAAGTATAGGGTCACCTGATTTTATATAAATATTAAAAGTATTGTATGTCGAAAAGTTGTTTTCAGTTAATGTTCATAGTACAGGAAGTGACATCTAAACTTTTCGAATTAAGGACACCTTTTCGCAACTTCTGATTACTTGTTCCGATTACGGATAGTTTACTGATTCAGTTTGATTTTTTTTCAGAATTTTTCTAAATTCACCCAGAAGTCACACTTTCAGAAATCCGGCAGAGTCTTCTTCAAGAAAAGTCATGGATTCTTTCACATTCAGCAAAGGAACCGGAAATAGGAAAGGCAAAAAAAGAAGAGAAACTTGAGAAGGAAAAGATCAACGATGGGAGAGTGAAGTAAAAAGAAGAAAATGAATACATGTAACGCTAGCAACTTCCTGCAGCAAGAATGAGAAAAAGCTTTCTGGTTTGGGTGTGTGATTCCATTATTTTTCAGATCAGCTGTCTTGTGAGAAAATACTAGTGCATTCACCTGCTTTTCTCTTCTTTTTTCTGACTTCTCTTAAGAAAAGGGTCTTCGAATTCTGAAAGCTGAAATACTGGGAATTAGAAAAACGGGAATAATAACAGTTAGCTAATAAAGTTTTCCATTTATTCCCTCTGAGGAAATAGATAATGCTCTGTACGCGAGCTTTAAAAGAAACAAGGCTCATCTAAATTTAGTTCATGTCCCAGTCAGTGTCCAACGTACGTAACCACGCAGTACAATCAGCTGGACGTCAAAACATGTGATGTCACTACTGGAGCAGAAAGCATCATTTTCACCCCCTTCTTCCTTATGGTTGAATGAACGGCAAGTGGAGGGCAATTTTCACCCTCTTTCCGCTGAAACTTTGCAAGAATAGCAAATAAATGAGTTTAAGTAAGGCAAACATGTGTTCTATACCCTAATGCGATCACTTTTACAGTTCCGCTCGTGTTTCAATCGGGAATTCGAATTTGAACTTGATACTCACTTCTAAACATCGAAACCGTGTTTCCCTTGTGTTTCTCCGAAACATGTTGTTGTTTTAATTTATTAATGAATTGGGAAACCGGCACACACGCACACAGAAGGGTCACCAATGTCTCGATTTGCATCCTCAATGTTGTCTCTCATTCCCTTTGTTTTCTATATTTATTCCGTCATATACGAGAGGCAGCTGCCGGATCTGAGTCTCAGTCTCAGACCTTTCAAATGCCACCACGATCGGAACTTAGCGGGATAAAGACTAGGTCTCCCCACCGACAGGACAGAACAAATATTTCGCGGGCGGTGGTGGAGCTCGGAAAAAGCGCTCCGAGCGTTTCATCTTCAAATTAAATCGATTGCAAAAGTTCTTAGTTAGTTGTTAGTTTCTTGAACTTTTCTCCTCTTCGCAGACTCTCAGAGTGTATGGTCTCGTATTACACCCACCCTCTTTTCCGTCATTTTGCTTGCATTTGCTTTGGAGTAACACAACACCTTACTGTTCATGCCAAATCTTCTTCGATTCTTGCCTCTTCCCGACTCATCCACCACCGAAACACAACAATTTGTACTTTGAATGTAGTTTTGAAGACTCTCAAGAACAATTTTGTGCGAGATCCGCTCGAAGACTCCGCCTTCCTCTGAATCGCAAGCTTCCCCCATGAATTATAATTTCTCAGTGCCTCCAGATAATAAGCAGCTTCTGTTAGAATTCGTTTCTCAACTCATTCTCAAATTTTTTTCCCCAGTGAGTTGCTCCAAATCGCGAAAATAAGAAAAACCTAACCCTAATTACCTTCCATCATCGTCACCATCAGAAAAATGAGGACACTCTGAGAAGTGTATCCAATGACATCTTGGTATCCAATTTCACATCGAACTTTTCCCCCTTTCATTATTTATACTTCCGGAAGTGAACTCTTTGATTCTCGGAGGGGAATGATGGACATCGTCTAGTTTGAAAGCGACAAAATGTTCCATCGGAAATGAAATTGGGAAGGAAATTGAATTTTGTAACGCGTCGTGAAAGGGTAAGGAAGAAACGAGGAGTTTATTGGCTTCCGCACTTTCTTCATGGATCACTTTTCTATCAGTGTGTTTGCGCAGTTCAGTTTCACACACTGCAAAATAGTTGGTTTTCGATTTATAATTCATTTCTCATTTCATTTCTCACCTACTTGTTTGCGAAATTACTTTTGGCGAAAGAAAAGCCGAAAACCGATTAGTTTCGGCGTTAATCAGAGTTGCAAACAGACATTGATAGTTTCTGGCCAACATTTATTTCATTCCGCACTTCTTCACAGAAGACCTACAGTATTCTATTGCACACTTCACTGATCACCTCCTTTTTAGACATCAGACAAGAAACAACGCAACAAAGGATGGTGATAGAAAGAACAATAGGATTGGTGAAAAAGTAGACAATCTCTAACGCAAGCTTCACATATTTTTCTTTAGTTTGAACACCCTCAACGCGCTCTAATACTTTGCTATACACACATTTTTGTAACGTTGTTCTCGCATCCGTCTTGTATTTCATTCCGGAGCCTGTTATGTGTAAGATACACCTTTTTTGTCTAGACCTCGTTTTTGTAGTCATGAAAAGGTGTCATGCTCTGCGGCGTACTTCCGGTCCGTCTCATCGAGCTAAGGGTCTATAAGTGGATGTTCCTTAAGCGACACGACGGCCATTCTCATTCCACAAGCAAAAATTAAACGGAAAGTGCTGATTTTTGCGGTTTATAATGTCCTAGTGATGATGGATTGTTGCGACGAAACTGTCAAAAAGGTTGAATTGTGTGCCGACGAACGTTTCCGATTCCTCTCCCCTCACTATCATTTTTCTGCGCTCTCCCGTCCGATACGAGCGGCCGTTAGCCCCCGTCCTCTCCTCTGCCTGCCGCCCTCGGTCCTCCTCCGCCAGTCGGCCGCCCTGTGCGAACGGCCTCACTGTAGGGTGCAACGCAAGTACGCTCTAATGAGAAACGGTGACACGCTGTTTTTATTTCACGCATCACATTTTCCGTTCATTTGTTTTCCGTTTTCTCTTCATAGGATCGCCTGCTCATCTCGTCTCTTCGTTCGCCACGTTTGTTGCATGTTCACCCTTGAAGTTTGACTGGAAAAACGTAAGGTATTCCCTTGTCCCACTAGGTTCCGGCGCGGGAAAATATTTTTCTCGCTCTACCTACCTCACATATCAAAAAAACGTCAGAAAGCACCTTCAAACCACCGAAAAATGATGGTTGTTTACCGCCGTTCTGTTCTTTCCTTCTTTCTTCCAGAACCCGGACACTCGCAACAGAAAAAGTTGAAGATCAATCAAAAATCCTCTGATCGACGCCCAAACCAAATGATTTTCACTCTCCCAAACCATAACACAACACATTTACACTCGAAAAGAGTGGAAATCCATTAGCGGTGCGGGTTTTCGACTTGTCGTCACAGTTCAGTCGGACATCCACTCACCACCATTTTCGGTTATTTTTTCTCCGATGAGTGCTGTTTTTATCATGTTCTACGCGATACGGAGCGTTGACGCAGCTGTGAGTCTTTCTCGAGGGTTCGGACCGATCGGACCGCTCACGCCAATATCGATTTTTGTTGCGCGATCACGCATAGCCCCCCAAAATGAGATCAGGACTCGGTTTCTCATCTCTTTTTCTATTTCTCCAAGGAAAAAAAATTAAATCACATCGTCACTTTCAAGAGTTCCCCAATTTTCTGGCTCATCCCCTGAAAGTATTCCTTCGTTTTCAATCGGAAAAGTGAAATTGCCCGCCGCCATTCTCTAATTCCTTTTTGTGCGTATCAATTCCGCTCTAAGCTGTCGCCATTAAAGTAAGAAATCAAAGTGTGAAAAGCCGCGAGTTCCTTGCCGAAAAGTGTGCAAACGGCCTTCTTCCCACCATTTTGCAAATGGCATCGTTTGCTCACAGTGCAAATCGGTTTCCTGCGTCTTTTCTTTGTTTTCAACAATATCCTTTTTGTCCGCAAAGAAAGAGGAGAAAGAGCATATTGAATGGACTGATAACACAAACAACAGCCTATCGCACACCTCGTCCCGACCCCCAGCACACTCAAAAAATGAGATTGAACGAATGAAAACACGCCAAAACGTGGAGCTTTTAGAAGTGGTCGTCCGAGACAAAAAGATTCATGCTCATGTTCCCAGCTCACATCCGAGCACCACTTGGTCCCAGATGGTTGGAATATTGCTCTCCCATCCTACTTGAAGATTTCTTTTTTTCAAGACGTTTTTCATTATTACTTGTGCACCAGATGTGTCCTAGTCAATGCATGGTCATCCATCCTTGGTCTCAGTTGTCTCGGAACTAAGCTGGTCAGCATTTCGGACGGGCAAACGTAGTTTAAGAGGAAAGAGATTGTGCCTCCCCCGCCTATCCCGTCCCGGCTCTGGGTCCTCTGGCAAAATAGCATTTGAAAGTCAAATGTTTTGCCTATTTGAGTCGAATCGTTTGTCTTTCTTCCGTTTTTGCCACCGCCGCCGCTTCGGTTCATAACTCTCTCGATTGGCGGGTGTTCGTTTGCGCTTCCCGACTCATTTCTACCCTCAAAACCACCAATCAAAACTTGTATTGTGGACAGTGACGGCGTCGAGGATGAAGCCTCAATTTCAAAAATAAGCTTTCTCGTCTGTCATTGTTTCTGTTTCTCTCACTTTCTCTCTCTATCTCGGGCGCTGTAGAAAAAACCGGTTCATATGGGATAGCGTCCCCCTCTCCGCCAAAGCTGTCCCTGTCCCTCTCTTTTTCTCACTTTTTCCGTTCGAATTCGAATTTGCAAAACGACGAAGAGAGTTCTGACACGGTTTCATCATCACTTCCTGTCTAAAAACGTTTGTATGACGCATCAAACGATGGTTTTGTATGTATGTACGCACCCGGCACCTCTGTACACAATACCAACCACAAAAAATTGGTTGAAGACTATGTCAGTGATTCGCTGCTGATCCTCCTCCTCTTTTCACTTCTATCCCTCTCTTTCTTTTTCATTCTCATTTCCCTTGGAGCATTGGAACAAATCACAGCCTGATGCGAGCACACAGCGGCCCCTTCGGACCACTTCCCCGAGCAGCACAGTTGGTGTCAAATGCGACCTCTTTCGACACTGTCAGTGTGTATCCGGCTTGTTGTCTAGATCCCTCCGGGGTGTAACGACACACTGTTACATTTGCCCTCAACCTTTCGGCCCGCGCCCGCGATCCTAGAGAGTGTGTGTGTGTGTCCGGAGGGCAATTGATATCACTAAATCAGCGGCCGATTGACATGTCTCTCCATCAGATGGCCGTTCGGTTGTCAAGGATGTGACCAGAAATCGATAGGTACACGATGGACCCAGGGGTGTGCGGAATCATTTTTACGGAAACTATCGGAAAACTTTTCTAAGAGCTAGTTTTTCCCAATTCTGGTCTACAATTAAACGCCTTAAACAAGAAAAAGTTTTAAAAAACCTTTGGAAAAAGGACGTTTTTGGAATTCCTAATTTTTCCGTAGACCCCCTACAGAAGTACATCACATTCTTTGGTCATTGCTCACTCGGAATGAGCGAGAGGAAAAAAAGAAATTGTTTGAGAATTATTTCAATTGTTTAGTTATGTGAGCGAGAAATGTAGTGTTTCCTTGGAAAATGGAGGGAAATGAAAAATTAAAACTTTTTTGCCTGAATGTTGTTCATCTTCAGCGCCCTATTAGACCAGAAGAAGACCCTATTCCCTGCACTGATTCGATTTCGAGTGAAAAGAAGAGAACACGTTTCATTCCCTCATTCGCCTCCTCACTTTCCAATCTCTTTCGGTCTGTTCTCGAATTTCCCCTAACCCGTTCTTTTTTATTCGTCTGGGAGAGAAAGAGAAGGATGGACGTTTTCGCATTGCTCCCTCCTAAACGCGCCAAACTAGCCAATACTCAAGAGGGGGGCTCTGACCAAAGAAAAAGTTCAAAGCGGCAATATTTTAGACAATGAAGTGCTCTTCTGTTTTTCTTTGCGAAATGTGTTTTTTCTGAGAGACAACGCGAAAACCCGAACCCAAAATTGAACTTTTCCCTATCTCTCGTTTTGACCGGATGTTTCGCTAACTCAAGCGGGACCAGCTCATCTCCGATTCTGAGGACGCATTTTGGAGGAATATGTCCTCAAAGCGCAGACGACTTTTAGCATAAAAGTTATTTTTTGAGGCGCCTCTCACCCTAAAAATGGATGGTTTGATAGTTTTTGATCGAAAACGAAACGCGAAACGCTTTTTTTTTTGCTGTATGATGGTGTTGAAAGAGGCGAAGAGAACTTTGCTTGTGTACAGACGTCACAATCGGAAAAGCGATAACAGTTATCATTTACTACAGCCGCTCTCCTTGTTCTCTAGCACTTGGAGCCCGTTTACAGTTTTATGTTGATCGGTGTGTTTCACGTTTTACTTGCGGGCTGAGCACGTATGAGAGATAGGGGGAGGACTCTTCTCTGCCAACAAATCGATAACTATCGCGCTGATCCACTGCCACCACTCTCGCTTCTTCTCTTTCTCTCTCTTTCCATTGCTCGTCCTGAGAAGACTAGAAAAAGCATCTTTCGTCTTCTCTCCTTCCGAATCGGTTCGGCCGTTCGGCCGTCCGTCCTATATCGTTTTCTCGTTTCTCGTACATTCTGCGTCTCGATCGATCATTGTCTCTCTCCAAACAGTGTCTCCTGAAGTGATTGTCGCCGAAAATGAGGCAAACGAGGCGAGGAGGTTGTGCGAGAGAGAGAGAGAGAGAGGGAGAGAGTGGGGGGAGAAGAAAGAGAGGTGAAGACGGGCCTCGCGTGCATGCACTGCACTGTCTGTTTCCACACCATTCCCAGTCGCATTGTGAGCGCGACACAGTGAGCGCACTCACTCACCGTCAGTCGCAGCAAAAAGGACTGTCCTTCCCTTCCGTTCGCTTGCCCGTTCGGTTCGCAAAACGCCGTTTCTTTTGCGCCCTCTGAATTCATCTCACGGCTGATTCATCAGTGTTTTGCCGTTCCTCATTGTTGTCATTAGACGGTCATCATCATTATTTGCTATTCAAACACTCGCCTTTTCCTCGCCTCCCTCCCGTTTTCCTCTTCATTTGTTATCATCGCCCGAGAGAAAATATTCAAGTACAAACCATTTGGGTGAGCACGAGCGCTACTTGCTCGAGCAATAACATTTGCAATACAAACATTTATAATTACTTGCGGGGATCGCTTCAATTTTTATAGCTCATCCATCTCCTGGTCAGCAATAATTTAGTTTAGTTCTGTCATTGAACACGGGCCCATCAATGTGATCCAAAACATGAAATGACTCTTTTTCCGCCCGCACTCTTCTGCCCGGCTCCACACAGCTCAATCGGCGCCCATAACATTTTTGATGTCTTCGAGACCAGAACATCACGTGGCACAGCACCAGCCCCTCTTCTCGCCAGTTATTTCGAGAGCCGCCATGTGGATGGAAGTTGAGGCGAACCAGCTGATGGCAAGCTGCTGTTTTTTGTTACCATTCCCCTTTCAAAACGGTCTGGTGACAAAAATTGCCAGACTTTTACCACCTGCCATTTGGGTTTTGTTTATCTGTGTAGCATCCGGCTCTTTTTATATAAAACCACCACCACCGCTGGTGCCGGTGTCGGGTCCCTGATGGACACTATACACACCCGTTCGTAGACATGAACCTCATTTCTTTTCACGCTGCTTTTCTGGCCAGACTTGTCATCAAATCCAGGTCCGGGGCAGGGCTGGGCCAACTTTCAGAGTTGTCATAATTATTTGCTGTTTATTTTCCAGAAACCTTTCTCTCTCCCTCCCAATCAGTTGTTTGCAACACTAAAACACCACCAAAACTTTCGTTCGATCCAACTTTTAAAACCCGTCGCAAACTTGGCATAGCAAAGCAAAAGCACATCTATTTTTCGTGGTCTATTGGCTCTCTCTCTCTCTCTCTCCCGACCATCTGATCCCTGGGGCATTGCTATGAAGGGGCGCAACCAACCAATCATTCGAAATGTTGAATCGGCGGGCTTGCCAAGTGGTGTGTGGCGGGGGAAAAGGGACAGAAAAGGAATTATGCATCAAGACGGACAAGAAGAAACAAATCCTTGTTTTTGCGCCCGTTTTCCCAATCCGGGTCCCAACCCAAATCAACCCCCAATCTTCGTCCTCTCATTGCCCATTTCCTTTTTCTGTTGTCCACGATACAAATTGTCTTGCTTTCCGTTTGTTTGTCGCATTTCGTATTCTTTGAAAATTTCGCAAAGGTTCTAACGTGTTTCATTTTCAGGGTACTCTACTGGCCAGTCTCTCGAACTTGCTCATTGGAATTTGCGCAGGAGCGTCGCGTTCAGCAACTACCAACTACTAATCTCGCTGATCACGTCACTTTTCGCGCCGAATAGCAATCGCTCTTCATGATGGAGGAACATCTCAACGGGAACGGCGTCAATGGGATGAACGGTTCGACATACTCGTCGAACCGCAATCCGCAACAACCGGCAACGCCACCTGGAAATGGTCACAGCAATGGTGAAGGAGGAAGGTATAGTGTGAGGACAGGATATTTTCGTGAAAGAGGAGTTCCGCCACCAAAGCCTCTTTTTGCAACTGAAGATACGGAGACTCCAAAAAAAACGGCTCGTCCGCGTTTACGAGACGGTCTGACTGCACCACCTCTGCCCAGGGCTGTGTTCGATTCTGACGTGCCACCGGGCACTCCGAAAACTGCCGTTACAAACGTTGCCTCTTCGCTAATCAGTGCATGTGCCAATTCACCAGTTGTGTCGTTTACGCGTGGGGTGTTACGTGCTAGTCGCAAAAAGATTCGTCCGCTCTTCAACCAATCCTCAACTGCCGGAACGTACGACTTTGGCGGGCCGAGCACAAGCACATTCCACCGCGAAGTGTTCAGTTATCCGCAACTCGTTATCATGGAAACGGACAAATCGCCGAAGCAGATGGATCAGATTGCCACCAAGAGCACTTCGAAGGGATTGACACGGGCGAAAAGGTTTTGGTTTGCTGTGGTTTTGGCTTGAGTGGTAGTCCCTCTCCCTCCTTCTCCCCCGCGAATAACTACCTTTTTGTACCCACACTTTTTTGTGCCTTCAAAATTTCACTAGCTCATTCGGTCCAATTAAATTTTCCATCCACACCCATCCATTGCTTTACACAAAGATCCGCCAACACATTACATTTTTTTCGATAACTAATTCCGGTGGCTGGGTGCTCACTTAATGATGTGCGTGGAAAATGAACACGAAATTAGAAAGAGGACAATATACATAAGTTTGCTTTGTTCACTTGAGTTATTGTTGCACATGATCATCGATCAACTTTTTGCTCCTTCTTTTCATCTCCACTCATTTCGATTGTTCATTTTCCTTGCATGATTCTCACTTTGCGGGATTTCTTCTAATAAGTCCCCTCTGCATGCCCTTTTCAACACTTCTAATGTGGCGTGGTGGCTAGTCGATAGGTGGTACTTTCTAAGAACATTTAGAATAGGTCACTAATCTTAATCAACATACTAATTGTTCTTTTCAGCTCGTATTGGGAGTCGGCGCCAGCGGAAATGGTCGAATTAGCTCAAAAGTACAATTTCACGATCGACGAGGAGCGTAGCATCCAGGACGAGGCTCTCCAACTGCGTGCCATCATCCGCAAGGACTTGAAAAAGAAATTAAAGATCAAGAGTGGCTACTTTCGCATCAAGGCGGCTACTGCGGACCGTCGTCAGCATGACTTTCTTCGTTTCGAGTTGTCCGACTTGAACGAGCAGATCGCCGATCTTCAGGAGGATCTTCAGGCACTTGAGATGTACAACACTGGCGCTTTCGGTAGGGATTACCCAGTCCAAACTCACAAACTGACATTTTCTTTCAGATGAAGATGTGATGTACCTCGACAGTGTGGAAGATTGCGAGCTGGAGAACGGACCGCCGAACAAATTGCTGATTCTTCAGCTGGAACTCGAAAAGGAGTACAAGGTCAAGAAGGGACTCGATCAGTTTCTTCGAGATGCTCCGGACAAGTCGAAAGTGCACGGCGATACGCGAAGCCTTCTTGAGGACTGTCGTGCCAAGATCGCAATGCTGCGCATGCAAATCGAACGTCTCTCGCAAGACAACACTGCTCCGCTTGTGACTAAATCGAGTACCGAGTTGGCCATCGACGAATTGCTCTTCCGTTTCTCGAAAGAAAAGGCTCTGATGGACGGATCTCGCAACATGATCCGTACTCTTCGTGGACAGAAGAAGCAGGACAACAAGGCTATCGAAGAGGCGATCAGCAGCTACGTCATCGCTTCGGAGAAGGCCGACCTCATCAGACTGGCTCTGCTCAAATACGCGGCGGATCTTCCACTGGATCATTCGAACAGAGTTCCGCTCATTGGAGACATCAACGCGGGAAGAATTCCACCGCCACCGCCACTCATCCAGCCAGAGCGCACCAGCCCATCTGGAGAAGAAAACTCGATTATTCCGTCGACCGTTTACGCTCGCCGTTTCAGCTTCATGCCAACGTCTCTTCAGATTAGCGGATGTCTTGAGGTTTCATACCAAATTTTCAGCAATCTCCTAATTATTTGTCTATTCAGGTTACCATCAACGGATGCGCCGGAATCCTCACAGACGTTTTCGATCGCAGAGTCCGCAAGGATATTCCTGGAACCGCTGGTTTCCTCTCCGTCTTTGGATACGATGCGAACGGAAAGAAGAAGAAGTCATTGAGCCGACCGATCAACGCAGATGACATTTTCTGTGTTGTTCGCATCGACAATCGTTTCATCGGGGCCACTGACTTGAAGAAGATCTCAGATCGCAACTGGGACCAGAAGTACACGCTCGACTTGGATCGTTCGCGAGAGCTTCAAATCGAGCTGTTCTACCACGACGATCGTTCGATGTGCGGTTTCGCGTCGGTCCGTCTCTCGAATCTGATTGAGGCGACGCACAGAGTCGGAATTCTTGTTCCGGTCGAGCCACAAGGGACCATCTTTGTTCAGTTCAAGTATATGAATCCAGTGGTCAGCCGAAAACCGAAGCTGGAGCGTCAGCGACGTCTTTTCCGCGTCAAAGGTACATTTTTACGGACAGAACAATAAAATGAGTGAGCGCTTTTTTTGCAGAGTCAAATGACGGAGCTCGTCAGAAACTGGGAGTGTTCGCCTTCTCGCGTCTCATCAAGAGCAGAGGAAATGACCAAAGCGAGAAGTTTGCCGCTTTCACTGGTGAGTTTGCGGTCGCTCATTTCTCTTGATTTCCCACGTCCGCGTGCAATTTTTGAACAGCAACGTGCAAAACATAAGATTCGGCTGCTTTCGTTTTGAGAAAAAAAAAAGAAATGACAGAGAACAGATGATTTAGTTAAATGAAAAAACACGCGCCACGAATCTGTGTTATTTCCAATTCGTGGGTAACTATGTTTTTTTTTCAATAAGCCATATAAGCCTTATAAGAAAAATGGATTGAAGCGCGATCATCTCCAAGCTCATCTTCAGCTATGATTAATTTTCTTCTAGGCTTCTCTCCGGTGGCCATTTCGTCGATGTCTTCGCAAAGCCAGCCGGGTCCGTCGACGTCGGCTCCGTCGACCGCTGGTCCTTCGACCTCGTCGTCCGCGGTCTCTGCTGCACAGCCATCCACGTCGACGTCGCTCTTCGACAAGGTCAGTAACCACTTGCCTGTGAGTACTTTTGGTTTTTTGCTAATCAATGTCTGTACAACATGCGTCAACCATAACCAGTCAGCTCTTTCTGTCGCCGCTTTCAATCGATCGTCTTTATTTCGCTTCCACCTGCCAATTTGCCTTTTTTTTAATATCGCTTGCAATTTCCTACTTTTGGAGTGGTTTTTGAGTGTTGTGCTAACATCATTATCGTGTAACAATTCAATATATCCATCCGTCTTCAGGGGTTCAATCCGCGCAAGTCGGCCAAGAAACGAGAGGCTCGGGAGGCTGCTGCCGCCGCTTCGGCCGCTGCCGCCGCATCTTCGAGCAACTTCCAAACGCCGACTCGCGAGCGCAATTTGATCGTCGACGAGATCCCGGCCGACCGTCAGCTTCCACCGGTGCCGGCTGCTCGGCACATCGACAGCTTCACGACTTGCGAAGGAAGCCCATTGGACGTGGAGCAGTTCCGTCTGATCAGTGTGCTCGGACGGGGTCACTTTGGAAAAGTGATTCTGTCGCAGCACAATCCGACCCAGAGTTACTACGCTCTTAAAGTGCTCAAGAAGGGAGACATTCTCGGACGCGACGAGGTTGAGTCGCTCATGGTGGAGAAGCGCATTTTCGAGGTGTCGTCTCGTGCCAGACACCCGTTCCTTGTCAACCTCCACGGATGCTTCCAAACCCCGGAGCACGTGTTCTTCTGCATGGAGTACAGCATGGGAGGAGATCTGATGCGTCACATCCACGACGACGTGTTCGACGAGGTCCGTGGTTGCTTCTACGCGGCGTGCGTCGTTCTAGGACTGGACTTCCTCCACAAGAACAACATCATCTACCGTGACATCAAGTTGGACAATCTCCTTCTTGACCGTGAGGGATATGTGAAAATTGCCGATTTTGGCCTGTGCAAGGAAAACATGGGACCTTTCGACAAGACGAGCACTTTCTGCGGTACTCCGGAGTTCCTTGCTCGTAAGTTGTTTGTTTTACTTTTCGAAGTAATTAATTGAGTTTGTTTCAGCTGAGGTTCTCTCGGACTCGTCCTACACTCGTGCCATTGACTGGTGGGGTCTTGGTGTTCTCATCTTCGAGATGCTTGTCGGAGAGCCGCCATTCAGTGGCGATGACGAGGAGGAGATCTTCGACTCTATCATCTCCGAAGATGTTCGCTACCCGAGATATTTGTCCGTTGAGTCTATCGCCATCATGCGAAGAGTGAGCTTAATGAATAAAGTTCAGATGATTATTTTTCGTTTTCAGCTTCTTCGCAAGGTCCCCGAGAAGCGATTGGGATACGGAGAGCGTGACGCCGAGGATATCAAGATCCAGCGCTTCTTCCGTCACATTTCGTGGGAGTGGGACAAGTTGTTGACCCGTGAGATCCGCCCGCCATTCCAGCCACAACTCGTGAGTTTACCCGACCGTAACTGCGTTTATTTAGTGTGCATTATTTCAGCGCAACCCGGAGGACGTGTCTAACTTTGACCTGGAATTCACGCAGGAGAGAGCCCGTTTCTCGGCCGCCTCGAGCAATCGCCCGATCACGGAGGCCGATCAGCGACTCTTCAACAACTTTGACTTCTCCATTGTCCCATAACTGATTCTCTCCCTGCTGGTTTCTCATTCAACTTCTCACTCACTTGTACTATGTTATTTCTCTTGTTCTTGTGTTTTGCCCGACTGTCAAGTATTTTTCCTCGTTCAACGACTCTTCCTGCCCGAATACTATACTTTGTGAACTGTTCTGTGATCAGCTCCTAGCCCTTCTCCCACCCATTCTGTACTTTGAAACCAACCTCGTTGAGTTCTTTTCTTTTCTTCTTATCTTAACCCACCCATCATCTCCATTTGTCATTGCGCCCCAGAAAGAGTCCGCAAACTGTTCTTCCGGGTGTTTTAGACCCATTTTGTACCATCCATACACACACTCAATTGGCTTTTTCTTTTTCATACTTTTTTGTACCATTAACTGTCATGTAAACCCCAGATTTACCCCAGTTGCTCCCATCAATGGGATTCCATTTATCTTGAATATTTATTAGCCCTATTCTCCCCAGCTTTTGTGTCCTAAAACGTAGTTCTTTTATTTTTTATTTAGAAATGAAATGAATGAACATGCTGCCGAAAAAGTGTCGAAAAAAGTAATTTAGGTGGGCGGCTGAACAATGAGCACTCGCGACTGATTGTTGCACTCTCCTGCTCGCTCTTTCTCGGCGTCGAACTGCACCAGGATGAGGAAATATGTGAAAATCGCGGAGAACAACTATAATAATTGGATACTTGTTATCGAAAACTGTGCCTAGGCGTACGCTGATCATAATTTTCCTGTTCATCATGAAGAAGTTACCAGCGGTGAGCGTCAGTTTGGTGGCGTGCATTTGGAATGACAGGAAACTCATTTGAGACAAAACTAGAAGATCTCTTTCTTCGCACAAAGTTTCATGATACATTTTAAACGACGCTGTGAGCAGTTTGTCACCCTCTTCGGCTATCATAAAAGCTGGAATTGAGAAGAGCATGAGTGCCAGCATGGTATTTGTGAGCCAAATGGCAACCGAAAACGTCTCCGCCATATCAGCCTTGAAGAAAACATTTTCGTGTTTCCGGTTAACAAACCGAATTTTACCTGAGAGCCATTTCGAAAAGCAATGTAACCGAGAAGACAAGTTAGAGGAATGCAACATCCATAGGTATAAAAAAGAGAAAATGAAAAGTTCTGCTCGATGTACTGTTTTGCGTTTGAGATTTCTTGATAGTGTATTTGAACGTCATGAATTTGTTGCAATGACTGTTCGGGTAAAGGACACTCCTCTTTCTCTTTCGGAACCATTTCCTCAATGAGCTGACCGATAGAGAACTGGAGAATTCTGCATAGTTGGAAGAATAAAATGGCCACCAGCGAGATGCAACTGGAAGCAATGAAAATCTGCAATGAAAAGTGAAGTGTCATAGACAGTCTAGTCTCTTACCACATATCCTTCGAGGATTATAAAGTAGATCTTTCTGTTTATCAAGTCTGGTGTATCAGGTAAATCGAGATATTTGAGTTTAGTTGCTGGAACGTTGATGTATTTCTGCATCTCATTTCGATCCTATTTTTTTTACCAATTTGTACAAAAGAAAGTGCAGCGGCGAATGAGAAACTAATTGATATGAATAACTTGTTCAACTTAAAATGATGGCTATCATGCTCTTCACTTCTATTCCTTCCGAGACCCTGGTCGAGCACCTGAATCATTTGACCGGTCACGCAGCCCTTTTTTTCGTCGTTTTTAATTTCACTCACGTGATACATTTTCTCTCGTTGCTTCTGCAGCTTGAGCAGTAGAAACGCGGCAGCGAGGCCACTGAAATTCGAACATGAAAAAGGGCTCTTTGTTTGGTCGAAAAAGCCCCCGCTTAGCTCTAAATGCCAATGATCATTTTCTCATTTTCCCCTTCACGTGTAGGTTAGCGTTGCCAATCCGGACAACATTCAGAACTCCGTATTTATTGGTCAATCAGAAAGCGAAACGGACGGAGTGGGGAGGGTTTTTGTTTGTTCCTTCTCCCGGGAGTATAACTGAGAGAAAACATAACCTGAACATTAGCAGAGCATGACACAATGTGAGTACAAATGTCGGGTTTAGCACATGGAACGCAGCGTCTTTTTCGTCGCTTGTCGACGACTTCTGTTTGATTTGCGAAATGCGCCGAATTGTGGCGGCCGTCTAAAATGAAAATGTTCCACTTTGTAGTGTGGTCAACACAAGTTTCACCGACGGTTCGGATTACATTCGAAAGAAGAGGGCATATAACAAAAATCTTTCATGAAATGGACCGACCAGAGATCGAGCGACTCACCAGAACGGCTAGTGTGGCATAATTGTAAATTGTGAGAGGCCATTTGAAAAGAGTGTTCCTGGCGCTGCTGTGAGTATGGTTCAAGCCCAATACCATCATGTAAGAGTACAATGGTCCCAACACCTTCAAACATCTAATGTGATAGAAATTGTTGGAGAGATGGTACCTGATCACAATACGTATTGCTCATGTCTATTGATATTTTTTGATCCACATCCGTTGTAGTGTCTAACGTAAAAAACAAGTAAGTCAGAGCTAAAGTTTTTTTTAGAAACTTACGGAAAGAAGACCTCGAACTTCTTGGAGATGTCCATTTGAACTCCAAAGTGTTCGACGCTGTTATCGTCATTTTTAAAAGAAGTTTCAGAGATGGTTTTAGCGAATCTATTTTGGAAAGAGAGCAGGAAAGCGTGGGGCAGCACTGCTTCAGACTGACTGACTAACCACTGACACTGACAGAAACTTTTTAGTGTGTCGGCGGAGCAAAATGGGCGCCTAAAGTATTTTGTTACATAGTTATACGCCTGCCGATGGTGATGGCGCGCATCAAATTTGGCATGACTCATTTTTAGGTGAGTTTGAGTTGAGTAATTACACAAAGTATATTTGGCCTTTTTGAGAGGACAAAAAATGAGAGAGGGGTGTGAAATGGCAAACATTACAATAATTGTAGAGTGCTTCTCTCCGGAATGGATCATAACGACGTTTTCGGAAACCATTCGTTCTATGCAGAGAATTAGTAGCTTCGAAGAGCATGGAATCAGAAATGGACAGTGAAGAGAACGCCGGAATGGGGCTCAACTCAATTAGAAAATAAATTGTTTTCCAATCCTCGGAAAACGAGCATTTTTTGTCCAAATTTGTTCGATCCATCTGCTATTGTAAATCAATTGATTGTTGTTTATCCACTAGGATCTAAACTATCGGCTGCTTCGCATGATCCCCCTTGACAATCTTCACGGCAATGTATGCATGCTATTTGTTCACCGTGCGTTTTCGATAATGTAAAATCGGTGTGCTGCTATGGTCTATTATAAATAAGATTCGCGAAAAGTATTCGCACACTTCTTGGCTGCCGCCACCCGCCGCCGCTTATTTGAGTATTCCCACCGACTCTCTCACTTCTCTTGTACCATCCCTTCATTTCGTGATATCACAAGTCTGGTTCATGACGTTTTGTTATTTCCCAGTTTTTGCTTTATTACTTCTATATCATCAATGTTTTTGTGAAAGATACGGATCATCAGCAGGTTAGATATGTCTATTGTATTTATAAGAGTTTTTCGTTCCAGATTTCTGTATTGATGGTACTAATGCGGAAAAAACAAAGTCAGGAGTGACAAAATGGTGTGATGACTCTGAGGAATGCAGTGCCGGTTGGGAATGCGTTCCGTCCGGACTGTTCCATTTTTCAAAGCAAGTCAATTATTGTTGTCAGATGAGAGGTTAGCATGGAAAACGTTTTTTTTCCAAAATTGAAAGTTCAGAATCCATTTGTTCGATGCCCCCGAATCCAGGTTACGGTGACTGTTTTGATGAACCGAAGACAATGTTTTATTTTGATTCTATGGACATGAAGTGAGTTAGATTATTCCAATTCCGCAACCGTTTCATTTCAGATGCAAAAAGTTCAAAGTGATAAACTGTCATGGCAAAAACCAGAACCAATTCGACACCTACGAACTGTGCACCAGGTTCTGTCAATCCACTGCCTGTCTCGCCGGTCAATCTCTCCTCCTCGCTCGTGATAGTTCTCCCGTGAACTGTCGGATAGCCGGATGTCCTCCCGGATACCGATGCGTCTACGACAAACTCTTCAACCGACACGTCTGCTGTGGTCATTCTCCCACGGGTGAGCAAATCTTCCTGCTTCCTCATTCTCCTCGTCTTTCAGGTGTTTGTCCAATCGGAGCCGTGTCTTTCTCCCACGTTCGCTTGAATCAGCCTCTGAGATGCACTCCGTCTGCGTATCGGGATGCGTGTCCGGCTGATTACGTGTGCACAACTCAGGGACTTCACAGTTTCTGCTGCTCACCTCATGAGGGTAACAACATTTCCAAAACTGATTTCAATAACAAGAAAAGTTTTTTCAGCTGTATGCCCGGCAGGTCAGCAGCCATACGTGCACGTTGTTTCAAAGAACAGCATGAAGTGCAATCCATTGGAGACTTCCTCGTGTCCCGAGACTTACTACTGCTCTCCAGCGGTTCCGGGTGCACACTGGGGATTCTGTTGCAGTGTACATATCGAGGCTTCGTGTCCGGCTGAAACTGAGCCATACTTGGAATCTATTAGTAAATCACCTGTTAGGTGTACTGTGGGTGTCACCCAGTGCAAGTGAGCAGCAATATTTAATTCAATTGTGTACTATCATATTTACAGTGTCGGTTACTCGTGTCAAAGCTCCCAACCGGGTTCATTAATCGGATTCTGTTGCACTATCCCTAAACTGAGCTATCAGCCTCCAATGCGCTCTACAGACACTCCGGAGTTCCCTACAACTTCAAGTGAAATGTACTTTATTCACAACGAAGGACTCATAGGACCGTCAGCAAAAACACGTGCGTCATAAATTGTGCTTTCATCAATGTCACCTTTGACCAAACTGAGCCGAAACGTTTAGGTCATCAAAAACCTGCAAAGAAGTATCAAAAAGTGACAAAGTCAACATCCACGTATGGCGTTGTCTCGAATTACAAACCGGCGACGTGCCCTCCTAAAACTACTTCGGTTTTTTATGCGAACACTCAAATTAATGTCGAGTGTACTCCGTCCGAGGGATATAACTTTGAATGTCCAGGTGAGAATAACGTCGGAAAAATTATGCTCACAGAAATATGATTCCAGAAAATTCGTCTTGTATCAATGCGCACTTAGATTTGGCGGGACGGATGGTTTGTTGTCAGATGCCAAAAACGACACCGACTCCCAAATTCATATATTTTGTGACTTCGACGCCAAGAATGATGCGGTACAGAACAGCAGACAGCTTCTGTCCGTACGCAATCCGTCATTCTCAATGTCATCCATCGGCTTCCACGTGTCCGATGGGATACTTCTGCCAATATCTGTTTGAAACATCGTCATTTTCTTGTTGTTCTTTGTACTAAAACACATTTTTAATGGATAATGTTTGATTCGCACCCCGGAACCCTTTTCCCACACTCCCAGGTTCCTCTTGATCTCTTGTTTGGGACATGTCTAATAAACGTTTGTTCGAACTTTCTCTATTCTCAGTTTGTGCTTTGCAAGGAAAGGAGTCTTAAGTAATTCCGCTTCCAAATCCGGGCTTTCTAATTGTTTCCAGTTCACTGATTTTACATGTTTTTGCGTATGTATGTGCATGTGAGTTGTTAATGAAATTCGTAAAGAGGATTATCCAATCTTACTGCCCAACCCACAATGTCCATTAAGAGCTGCTTCGAGTTTAAGCTTGTTCCACTCTTCTTAAAAGATGATTGATAGGTTATGGCATCAAGAACCAAGAGCCACAGAGTGTTGCGATCCAATCACTTCAGCCACCCACCCACAGACTTTCTTTCTTTCTTTCACACGCAAATCAACAAACTCTTCAAAATTAATTGTGACAGCTTGAAAGTCCACTCAAAATCAATATATCTACCGCCTCCCAACCGATCCATCACCGATTCGCTGTGCTGCCCTCTCTTTGTCAGATATCTCTGATTCTGCTATCACACGTCAAATTAAAGAGCGAGCTGCTCGGGCGCAGTGTGTTTTTGTTGTGAGACTGAGAGACGAAAAGGTGGTGCGGGTCCACAATGAACAATAGGTGCTGGCAGCAGCTCTTCTGCCTCCAGCACTCGATTGAAAATCGGCAGAAGTCCCCCACGGCGGATCGAGGGGAGCCGCCGACTCCACATTACAATCATCCCCCTTCCACTGGCCGTCATTATGCTTGCTGCTCTCTCATTCACACTTTCCCATCTGAAAAACTTTTTAATTTTTTTTCTCCCGTGCACTTTTGTTTCTCTTTCTTCTTTCCATTCATTTGGACAATTGAGCAACTCTAGCTGAGCCTTGGGAAGCCTGAGTCTGAGCACATACTTCCTGTTTCCAAGATTGCTCGGTCAACTCTCTGTCTCTTCACGTTTCTAAGTTCCATTTTTCATTTTTTCCATCTGTCAGTCCGTTTCAAAAACGTTTTTCCTAGTTACAACGTGTGGCTCCTTCCTTCCTTCCTTCTCTTCTGACATTTGTTGGCAAGAAAAGTGGCAATGTTATCTTAAGAGTGATTAACTCTATCAATCTTTCTCCCTCGCTCCAGATCTCCTTTACCCGCCACCTCCACCCGCCAAAGAGTCGAGCACACGCGCGCCGCTTACGATGAAACCGACAATACCATGAAATTTGCATTTCTTCTCAGGATTTTTGTATATGGTAGATTATTATTTTGTTTGAAAGAAGAAAAGAGAAAAGTTGACAAGTGTTTCAGCTGGGCTATGTTTCTACGTGACTCCGAATCGGTATGCCGAGCAAATGTACGAAGATCTCCTGTATTATTACAACAAAAATGTTCGACCAGTCAAAAATGCCAGCGAAAGTGTTAAAGTCAAGTTTGGCTCATCTCTCATCCGACTCATTGATGTTGTGAGTTTGAAAATTGTTTTTCGTAAAAAACAGTGCCAGTAACACGAGGCGTTAAAAATAGTAGTTTACACTACACATCCAATATTTTAACGTCTCTCTTTGCTTTGATCGGCTTTAGTTACCTACTTGAACACTTTTCTGCCCCCTAACACCTCACATTTCAAAAAAATATATATATCCTCAGCTCATCTTACGCTTGGTGTCAGTGTCAGTCACGGCACACAACTAATGAGCTCGTTGGGCTTTATGGGTGGGCCCCGGGTCTTTAAGAACAACAATAACTTTGTTTAGGATGAGGTAAACCAAGTGCTGACGACAAATCTCTGGCTGGAGATGCAATGGTTCGACTACCGATTAATGTGGGATCCCGGGCGATGGGGAAAGATCCGAAAGTTGCATGTGCCGGTGGATCAGATATGGATTCCTGATATCTTACTGTATAACAAGTGAGACAGCTTCAAAACGATTTTCTGAAAACGTGCTCTGAAATGTTTCAGCGCTGACGGAGAGCCTCATATTACAATCATGAGCGATGCAATAGTATATTATAATGGATTAGTGGTGAGTGTTTATTTGTAATTCGATGGCTCCACTTTCTTTCTTGTCAAACTGACCCACTTCCGCTCTCCGATCGAACAAATGTCGCGCTCGAAAATTTATGTTGCATCGCTGCTCGATTGCAATTGAGAGATGATGCTCTGCGCTGTAAAAACGTCTTGCTCGCGCTGATTTCTTCATCAAACGGATCACCGCTTTTTGATACAGGTCTGGAAGCCGCCGTCTATTTATAAAAGCTTCTGTTCAATTGACATCGAGTACTTTCCCTACGACACACAGACATGTCGGATGAAGTTTGGCGGTTGGACTTACAACGGATTCCTGTTGGATGTCAGGCAGCTTCCAGTGAGAAAGAGATTCAAAAGATTTCACGGTGTTTCTCAAAAATGATTTATAGACAACTGGATGCGAAGTTGTGAACAAGGCGGACGACGAAGGAGAGTTTCAGTTTCTGGGTAGAGGAATGGATTTGAGCGGATACTATCCGTACGCGAGTTATTTGTTATTATGATAAAAACGCTTTTTGAGATTTCAGAAGTTTGGAATGGGATTTGATGGAATTGAGCTCTGCCAGGCACGAAAAGATCTATGCCGGCTGTTGTGGTCAAGACTTTTACATTGACATCACTTTCATGATTGAAATTCGGCGGAAAACTTTATTCTATACCGTCAACCTGATGATTCCATGCATGATGTTCGGTTCGTTCAGAAACAACTGTTTAAAATTGGAATAGAATATCATTTTCAGCCATCCTCACATCGATTGTATTCTACGTTCCGCCGATTGAGCACAAAATGACATTCTCGATTTCCATTCTGGTCACCCTCACTGTATTCTACCTCATTTTGATTGATCTCGTACCACCCACTTCACTTGTAATTCCACTTATTGGTAAGTTCCACAGATTTGTTGAACACACTCACAGACTGGGTTATGATTTCAGGAAAGTACTTACTATTCACAATGTTCCTAGTCTCTATTTCTATTATGTTATCGGTTATTTCCTTAAACTTCTATCGACGGTATACATTCATTTTTATGATAGAAACAAACTTTATTTTATTTCAGAGACGGTTCCTCGTTTCCCATGCCGCATTGGATGAAAGTCGTTTTCATTCAAACACTGCCCAGGTACATTTGTATCAAAACAGCTGACGATGATGATGGCAGCGACAGAGGATCGAGCATATCCGGTGAGTATGCGGTAATATAATAATTTCATGTGTGTGCATTACAGTGTCAGATGTTGGACCGTTCATGGATTCAAGAAGACCATCTCCGTTTTTCATCACTGTTAACGAAAGGCAACTGAACGGAAGGTTTTCCGAGTTGAAGAAGAAAGGAATGCATCCGGATTTGATCAGGAACATGATTCAGAATGTGGAGTTCATCTCCGAGTATTTCAAATCGCTCAAGAAAGAAGACAAGGTACACCGATCAACGGAAATCAATGTAATGTTATCTTACAGATCTCCGAAGATTGGTCGTATGTTGCAAATGTGATCGATCGAATCTTCCTCATCATTTTCACCATCATGAATGTTGCGGGAACGTGGATGATTTTGTACAACTCGCCAGCAATGTTCGATAATCGAAAACCGTTAGCAATTGTGAGTTCCGCTCTCTTAAAATCGTCCCTCAACATGTTTTCTTCAGAATTCTGTCGCCCGTCCGCTGTCAGGCGACACATTCGAGAACTTTATCACGGAGAACTTTACTCAACTCGCCTGGTGGGCCAGTACTATCCAAAACAATACGGCCGAGTTGACCGACAGCCAATTATGTCCAGTTATACGATAATGATACGTCTTTCCATGTTATTGTGAATACTTTTGAATTTCTTTTAAGATCTTTATGAATAATTTCTAAAACTTTCTCGAGTTTCGACAATCTCACAATCACAATCATTACGTGAACAGGGGGAAGATCACAATTCAAATGGCACAATATTTCAAACGGGTAAAACAAATCAATTGATATGATTAAATATAAATCAACCAAAGTAAATAAGTATGCATATAAAACTAAAAATTCTGAGTTGGAAAGCACTTGGCTGCACATGCTCCGGGCGGACGGGTAAAACAAATCAGGCAATATTAATTATTAAATAAACAAAATGATTAAATACAAATAAAAACAAATCAAAATCTAAGTTGGAAAGCACTTGGCTTCACATGCTCCGGACGGACGTTCAACTGTCTCATCAGCTCCGCTCTCTCAGGGTCCTCATTCGCAAGATTTTCTTCCAGTCTCTCCTTTCTCGACATCGGTTTTGGAGCGACATTGTGTTCAATTCTGGCGGGATTCGTGGGCAACTCCTCGTACGGCACAGAAAATGGCTTCTCGCTGAAATGAACGAAAGTCAATGGTTAATGCGTAAAACCGACAAACTCACTTGAACCATTCGTGCTCCAGTGCTTCAGTGGCCGTGAATCGTTTATTGGGGTCCAGGGTCAACATTCTGAAAAGAAATTACTCAAAAAAGTGTTTAAAAATAGGCTGAAAACTGACCCATTTAGTAGGTGGTATCCCGTCTCATTCATCAATTTTTGTCCTAGGAGCTTCTTCTTCAGACCTCCAGCCGGGTACTTATCAAAACTGATCAGCTTCCAATATTCGTGTTCTTCAATACCCGGCCAAGTATGCTCGTCTGGAGAGCCCATACTTTTGAAGATACGAGTGACCTGATCGGCTTCATTCTCTCCTATCCACAATGCTCTCATTTGACAGAACTCGGCCATAATGCATCCGACGGACCACATGTCGACCGGAGTTGAGTAGTATTTCGGTTTGAGCAGCAATTCGGGTGATCTGTACCAGAGGGTGACGACTACCGTAGTCATTCGCTGCGGGCGGTCGCCAAACTCGCGAGCAAGTCCAAAGTCGGCGATTTTGAGTATTCCACTGTTGGAAATAAGAAGATTCGACGTCTTCAAGTCGCGATGAATAATCCATGATTTGTGCAAGTGCTCGATTCCGGATAGCAGCTGGAGCATCAATGCCTTCTGCTGCCCCGTTCTGAATCTTTGGTTCTTGGCGCGCATCTTATCGATCAATCCCTTCACATCGTGTTCCACGTACTCCAACGCCATGAATATCTCGTTTTTCGAGTTTCCACACAGAATCTCCTTGACGTTGACAATATTCGGATGGTTTCCTGCTTTGAGAAGCATGTTGATCTCACGGAGGGCCGTAATCGGGAATCCTTCACGCTCCTTCTCCATTTTGAAGCGCTTCAGGGCCACAATCTCATCAGTCCGAGTGTGTTTTCCGCGGAACACTTCCCCATACGTTCCTTCGGCAATTGTGTTGAGGATGGAGTACTCGTGAATGTGTTGGCATCCCTTCACTCCTGGATAGTAGACCGGAAGTTTCGAGACGGCTGCGTTGTGACGCATCTCTTGACGCTTCTCAATAGCCTGTTTGTGCGCCTGAAAGAAAATTTTAATAGGTTATCCGTACAGATCTAATGTTACTAACCTTCTTTTCCTCTTCAGACATTTTCTCCCAGTCAGCACGCTCCGGAGTCTTCGCGAACTTGTCATTAAAGACTTCATCATCCTCGTCTGATTCAGACGTTACAATGTCGGTTTGAATCTCAGTACTATCATCCAAATATTGAATTTCGCTTCTCTCCCTCATCTCCTCTGGGGTCGGAGTTCTCGGTTCTTCTTGCTGCGGAGTCGCAGTTCTGCATTCTCCTTCCTGCAACTCTTCCTCAATCTCTGGATCCTCATCCACCTTCTTTGGTCTTGCTGGGCCGACAGGTCCGAAATCAACGTCTAGAGTGAAAGTGGAGATCTCGTTTTCGTCTCTCAACTCAACTGGCGACATCTCGACATCCTGCACCTCCAGAACTCGGACACTCTTCGTGTTGTGATTCGGATCGAGAACTGAAACCATTCGAATTGATCTTGGTCTAACTCGACCGAACTTACTTCTGTCAAAGAGTCTCGAATTTTCAGGAACACGCTTGTGGTCCTCAGCCTTCTTGTTTCTGGCTCTTTTCTCGTCATCGGTTGATGGCGAGCGCGATTTGGCGGCGTATTTGCTGGTCTTGTAGCGGCTATCCCTGCCTCTCTCTTCAAATCGGTCACGAACACGGTGGCGGGAGTTGTTCTGTAAGAAATCCCCTCAAAAACAGATCTCACAATTTCAGAAAAACGTACCTCGTGTCTGTTCGAATGCAATTCTCGACGCAAATCTCTTCTGTCTCTGTCCGACCGTCCCTTTTCATAATATCGATCGTTTCTGCGTTCATCGCGTTCGCCGCGTCTGTCTCCCTTCTTTTCCGTGTAGCAGTTCTGAATCTTTCTCTCCCTCCACTGAAATACAATGATTCCATCATAATTAAAACACAAAAACACTCACAGCACTCTTTGGTTGAATAGAGAATCGAGATTCCGTTGTATCATCGTCGCTTCCGCTGTATCTCTGTTTGGTTGGTCGGCTGGGGTACTTTGAGCTCATTATTCCCTCTGAAAGTAGTTTTTATAAATGTATTTTCTTTAAAAAGGCATAGAAGTGAAGAAATAAAAATGAAAATAGAAAGATAACATGGAATACATATAAAACAGGAAGACGGTGTTCAAATGTCTGCAAACACGGCGGTGTACTGACGAGAAATGACGGACAAACGAAGAGAGGAGAGCTAGGGGGCAAATGAACGATGAGAATGGGACTGGTGCGAGGAGACGGGCCGATATCGATCCAGAATGGCGGGTCCCGGCAGACCGCAAACCAGTGAACGCGTTGCGTTGCACCAATATGTTCACGTGATTGAAAGTTTAAAAAAATGCGCCACAAAACAACGCGTTGTAGAAATAAGGCATTTTATCAGAATTACAGCATCTATAATCAGTAAGCAACCTGCTCAAACGAGAATAAAAGAAAAGAATGTTTATTTTCAGTTAAAAATAAATATTTTGACAGGGAATTGGAAATTAGCAGTAAAAAAAGAAGAGGGCAATTTGATGAGGGATTTCGCGAAAATTCAAGGTAAATTGTCTCAAATTATGAGCATTTTTTGAGGATTTTTTTTTGATTTACTGATCATAGCAGCAGTGTGTACATGAAATGCCTAAAAAAAAGCGGTTCAATCACAAAATGAGCAATTTTTAAGGTGTGGAAAGGTACATAGAGAAACGGATAAAAGGTGTTTGATTAGTTGTGAAATCCTGGTTTTTTCTTGAAATACAGTTGCGGAAAGTAAGGAAAACATTTGGAGATTTCGGGGATAGAAAATGACTTTGGACAGAGGACAGCAGGGATGAAACGGAAGAGGGAAGGCGGAAGAATACAATTATTATTAAATTATCTTCATTTTTGGACACATCTACCAGTTCGTCAAACCTGGTTTGTTCAAAGTCATGAAGTAGATCTGGCAGGATCCGCCGCCTTTTGCTGACGAGAAGAATACCTGGAAAGAAGAAAATATGAGGATACGAAGTGGCAAGCCAACCTTGTCGTTTCGTTCACACAAGAACTTCAGTTTCTGCGCCTTCTTGTGCATGAAGACACCGTCTAGATGGCCGGTGTCGACGGATCGGATCTCGATTGCCTTGTTGCCCCATCCCATGATCTGTCCCGTGGAGATGTAGGCGACACTGCTCGGCATCTCTCCCCACTGCAGAACCACGTTCTTGGTCATTCTTCCGTACGTGTTCACGTAGACTCCCTCGTCTGAAAGTTTCTCATTACAAAAATTCATATTTTTTTGGGAACTGACTGTCATAGCAGAGAAGAAGTTGCATTCCGTTCGAGTTTGGAAGAACAACAATGCAATGTGGAGTCGTTTGTCCCGTCTGTAATTAGAATTATGAAGCAAACTGTTTTTAAAAAAAGTTTAGCTATTGTACCGTCGTAGGCGTGTAAATGTCGTAGACAGCTGCCGAGTCCAAGTCGATCGCATGGAATCCTTCGTGAGACCCGTAGAGCACCTTGAGTCGGGCGTTCTCCTCGACAGTCAAATCGACAATCAATGGGACATGGGTCAATGAGCCGAATGACTTGAAGCTCATGAACTTGTGATAGGGCTTTGGTGCCCAGGCGTAGATCTCGATGGAAGATTCCAGACCAACAACCAGGAACTTGATTCGTTCGTATCGAACAATCTTGAAGTGGATGGCTCCTTGCAAATCCCCCACATTCACCCATCCGTTTCTCTTCTCAGTCGTGTTGGCACTTCCGGCTCCCTGTAAAACAAATTATACGTTAGCGGGAAGGCCGCCCATTATCCGCTCACCTCAGTACGAAGAATTTTCTGACGCAGCCAGCTCAAGTAGTAAACACGGATTCGTCGCTTCCGGCCGGAAATCGTCACGAGAATGTTTTGTCCTTCGAGAACAGTCATCTGATCGAATCGGCGACGGCTAATGAGCGGATACACTTTTCCCTGGCCACTTCTGTCAAGAAGCATCAATCCGCTGTCGGTTCCGATAAGCAGGTTGACTCCCCAGAGGGCGGCGCACAGAATCTCTCCGCTGAACTTTTTCTTGTACTTGCGAATCTCCGGAGCGTCGCTCTCGGCGGTTGTTCCGTTCGAGTTGGGGGTCACGTTGACCTGCACCTGGTTCACATCTTGCGGCCTTCCGGGCCTGTTCACTGTGCCTCCTCCGGCTCCCGCACCGCCACCAAAGTATCCGACAAATGACTTTTCGCGATCACGATTTGAAAATGAGTGCTGGATGGATGCGCGACTGTCCGAGTTTTGGAAGCCGTTTGGTTGCTGAAATTTGAATTATTTGTGTCTTTGTTCGAGATGATGATGCTCTTGAAATCACTTCAACAACACATTTTGTGTCTGACAAAAGAACAGAATGAGTAACTGCAACGAAAAGGGAGAATGAATGAACCAAAGGGCCGAAGGAAAGAATGAAACACAGGATGGCTACTTTTTTGTAAAGGATAAGGTCCCAAAATAATAATAATATTCATATGGAAATGGAAACCACAACAAAATCTCTCATCAAAAGTTTTAATCAACTTACGTAGAAACTTCCGAACAGGGAGGCGCTCTACATATATGAATAATAAAGATTCAGTTTTTGTTTCTTTTTTCAATTAATATTAAATTTCGCTACCCACCTCATCAGCTCGATCGTCACTCATTTGACGGGACTGTTCCAGTTGTCGACGGAGTTGTGGTGATTTTGGCAGAAGATCCGGAAGTGCACCGCGAGAGCTCGAGGCGTTCTGGAATATGGAAAATGATTGGTGTGGCCGGCGAGTAGGCGGCAAAAAAGACGCAGAAAGAAGCGAAAACGTACAATTGGCTTGAACATAAGTGGCTCGTTGCCTTCTTCGTTGTCCGAGTCGCTGTCATCGTCGTCAAGTGAGATGATTCCCGGTCGGACCTGAAATAGTGATTGAGAAAGTCATACAGTGAATGATAGAATCTGTTCTAGATCAAAACTATTTCCATGAGATTTGGCAAAATTCGGCACGATCCGGGTTTAAAAATGTTGAACAATTTTTGAAGAAAACGATTAATTTTCAAAATGCTTACTTGGAAAAGGGTTTTTTCTTTCAAATTAGCTAGTACAAAATTTTTTTTCCGTAAATTTGTCTGTGTGGCAAATCCCCCAACTAACCTCCGAAACACTTTTCGCCTTAAACACCGACCGCTCAACACCATTACCATTGCGTCGGCCATCAGACACGAGTGTATTCTCGCCATCTGTCGGCGTCGGCGGAAGCGGCTTATTCGGCCCACGCAGCGTGCCCTCTCCGTTCAGCATGATGTCCTTCAAATCATCCCATTCTGCATCTGCTCCACTTTCCAATTCACTCACGTCAACAGTGTCGTTGATCGTCGAGATGGAGGCCTCCCGCGGTGGTGGAGCCGGCGGCGGCGGGCTCATACTCTCCTCGCGACCGCGACCATTACGAAGACCTCCAATCTTCGAGAGCTCGCTTGCCAACGCATCGAGATCCTCGGGCTTGGCGTGGTGGCTGATCAGCAGCGGTTCGGACATTTTACGAGATTGTTGTGGAGCCGGCACACTTGCAGAGACCCGAGCAATTGGCATCGCGTGGTGAGCCGCCCGCTCTCGTTCCCTACGCTCTTCACGCTCTGAACGTCTTCTCTTTTCATAATTGGCCAGATCCGCAAGATGGGGAGCAGCCGGATGCGATTGTTGTGGAGATCTCTGCAAAAAACACAAACATGTTCCGACAATCCGATCCCGCTAATGTGTTTGTTTGAAGCATTCCGATACACGATGCACAGTTAGCAATTAGACGTCACAACACCGACACAAACATTAATGTTATGATTAGTTTCCGATGACTGACTGTTAACGTTTTTAGAAGGAAAAGACAAAACAAAACCTGATGATGACTCACTGGCCGTGGCCTAGACGCTGGAGATTGACGTGGTCCATCGGCGGCTCCGCGTGATGACACAGCTCGCAGTTTGACATCAGAGTCGCGACGTGGCTCCGCGACATATCTGGAAAGATCTTTTAGAATTCAAAAATAACATGGAATTCTTACCTTGAAGGATACTGTGCTGGTGGTGGAACTGGCTGTTGTGGGAGTCGACGCAATTGTTGAGCACCCGGCTCAGCGAATCCACGACTGCTCTCTTGCAATTTTTGGAATCCTTTTCGCAGAGTGTTATCCATCGGAACCATTGAACAGTTTTCAGAGTCATCTCGGATTCCGACGGATGGACCACGGTGGTTGTGTGACGGCTCGTCGTCCTCACTGCCCGAGTATTCGTACTCCACATCATCCTTCTTGACCCTCCTATTCCGATCGATATGCTCTTTGATGGAATGTCGGATCGTTCTTTCGTGAGGCTGATCTTTGATGAATTGATGACGAAGTAGCGCGTCCGTGTACGGTCTCTGATGATAGTCCTTCACGAGAACGGTCTCTGAAATACATAGAATAACCCCACTATGTTCGTCATCGACACTCACCAATAAATAACTCAAACTTTTTACTCCACTTCTTGTTCCGTTTGTTCAACTTGGGCGGCTGGTTCCTGGGTATCAGAAACAGCGCTCTCATCGGATGCATATCGCACAATGGAGGATGACCTTCGGCCATTTCCAACGCGGTGATTCCTAAATTTGATAATTTTTTGTTCCGACCATTTTCCGCATGCCATTTTCCATTTTTCACCCCCTCAATTGTTCGCCTGTCTGTCTGTTCAGTGCCAAGACAGTGTTCTACGCATTTTGCGCCCATACACATAAATGCAAATAGTGAAAAGCAGATCTAAACACGACAAATGTTTCGGCGAACGAGGGAGCAAATATTGGAACAGTGAAAAAACATAAAAAATATGTAGTACGTTGACATCAACCATAGATGTCGAGCAATGTTGTTTTCATACTCACCCAAGGACCACAAGTCTGATCGAGAGTCGTAAGTGGCTTCTGGATTCTCGTCGCAAGCGATCACTTCTGGTGCCATCCAGTACGGTGTTCCTATGAATGTGTTCCTTCTTCCGACTGTCTTGTCCAGCTGGGCTGACACTCCGAAATCCACCAATTTCACTTCGGCACTATCCGTCAGCAGCACGTTCTGGCCTTTGATGTCTCGATGAATCACTTTACTCTGATGCAAGTGATAGAGTCCCTGAAAACATAAATCTCGCGTCAGAATCGCTCTCTCGCACATGCTCACCCTCAAAATCTCCCTGCAAATGTAGGCAATCCATTCTTCCTTGAGCGATTGTCCTTTCGTGTTCTTGACAAGATCGGTGACAGATCCACTTCCGCAGAATTCCATCACCAGCCATAATTGATCGTGTTTTCCGGTCGAAGATGGCAGCTTCTTGATGAACGCACCGTAATAAGTGGCCACGTTTCGGTGGTGCGAATGCTTTTTGAGCATATTGATTTCGAGCTTGATTTCATCCTCCTCTTCTTCGTTGATATTCATAATTTTGATTGCAGCGAGTTGTGCTGTTTTGACATGTCGACCCTTATACACTTGCCCGTAAGTTCCATTTCCAACAACCTCAATGAGCTCGAAGATTCCGGCCGGGTCCTGAAAACACAAAATGTTATTGTTGTGATTCCACCCCTTCCAAAGTTTGAATATTGGCAAAGCGAGAGAAGAGGAGAGATGCATGATTTTTGAAAAATGTTACACTAGCTCTCGCTTTTGCTCAATGTGTCAGCGTTTTGTTTTGTGAAGATGGATCAACAACACGAAGTTGAAGTTGCGAAATATGCAGTCGTCTTGGCTTCTCACTTCCTGTTCCCACTTGATTATTCGGAATTCGAATAATCAAAAAGGACAAGGAGAACATCGGCGCACGCCGAATTCCATCAAAGTGCCCTTGTCGCGTCGCGGACAATGAGAATGGATAAAAACGTGACGCAGTTTTTGTTTCGTTGGGTGGTCAATCGGAAAGACTTACCCTTAGAGAATTTAAATCAATCTCATCGAGTCCGGACGACGACATGGTTCTGGTTGATGTGGGCGGCTCGGAAGCACAGCTCGAACCTCAACACGCACGAGACAACAGCCCCCCGGAATGTCCTCGAATCTGGAAAAAGTGTTCGTTTATGAAGTGAATGATAATTGTCGGAAGCCGGAAATTGAGATTTATGATGATGTCAGGGGTTAGGAAAGAGGGAAGAATACTAAAGTTTCAAACAAAAAGAATGCTTTCTAAGAATAGGAAACAAAATTGATAAGAAGATCGATAAGGAGCGCCTGAGAGAGGCCGGAGAGAGCTAGTGGACACTATCGACTGGGACGCGTCCAGCATTATTACACTCGGAAAAGTGAGAATGCACAAATTGTTCACATGCGTTTTGCGTCACGTCACAAACGCTGTATGAAACAAACAACGAAACAGAAAAAGAGCATAGGGGAAAGCTGGAAACTAAACAAGAATGATGTGCCGTTCCGACGGCCACGCCCTCGGCCGTCTCGTAATGACTATAATCGTGTGCCCCCGCAAAAACCACAGGAGGAATTCGGCGGTGGCATGAGCGGTTGGCGAGATTGGCGAAATTCGATATACATCAAAACGTGCGAAATTGAGATGACAAGCGGTCGAAACGGCAGACCCCCAGACCAGGTTGGCTGTGACCGAGGCGGGAAGCGGAGGAGGAGGGAAAAGGAGGCCGCAGCCAGCAGCCTTCCGTCGCCTTCATTCCGAACAGAAGGCCTCCCGAATAATGATGAAGGACAGCGTCGGAAAAAGGCAACAGCATATAGCTGTTTGGTGATCTACATTTATTATATTGATTTGAGATGGGGGGAAAGATGTTTATCTTCAAAATGTATTATGTTGATGATTGTGATCGAGGATGGGCAACGAAATGTTGCCACTAATGTTTTAATGATGGTCTGAAAAAGGGATGACTGTTTTGGGAACGACTGAATCATGACAAAATATTGGCTACGTTGGGAGCAGAGTCCGGATTCCAGAACTTGGCATGACAATAACCAATCGGAAATTTTTATGCTTGACCTCATGTTGTTCTAGAAGTGCACAAGTACGAAGCCCTAGTATTGCACATTGGCAGAAGAAGAAGAAGAAGAAAAGCGTATAGAAAATTATTTTTCCCTCCCTACCCTTTCTTTCCCTTTTTTCTGCTCAAGAATGGCAAAGAATAGGAGAAACGAGGCGAGGGCTCAGAATGTATTCGTTTTCTGACTGATAAATCCGAAAGTTTCGGAGTGAGTTTCGAGGAAAAAAGAAAGAAAAAGTGAAAGAAACGCGACGCCGGGGGCGCAGTGTGTGTGTAGAGTGTGTGTAGTGAAACAGCAATTAGTCAGTGTTCCCAAAGGTCTAGTGATGACACCCAGAGGCGCTGCGTCGGTTGGTTCTACAGCCCCCTCTCGATCCGAGTGAGAGAAACAAGGAAGCGGAGAGACTGGTCTACTTTTATCAGTACTTGATAACCATGACCTCCAACACGGCGCGGGTCTCTCCAGATGATGATAGTGTCGATTCTATCACCGCATTAGCGACCATCAGATAAAAAGCGAATGGTGTGTACAAAATTGAAAATTGCAATGCATTTTTGAATAGGTGTAGGAAATGCTTGCTTAAAATAAATTCTTACTACTTGAAAGTGCTAGTCGGAAAAAAAAGATAGGAAGGAGGAAATGAAATCATTTTTTCTCTTATCAGCTGCTGTGAGTGAGAACTTGTGGTTGGATAGGTGCGTAGGTGTTTTCCTTTGCACATAACAAAAGAAAAAGTTGAAAAAAGACTGATGACTAGGCAGCTGTCATTTCCAGAAAGTGCTCCGGGACCTTGACTCAACAATAGTTGAATTGAGAAGTTCTCAAAAAACTATCAAGGGAATATCGGTTTCTACCAACAAAAAAAACTCCATTACCCGCCCGAACCATGTAGAAAAACCCACTTGGGACCAAAAAGATCAACATTTGGCTAAAAGCTGCAGCTCTGCCAAACAGAGAAATGTGCCAGAAACAAACGGGGGCGCCGGCCTTTCCTTCTTCCCACACCCCATTTTTTTGCGGTCACTGCAGCTCAGCCGTCGTACCAGAATAATAAATCAAAAAGTATGAGAACTTGGAGGAAAAGTATGTATGTATGCACACAAGCTCGTTCCTCCCCTCTTTCTTCTCATCTCTCCTTTCCACATTAGCTCATTAATTTTTAAGACGAGAGCTCACGCATGAGTTAGACAAGTGTTCCATCTTAATCCGAAAGAGATATTGCACAAAAACATGCGAATACGTGGTGTGTTTTCCAAAAGTACATACGCGTATAACAATGTGCCAGCAAGGGTCTAATAGCCCCCTAAGGAGCTGTTTGTGAGGGAAAACTTACAGGGGTCCGACTTGCTTGTTCACTACAAACACAAAAAGGTCTCAACTACAATTAATGAAAAGCGATAGTTAAAAGTTCTGAGAAAAACGGCTTTCGAATGATATTGGCGCATGCACGCGGCACGGAGCACCGAAAAAAAACCGGGAGAGCAGGTAGAGGAAGGGATTGTTGGATCGGGTAGAGAAAAGAGAAAGAAAAGGGGAAGGGGGAGAATAAGGTGAGCAAACAATCGACTAATATTGCAATCTTATGATCATTATTGATTTGGGAGCAAAGCCCGAGACAAGTTTGCGCGCATATGATCCGGATATTTTATGCGAAATAATAATTGGCGCCAAGAGTTAAGCTACTTTCTTACTTATAAAGCTTTTTTTCGGCAGGAAAGAATCGCGTGCGGAACGGAGAGACGAACTGGATGTATTTGAATGGAGCGAACAGGTACACCTATCGATTCCCATTGTTCAGCTGAGGTCACCAACATTCGTCATTTTAGTGGCGGCCAGTCAAAAAAAACCATACTTTTGGGCACGTGATTATTGTTAGCCATTTAGGAATACGGAGCAAATATTAGAAAACAAAGATATTGGCCATTCAAAGTTAAGACAAAAAAAGTGCTCAAAGGTGCGGGCTTGTGGGGTTTCAGTACTAATACAAACATTTCAAATTGGTGGATTTTGGAGCGTCAGTCTGTCAGAAAGAGTGACTACTGTTGCAGTAAAGTCGGACTTGTGACTGACTCAAATGACCTTTAGGCAAGCGTGAAAAGTGCACAGAAGGAGTGTGAGAACCAGGCGAAGGAACCGGGGCGCAAAAAAACTGCAGAAAAAGAATCCATTACGTGGGAGCGGCAACAATGGAAAGTACACTCAGTTCAATGAATTATGGAGACCGACTCAGAGGCCAAACTGAATGTGAATCGAATTGGACGACGACGACGACTAGGGAATAGCGGGTGAGAGTGGAAAAGAGCGCGCGAATCGGGAAATTGAAGATTATTCATGTCAGAAGAGGGTGGGGGGAGAAGGAGAGGGAGAGAACGGTGAAGGGGATGTCCTTTTTGTATAGTGGTTTGAATGCAAATGGATCTTTGTCCGTACTTGGCCTCTTCAAGCATAACTGAACGGGCTTGAATAGGACAAAAATCAAGTGGGGCGACGTATGAATTCAGATAAAGTGTCTGCCCGTATTCATGATGTAAGAGAGAAGTAAATCTTTAGCCCTTTCATTGATTGGCCTTATTATTCAGAAAAAGTAACGTTGAAGCGAAAAATAAGCGCTTTCCTTCATCCTCTTTATTCAGAATATTGAATTTCAGTCCTTGCTAGTCGGCCGGAAACTGATACATGTTCAGCTAATACAATCCAAAGTTCAACATTCCGTACAATTTCCTATTCGCCCGCAGGCTAGTCTACTACTATTCCAGACTCATAATGAACGTTTTTCCCATCCGTTTTCCTTCTCTCATGAAAATATTCGGATCAAGAGAAGCGGGGAAAAGGAAAGAAGCATCATCTTGAAAAACAAGAGATTTGAATAAAACGGAAGGCAAGGCTACGGAAAATGTCGTTAATTCAACTGATGTGGACTGGGTGCAGCTGTCATACCGGTTACTGTAGGCGGTCAGCTCTTTCTATTTTGTATAGTCATCACAACTTTTTTTTGGGGTTTTCCCGAATTCTCTAGATTTTTTAAAAAATTCTAAAAGCGTTCCCACCGTTTTCCACTAACAAAATTGAGGTTACAATTCGGAATATTTCCGATTTGAATTTTTCCAAATCCAACAAATTTCATTTCGTTCTTTACTAAAGCATACGATGAACAGTGAAAAGGCGGTGGAAACAAGCAAAAGGACCCTTGAGCATTGCAAAAACGCGGGAATGCAACAACTTTTTGTCGGAAAAAGAGGAGGAGTACATGGCAGAGTAGCTTAGGCGCGTGTTGCAAAAATGAAGGGGGACAAAAAAGTGAACCGTAATGGGATAAACGACAAAATACACGAGCCGACGCGGAGTCATTCCGGACGCGCACCCAACACGAGAGAGTGTCGTCCGCGTGGAGGGCGCAGACAGTGGTCCGCGAGGGAGAACCTGCTAGCGTGGTCACTCGCGTGAAGAAACGCAGAGAAGCAAGGCCACTAGGACTTGGAAGGCAAGAAGAGGAGAAAAGGAGAAGAGAGAGAGAGAGAGAGAGGGATGGGGAGAAAGAGGGGCTAGTGTCCGTCCGGAGAAAAGAAGACCACCCGAACCGCGCGAACATGCGGGTTGATGGCGAGGGAAAATAGACGTTGCGGGACACGCTTTCCCCCCTCTCTCTCTCTCCTTCTTCTTCTTCTCCCGTCAGCCCACGGGTCCTCCCGTCCCGCGCGGCCCCCACCATTGTCTCTAGCTGAGCAACAAGGAGAACTCTGCGACTCTGTCTTTGTCCGCACAATCAATGATTGAGTGACCAGCAACAGGGGCAGTCCGCGCGGGGCAGCTATCCGATAGCCCAGTCTGTCCGCACTTCAACCAGAAACAACTTTTCCTTGTAAAACAGATCTTTTTTCAATGTGAATCGCTACACTTTTTGAAATTCACTTCAAAATTTCCGGTTTCTAATTCAAAATTAAAACCAACTTTAAAGGAGTAGTAAACAAGTTTTAATAG